GTTGGACAGAGGGAGCAAAGTCGTGCACCTCCGCAATCCCAGACCCCCCCCGTCCTCCCCCCTCTTTCTCAACCGCCCCATCCAGCCCAATCTCTCTACTTCTCTACCTATCTTTTTCCCCTCCCCACCATAGCGTAAATGTTAAAAAGTCTTCGAAACCTTGGCGGCTGTGGCGCGAGACAGAGAGCGAAAGCCTCAAATCATCCAAAGTCGGTAGATTGCAGGCATGACGCCCAGCCTACACTGGACGTGGCTTTTTAGCTACTGTGGTACCCCATAGTTCTCTAGTACGCTCACTACGGTGTGGACAACGGTACTTGCGAATGCTGTGCTGTGCCCTTTTTGAGAAGTACAGCGGCCATGGTCCATGGCGGATGCCCAAGGATGCCCAGCAGCCAGAAAAGGCATACCTGCCCGGCGGAGTCTCCTCGGTGTAGTTGACGACTTTGGCGGCCCTGGCTACTCTAACAGAAGCTCCCATGCTCCCGCCGCGCTGCTCCAACCTGAACACTGAGCATTGAGCAAGCTCCGTGCCATCGCTGCTCGTGCCCATGCGTCGACTCTGGCCAGGATGGGGGCAGGATGGACAGGATGGACAGGATGAGCCGGGATGTACTGGCGAGCACTGGCGAGCATGCTTCTAGCCCTGCAGACCGCCCAGCCTCCATGGTCTGCAACCGTGTGGTGAGCGTTTGACCTGCTTCCAGCGCGCTTCCCTGCAGATTCCTTTGTTCAGTACGGGCGTTAGAGCCCCAGGACTTGCCTCCATCCCGTGCCATTGGAGCCATCACTGTGCAGGCCCACCCTGACCACCCCAGTCATGTTTGCTAGTGGAAATCTAATATGCGGCTTTGACGCTTGGTCGTTTTAATCATCCAAGGCGGACCAGGTGCGGATGGGCGTTCACTCGAGTACAATGACACAAGGGACTCTCCAAGATATCTTCCCGATCGTAGGCGCAACATGTTCGCTATACTAAAGGGACCTACGGATCCGCTCGGAGGCTCTCTACTACTTCATGCAGCCATCCAGACCTTTGACTTCGAGTTCGACCTTTAGATTTTTTGTACCTCACTCATGGCTACCAATCCCACCACCACCACTCCAGTCAAGCGGGCTTGCGACAGGTACTTACCCCCATCCTCCCCCCTCACCGTCGCCAATTACCCTACTGACATGTCCCTCACCCTAGTTGTCACCGCAGAAAGGTCAAATGCATAGGCGAAGGCACCGCACCATGCAAGAACTGTGTCTCCGCCGGCCTGGCATGTACCTACAATGCCGTTCCCCAGAAGAAGGGCCCCAAAGGGAGCCGCGCCAAAGTTCTATCTGAGCTGCGCGAGAACCAACGCAATGCCCAACTGGCTGCTGGATACCCATCCGAACTAGGATTCGACGGTCGCGCCCTCACCGCCTCGTTTGCCCGTACACCAGGCCTACTGGCTCCAGGCCTTGTCGAGAGCTGTATCGAGTACTTCTTCGCCCATGTCTACCCTTCAGAACCCCTTCTGCATCGTCAAAGGGCACAAGAGACGGCCATGAACATGGACAGATCCACCGAGTCGTACTGCGTAATCGTCGCCCTCTGCGCCTATGTCATGATCAAGGCGAACATGAAGGTCTCCCCCACCATGCTCCCCCGCCCAGAGATGGCTCAAATGTCGAATGTGAGCTTTGGGCATATCCTTCTCGAGGAATCGGTTCGCGTCCGACAAGGTTACGACTTTCGGGAGAACCCTACACACTTGACCGTCCTCACATCCTACTTCTACAGTGGCTGCTATTTTGGATTGGGCAGAGAGAACACAGCATGGGCGTATTTGCGAGATGCAACAACTCAGGCGCATATCCTCGGTATGCATGACGAAGACACATACAAGCACGACCCTATGGACATCTCGCGAAAGCGAGTACTGTACTGGCTGCTTTTCATCGCAGAAAGGTATGAGAACAAAGAAGAGTCTTTTGCTGGCGGACACTTGCTCCAAACAGCTACTAACATGATCCAGGAACTTTGCACTTCACAAGCACCGCCCAATTTCCCTATATCCGACAATTCACCCGCCGACTCTAGACGAGGCATCGTCCGACCGCCAATTCGCGTCTGGCCTCGAGCTCATGATCAACATGTACAAAATCATCGACGATACATTTATCAACCTCTGGAACCGAGTTCACACACATGCGAATCCCGCGTGGATCGCACAGCTCCAAACCCAGCTGGCCGAAGCTGTACCCGCATATCTAGATTGCAACGAAGCCCAATCCGTGGAGATACGCGTCACGCAACACTGGCTGCGCGCACAGGCATGGCAACTGTGCGTAACGCAGGGATTAGTGAGCAGCGTCACAAGTGATAGCCCGCTAACGTTCAAGTACCCCATTGAGATTGCACGGGACTTGCTCACTGCGACCCACCAATTTTCACAACAATCCATGGAAGTGCATGGCGCTGGACTGGTAAGTGCCGAGACCATTTCACAGCCTCATCTCTGCAAATCTTGTTCTGTTGGCTTCACACACACAAACACACATGGTCTCAATGTCGTCCAGATTCTGATGCTCTGACCCCTGTTACCTGGAGAGTGTGGTAGTGACCCACTCGGTAATGTCTATCTCTGACCGTTAGACTCGGGGCTAGCACATCTTCCTTTATCATCCCTGCAAGCCGCTTATTCTTTTTTCCTTTTCCTCTGCCGAGCATAACGGTACATGAACAAATGGGCTAATTTTACCAACAGATCGAAAAGCTCTTCGACGTGGCCTGCTGCCTTACCGATGTCGTTGCTGTCACATCGTTTTCGCCGGATGCATTCGCCCTGGGCCCTCGTGACTACGTTTCCCGCTTCCTGACCCTCATCTCCACTCTACGTGGTGGACAGTCCCGGTACCTGCCGCTCCTACTTGCCAAGCTCTCCGAAGTACTGCCCAACCTTCCACTGCCCCGGTCTCTCAACCTCCCGCAAGGGGTATCCACGTCGTCGATCGGCCTTTCTGGCACAGGCTCTCCAACTGTCCCTTCTAACGTTGGTGATGATTTCTCGGCGATGGGCCAAGGTACCTCTCCTTCCTACCCATCGAACGACTTGATACGTCGGTTAGCAGCCCAGACGGGGGCCCAGCTTCCCTTCAATCCACCTCAGCACTCGTCCTACCCAGCCCCCACGAGTCATGTAGAGGATCTGTCCTTGTATGATACGTCCCACAGCACTACCCATTCCTCTGGTTCTGTACCCAGAAGCACCTCCGCCACACCGGGTCCCTATGAGCCCTCCATGTCACAGTCGCGGACGCAGATTGTGGGGCATTCCACCATGCAGATCCCAACTTCACATCCTCAGCACAACCACATGCAGTCTCACCACGTGGGTGTAAACTCCACAGCATACGACCCTAGGTTTTCGATTCAGGGCTACCCTGTAGACCCGAACATGATGTTCAAACAATGATTTTCAGTCTCAAAGTTTATTTTAGAGGAATCGGCTGGCACCGCCGTTGGCGCAATCGGCTGGGTTCTACACAAAGGAAACGGCGTTGAGGGATGCAAACTACCAGACTCCCCCGCACAGTAGTTGGTTACGGAGTCATTCCTAGTTTACAGTTTTTTTTATTTGATGGCTCTGAGGATGAGCGATGTACCAAGGCAATACTTTTAGCCCTGTACTTAGATATGCTTTCAAATCAGACCTGCATTCGATTTTGAACAATGGCCAATGGCACCAAGATGAAACCTAGTAGCATATGTAATCTCAAGTATCAGAACACGAGCCGCAATTTACATAGAACCCCGCCAGCCTGCGCCCTCTTGTCCAAGTGGCGCTACGATCCTGTCATACGATTCAGGGACACTCCGCCAGTGCAGGGTGACGAAGGAAAACCGCTCGGAAGTGGCTCCGGCACACAGCATCATACGGCCTCAGTCCACGTGTGTTTGACAACGAACCACTTTAAACTCGAAGATCATCAGACGGGCGAACAGCACAGACAGCCAGAATTCCATGCTGAAATCTGAGCCCCCCAGGAATACATACAGTATGTACTCTCCCCCAACATCACAGGGGGTCATTCATGCCAGCGTCTACCGGCAGACAGCACATCCATGGCGCAGATGATCGAGGGTCTTGGACAGTCTTGGAGTATTACGAATCCACATGGTACTTCCAAGGCAGCAAGATCTTGAGCATGCCACACCGACGGCTTGGTACCAGGGCAGTGCTCTTGGAACTTCATTGATTTGTCTGGTTGGCATGATGTTGATGATGATGATAGTCTTCTCTCTCTTAGATGGGGTCCTGTTGTTTGCTGCTAACCAGTCCACCAATGCGCTATCCGCGTAGATCCGGAACGCGAGGCAGACACAGGCTGCTTAGTCTCTATCTTTTGCACACGGAATTGCAGCTCCGTGTGATATGTGGGACAAGGGCCACGAGACGAGAGACTATGGTTCGGATAATGCCGAGGGGGCATGCACACAGTAGGAGATCTGCTTCAGGGAAAGGCAGAAGCGATCGACGGTCAGTGTTGCCAGACCATGTTTTGTGTCGAGAAGGGTAACATAAACCGGCCCTTTCGTGCGTAAAGTCTAAAATAATCTCAACGTGCGACGAACAGGCATTCGAGACATTAGCAGTCAAGCGACTCCCAAGGGGCCAGGCATGGCGGCAGATGTGCTGCTGATCTTACACAAAGGAGCTTACACCGTTAAGCCACATTCATCACGCCTCACACTTCGAGACTCCAGCACTTACCACAACAACTATATCAAGAGATGATGAATACGGCCGTGTGAAGCCCCTGTCCTTGGGTCTGGAGCCCTGCAAGTCCATTTCTAAAGAAGGCGGTACCTGAGATCTGAGCCGGGGCTTTCCATCCGATTTCTTAGTGCAATGCACGTTCTCCAATTCACTGGCAACAATATACACCCTTTCATCATTTGGGCTCGGCCCGCCAACGTAACAAGCATTAAGCTTCTTCCTTTGGGCGCGATTCGCGTCACTTTCCCTCCGCTAGCGCCATCAAATCCGACCGAAAAGATCTCTGACAGCTGGGCTGAGCTGGGCTGAAGCTAGGATAACATAGCCGTGCTACAGGGACAGTAGCTTGAGCGGATTTACTCTTCCGCCCACAAGCCTCATCAGGTTTGTCTGGTCAGCCTTGCTTCGGTTGTTGAGCGCAGCGTCTTAGTGTACATCTATTTTCTTTTCCTTGCTCAAATTTGAGTACAAGAAGTACCATGCCAGCCACGCGCATGTTTGCGAACAATGGAACGATCAAAGCTTGTGCATAGCCTACCAAAGAGAGAGACTAGAGTTTCTGACAGACGTCCCACCATCATCACACTTCTCAAGGGGTCCAAGCACGTTAGTCTAAATGCAGGTATTGACTTGGCTCAATTCATCACATCACATGAAATTATTGTTTCTTCCTATCCAAATAATGGCCTGGATAACTTGCGGGAACTGGCTCTGAACTCGCTCAATATGTTTCACATGCGACCTGAAGCAGCTTTCCATGATGGATGGATGCAGTATTGAGTATTGCCTATGCACTAGCATGCAGCGTTCCCATTCCAACCCGCTGTTAGCCAACTTAGTTACTGTCCTTTTCGGACCGACTCCTCACGCCGCGCTACGTTTCGAGCCACGCCTGCGCAAGCACCGATCACCAGGCTCATAATGGCGCTCTTTTCCCTTCCCTTGCTTGGTCTAACAATCGTCTGCTAAATGCCGTCAACACTTGCCATCTCACTGGTGCAGTTTGAGGATTGCCCTTTAGCGTGGCCTTTTTGGCATCAAACTGTCCAGTCGAGCAAGCATAACCCGTGACCTGGGTCTTTGTCGATTGGTCAGCACAATTGCCGGTTGTTGCGCTTCTCTCGTATTTCATAGCTTTAGGTAGTGTGATTATCAGAAGGAGACAGTGTTGACTGCGCTTCGGGGTAGCGACATCCGATCTCAGGGATGGGAAGGGGGAGTCGTCCGTTTTAGTCTGGATGCGATGATATACCATGCGCCATCACGTAAGCTATATCAAACTCGAGAGCATTAGCTGCAACACTGTTCCTTCATAGTGGTCGCCTTCGTGTGAGAGCCTATGCGTAAGATTGTGAGCTCTTCTCTAGGGTACAGAGAGTGCGGCGATGTGATGACATGAGACGACGCTTTGCTGGCTCACTGCCTCAGAAGTGCTTACTTGGATGTCAACACAACACAGCGTTATCCCGTCCAGCTTGTTCCGCCTGATGATCATGGAATTCCTGGATCGACCCATGCCCACGCGGCGTGCTTGCCCGCACGAGTAGAGTACAGTGATGGCATCCTTTTGGAGGCACACTGAGACACTGGGATGGCCTACTCCAATCTACCCCAAGCATGGTTCTTCCAAGGGCAAATTTCTTCATCTGATTGCCAGTATTGGAGTCTTGACTGGACAGTGCCGTCTGGCAGATTGGCTTCGGTCAAATTCTCGGTGACCTACCCGTCGCCAACGATTCGGTCACCGTTGCACAAGATCTGTGCTTGCGTGGTGTCGGTGTCCTGCCCCACACGCCATAGAACATCAAGCTTCGCTTCGCAGAGGCTATCCTCTCTCGCCAAGTCTTGGTATTGCGCCCTCTTGTCGGATTACCAAGACGACCACGCCTGAGACTCTTGCCCAATCGCAGAGTGGTCCAGGTCGATCACACATGATGAATGCTGCTCCGGTCCCCGTCCCCACTCCGCGTCCCCAAACTGCGGCTGCCCACGGTATGCCTGGGTCGACAGATGGGATATGCAGCTCGCTTCGAGGCGGGCAATGTGGGCCATGACGACCAGTCTTGCAGCTGAGTAGACCGGCCTGCTCTGCCGCGTTGGCACAGCATGTTTGTCTTGCTACAGGAGGAGGATGTGGGGCCTGGATACTTTGGATTCCAAGCATTTGGCATTGGCTATAGCCCGTGGGGCACAGCCACTACCTACTCCATGAGTCTCTGCACAGTACATACAGGGAGCCAATTCCCTTGCAGCCCCGTCGATAGTCGCACATCGACCCGGACGATCAGGCATCGTGCGTGATACGCCTGTTCCGCTACTGCTCCCGCTGGCGCACGCGGCAGGCTATTCGAGCGTAGACTACCTAGATCCAATAGTCGTCCCTCTTGACTTTCCAGCCTCGTCCACCAGGGTCTTAAATTTAGTGGTAGCCCAAGGGAACGAAGGAGACGAACAACGAGTGAGGGTGATCGACACCGAAAATGCGCCTTGCTCCATGTGCCAGCATGGAGACTGCCGTGTGTCAATTGGCGGTCACGATTAGTACGGTATGTAGGTCGCATTCGGTTCTCTTTGTTGCCCAGGTGTTCACGGGCTTTCGTTTCCCACCCAACCAATCCGTGGCCTGCGGTCGGCATGAATTGAATTTCAACGTCCCCGGCATCCGGACCTTCGCGGTCCAATGTGCAAGGCAAGTCCCGTCCCGCCAATCATCCTAGGCTGGAATGAGCATCGAACGCGACGCGCGTATCGTGGCCATGGCTAGACATACTCAAGCTTTGAACATGTTGTTGATGATGAATACTGTGGTGGTCGAGCATTGATACCTACCTACCTAGGCACCTAGTGTGTACCGTACACGTCCCACATCTACCATGAACCGCCTTTGTCGTTCATGGTGTAGCTGTCATCACACCTTTTTGCTCACCAATCGGCTGGCCCTTCGGCCGAATGGCCGAACATCTCGTTCTATCAACTGCATCTGTAGTCCTTCCATGCAGGGGGCATCATACACACATGGCGCTATCACCACTCCCCCAAACGAGATGTTGTGGTATTTGCTGCTGACAGGAGGGCGACGTCGACCAAGTCACCAACTTGCCCACCTGCAGAGTCACACGCACATCATTCGCTCAGTCGCCATCAGCTGTCGGCCAGGCACACACGCGGCAGCTCTGAGAGGCTCATTTCAACAAATATAGCAACACTTACATGCTCACGGACGGCTCATGTTACAGCTCAAGTGATCATCACCATAAGCAGACATTCTGCTCTCCCCACTATGGGTGAAACGCTGTTCAAACTGCTAAGATTTTGCAGTATGGGGTAGGTACATGCTTAGCTGTGGCGGCGCTCTACCAAGCTCGTATCTGCCTCTGTAGGATCGTGTTGGTCGCGTGAAGACAGGAGTTGCATTTGCATGCGTTGTCCAGACGTTACTTCTTCTCCGCGGACGGAGGATAATCTCTCAGGCCCGTGCCTTGCTGTGGCGCACTGTTGTCCTATCGTACATGTACTATATGTACCTACACGAACAACTCCTCAGCCCTATCGTCGTCACACGGACGGGACGGGAAAAAGGAAGACTTGTACGATCATGCGACCGACTAACGCGCATACCGCGCTCACACCTCGCTCACCTCATTTTATCACAAAAGCGAACATCCCGATCCTATGCATGCATACTGCCATAGGTTAGAGTTATATGGACCCATTCTAGTGGATACTCGATATGTTTAACGCTATCCTACAAAGCACGGTATGCAGTCTGCGCCTCCACATTTGAATCCGTCAAGGCTGTGCTAGATACTGGGAAGCATCGATATACAGCCGATAACTGGAAACCGCTTCATCGCCCCACCACCAAACGTGATCCTCACTCCTTGTGTGATGTTAATGAACACCTCGTGAATCGTGGTATACCAGATAAACGCTATCCTAGTGTCGTATCAAACTGAGTGGGCCCCCCCCTCCCTGAACACACATGTCAGCGCGTCTCCAAGTGCTGACCGTCAACTCCAACCACTTAACCCTGTTGCGCCTCAATCATCATCCCCTTCACTCGATCAACCATCTCACCCGCTCAAAGCAGGTAAGGCGACCTTGTCATGTATCCCCAAAACAGGCACACTAACACTGCACAATGCAGGTACCTGCACAGGTGCACAGGAACCTGCCCAGCCCTCCTATGTTACCCCTCAACACCGTATCTCACAAACACAGAACGACCTTGGCAACCCAGTTAACCGAACCAGGATACCAGTTCTTCTAGAATGAAAAGGCACAGGGATCATGAACAAGGTGCCCCCTAAACAAAAGATCAGCCAGAGCAACGGTAAACCTGCCTCTTCGTACTCGCCCACACCTCTGATTCACATCAACACTATATCGATCGACATTGTGCCAATCTTTTAATCTTTTTTCTCTCACCCACCCCCCTTCATCCCTAACCTCGCTTCTACAAACAAAATTTACTAGCCCAACGGTATGCGTCATAAGCACCTTTTTTTCTGTTGCTCCCAAACACATTATTCGTTCTTGCCACCTTCTCGAAATGGATTTATGCACTTCTTAACTTTGACGGTGTACTTGACCGCTTCTTGTAACATGCCCCTACCCCAGCTATTCACACGTTTTTATTTCCGCACTGTGAGGGCGCGTGTACAAGTGCTTACTTGGGGCTTACATCGGGTTCCTGACTGCATTCATCCCAATTGATGTATACGCTGGAGATCGGGTGGGAGAGTGTATGCGGGTGATTGTAGTACAATGGGCAAGTCAAGCGCGCAATCTACACGATCCATCCGTCCGAGTGTACAATCTCCATTTCCATTTCCAGAGAAGAGTCCTTGACCGTTTCGATGAGCACATGAGACTTTTGGTTATTTCCGTGTTTGAAAGCATGCGAGGCGTGCTGTTCTCAAGCGCTTACCCTAAACACTCGCATTCCCCACACGATCTAATCTTGTTTTAATTTCTTTTTCTCTCTTTGAGACTGTGCGGCGAGTATACGTATACATGTTGTCTACAACCGAGGTATGACAGGTATTGCACCATTTCCAATCTCAATTCCAAATGCAATTCCAGTCCCTATACCACTACCAGGCAGACCCCTTCTCCGTTCTCCCTTCTAGAATACCTGGACTTTGTCTTCACCCTCATCCAGACTGGCAAGGCCATGCGGGAAACCATCTCATATAAGCACTACTTCCTTCTCCTGGGGTAGCCCTGCGCAGCCCTGCGCGGCTCCCTCCGACGACCACCATCAATGTGAGGATCCGGGGGCTATCAACGCGAGGTATACATCCCTTTCTCACCCACTCCCCTTCCTCTGCTTATCTCGCTCCACGTTCTTGCTCCTGGGTAATCTTCGCCAGTGAGCGGTTGGGCTGTGTGTCGTGTAATCCGTGTTGAGCTGCACTGTCGTGTCACTGTTTCCCTTGCGGATCTACGACAACTAGCTGTACATATACGGGGCTCGCAAATTCACATTGTGCATATCGCCATGCGCCCAACACTAGACCCAGAGAGAGAAAGAGAGAAAATTTCTCGTACGGCGTAATGGCGATCGGAGAAAAAGAAAATGGCCCGATGGGTGAGTTTGTGGGGAAAACCCAAAGAGGGAAAATCTTACCGCCTAGAGTGCGGTGTGATGGCCTTCTCGGCTCCTTGTCTTGGGAGTGAGGGGTTGTGGTTGTGCAGTGCTTCACAACTGTCAAAGGGGAGTGGCGGTTAGAAGTGGGTACGGGGTTGGCCTTGGTACGTAGACTATGAGAGGTAATCAGCTGATACCCTGGAGCTCTCTCCACGTGCTTAGGCTTCGGGTCAAATGATGTTCGCTTCTTTGATGAGATATTTGCTCGAGGACGATGGAATCTTCAGGGGAAGGTGGCTTAGACGAGGCAATATCAGCACATGTGTCCAGGAAACTGTTACGGTGCTGACATCGTACAATTAGGTGCTTACATCGTATACTTACTCCGAGCAATGTGTGTTCCTTATATGAACACTGTCTCGAGTCAACATTTTAGTGACAAAGAAGGGGGCTGTTTGATTAAAGGTCATTCACACTGCGCTGATTGAAACATGAATGAACGTACTCAATATGACTCTACACGAATTAGAATGCTTACGGTTTTGTGGCATGCGCGTCGACTTTGGGTGAGGCATCAGTGACCAAGTATGAGTGAGGTCTCCGGTCAGTGATCTAATGGCTGAGTGTCGATGTAGTTACGCTTAATTTGAACAAGATGGCTTTCTTTCGTGAAACACTGCCCTCAAGTCAACTCATGCCGTTACGAGAAGATGCGTTGTCTTAGAGGATGTCAGCCACACTTGGACGGTAAACAAGCAGCATCCACAATGCAATGTTGAATGAAACAGACTACTTTTGCTTTTGCTTTTGCAGTAGCCACATCATCTTTCCCGACCCTTTATCTTTTGCCTTTTCCGGATGAAACATACCGCGCCTTACAAGGCCAATGCACTGTACAACATATATCCCCACACAATCACCAGAATCCCCCACCATTTCCAGTCTCGCACCCAAAAATCCATCTTCTAAACTCATTCCCTCATTCAATCAGCATGTACTCCCTTCCCAAACTCCTCACCCCAAAACAGCCCAAAACAGCCCGCCACAGACAAAGATGCCGTCTCACAACAAGACACTGACAGTGACCCCCCCTAAGGAAACCGTACGCAATGCAGCATAGCCAACACTGAACTAAACTTCACTGACTCTGCATTCCAACAACACATCATCTTTCCTTCCTTTTCCAAGACCGTGAACGCATAAACTCAAACACCAAAACCCCATCACCCCTCTTCTCTTCCCCAACCCATCCACCTACCCGCCCTTAAAAAACAGCCAATATAAACACACCCTTTATATTCCAGAACTCCCCACCGTAACAACACAACACAAAAAGCAACCCTATCCCCAACCCAACCTCTCCATCCCCCTGGAATTAAACACAGGACCTGCTGTCTCCTAGACAACAATCCTAAATCTGCATCTGTTACCTGTTTTAAGTAGAAACTCCAAAAGGTAAAGCGGGTGAGGCAGGGGGTTGTGCGGAATGTGTGCTGTAGTGGTGTTTGCATTTGTTGAGATGTGTGGTTTGATAGTATAGCGGGTGGGGTATGTTTATTGGGGGTGGAGAGGTGATGGCTGTGTAGACGTGATGCCAGTATAGACCTGATCCCATTGTAAACCCGATACCAATATTAACCAAATACAACCATTTCAAGTGCCAAACAACACTACCATCTACTCCCCTCCTCCCAGCTAACTGAATTTACAGTTAATACACTTATTTTCACCCCGCTCCTCCTCCTCTTTCCCCCAACCCCCCTCATCCCAACCAAACCCACACTCCCAACCACCAACACCGCATGTGAGACTAAATCCACCACGCTGTTGTGTTCTGTTGGTTTAGTGCCGGGAGAGAGTGTGGAAGAGTATCGTATGGCGGGGCGGGGCGGGAGGGGGAGGAGGACTGCGTGAATGGATTGGGTGGACAATGAACGATGAATAGTAGATAGTAAACGTTGGACAATACATGCTGGACAGTGGATGATAAGGGTTGGATAGTGCATATCAAATACGTAACCAGCGAAACAATGAACAACAACTAAACAGCAACCTAGCAACCCAGCCAGCCAACAACGCGCCCACACTACCCACCCTACCAGCAAACCCTCCCATCCCAATCCCCAACAAACCCCCCCCCCCCCCAAAACCCCATCATCACAGAGTGCACAGCCATACACCCCCAGCACCGCCCTTCCCACACACAAACAACCCCCTTCAATCGAAAACCTCCATTCACCAGGCAACAGCATGACTCAAAAGGCGAATAACATAGAGAAAATAGTCGTAGGCCGTAAAATGATTATATTCTCGCTAGCGGGTGTGACAAGGCCATGCCATGCCATGCTATGTGGTCCGTATCCCTAATCCCTAATCCCTAATCCCCTAGATGCCGATAAAAAGTCGTCAACGCCAAACGCCAAAGTATATGCATGCATAGTCGCATCCATTCCTCCCCAGAATCCCCATCCCAGCAAAAACACCCTCACGCCGCAGCCTTGACAACCAACACACTAGCCCCCAACTTGGCCTCCCACACCTTCTCCGCCAAAAGACCAAGCGTACTCGACGCCGACGAGACATTGCGAATATCATCCGCATCCCCAGCGCTCAGCGCACTGTTTCTGCCAATATTCCGGCCTAGAACAATGAGATCGCCCGCGTTGCGGGGCGCCTGGCCGACCTCGATGCTAGCACGGGCAATAACGTCCGTGACGGGCGCCGTGGAAGTGACCGTCTCGAAGACGACGCGGTTTGCAATGTCGAGGGGGAGGGAGTCGCGGAGGGCGGCGAAGAAGGCGGCGTCTTGGTCGCGGCTGGGTTCTGTGGTGGAGATGAGTTCGCCGGCTTTGCCGAGGACTTGGGAGGATGAGGAAGTGGGTGTGTCTCCGAGGAAGGAGTCGGGTATGTCGAAGTGGATGATGGTTGCCGTGACTTGCGGGTTCTCGGCGAGTTGGAAGACGAGGCGGAGAGCGGCGCGGTCATCGTTGCCGCCGAAGAAGGGAAGGAAGATGTGGTGGCTGCGGTCTTGGATGGGTGCCGTCACTTGCTTCTCGCGAGTGCTGGCAAGACTGATGTTGCTGTGGGTTCGAGTGAGTTTGAGACGCTGCTTGGGTTCCTTGTTCTTGCTGCCGCCAAAGTTCTTGTTGACGAGTACGGCAACGGGCGTGCTGGCATTCTCAAATGTCGAGTTGACAAAGGATGTGTATGATGAAGCGGCCAGCTTGTTCTTCGTACCCTTGTCTTCGATGATAGCTTGCTCCGACATACCACCTGTCTCGCTCCACGGGAGAACGAGGAGGTCAGAGTCGGATGCTCGTGCGCTCAGGGTTTCTGCAAAGGATGACTCGGGCACGACTAGTACTTCACCACTGACTGCGAGATGGTGCATTCTGCCAAAGGTCCGGAAAGTATTCACCACAGGATCGTACGCAGTGTACGAGTCCATCTCAGAGACCTGCATGACAGACGATCCACGATCCGTCAGGTTCAACAGACGTAGCCCGTACGCTTCTACTGGACGAACTGGTTCAACAGAAGACTCTGTCGCTTCTTTGGTCGAGGTCAAGGCCTTGGAAGGATGTACTTTTGCAGCAGGCGCATCTGTGTTGCCACCAAAAAGGGAGGCGAATGCCAGAAGGTTAGGCATACTGTCCAATCGCAAGTAAATGGTCAGTCGCTTGATCTTCTGGGCCGCTAGCTTGTCGTAATTGAGGCTGTCGTCTGCGGATTCAGCGCCTTCCACGGGTTTTCCGGTATCCCAGTCGATGTCTCCCCTGCGCCACGACTCAACCTTCTTCTGGTACCAAGCAGGATAGAAGTAGATTGTCAATGGGGAAGAGGCAAACGTCGTGACAAGAGCCATGACGACAAAGATGGTGAAGGTTCGCGGACTGAGAATTCTCGCATTGAGACCAATATTCTGCACTTTTTAGCTCTGCACTTCTAGTTTTGGCGATTGGGAGAGAAATGCTTACCAGCACAATCAGTTCGACCAGACCCTTGCAACTCATCAGCGAACCGATGGCGAAGCACTCGCGCCACAGCATCTTGGTTCCACGAGCCGCGAGCGTCGCACTGATGAATTTAGAGAAGAACGCGACGGCGATGACACCAATGACGTAGGCCCAAGTTATTCCCGAGTCCAGGAGACCGATGTTCGTATTCAGACCAGAGAGGGTGAAGTAGAGTGGGAGAAAGAGGGCGCCAATGAGATCTTCAATCTTCTCGGCCACCTTGATGGCAAACCCTCCCTCATGCGGGCAGATTATACCGGCCATGAAGGCACCGAAAATCGGGTGGACACCAATGATGGCTGTGAAGAATGCTGATCCAAGGGCAAGTAGCAGCGTAAAACTAATGACTCCCTGCGAGGGGCCATCCTGAAGCGCGCCAGATCTGCGTAGAAAGTACACGAAAAGTGGCCGGACGAGGTAGACGAGAAATAACATGTAGCCGGCGCATGTTAGCAGTACCCAGAGCGCTGTCAGACCGCTTCCGGCATTGACGAGTGCAACGCAGAGAGCCAGCAAGATCCAGCCTAGGCAGCGTTAGCTTTGAAGTAGGAGAAAACGGGCACTCTGGACATGTACTCACCCACAACGTCGTTAGCAACACCGGCGGATAGGACGATGACGCCGACTGGGGTCATGAGAAGCTTCAACTCTGTCAAGATACGGCACAGGACGGGGAAAGCCTGGTAGATCAGCAATAGTTTCGTGTCTAATTGAGGAAAAAGCATACCGTGATAGCCATGGCGACTCCAATGAACAACATGAAGACGGGGAAATCGACGGGTACCATACCCGGTTCGTCTTTGAATTCGTTATGCAAGCCTACGGCGATGGCACAACCCAGTCCAAATGGGATTGCCATGCTGGCGACGCCGACATTGAGGGCGACTTTCCAGTTTCCCATGAGGAAGCGCAAATCGACCTCGAGACCGATGATGAAGAGAAAAAGCGTGAGACCGAGATTGGCGACCAGATTGAGATTTGCCATGGAAGCCTCGGGGAAGATGGACTGCTGGAAGCCTGGTATCCGGCCCATGACCGATGGACCTAGGAGGATGCCTCCGATAATCTCGGATATCACACGAGGCTGTCGAATTCTTGAAAGTGGCCAGTTCAATGCTCGACAGAAGATGATGATGATGCCAGCCTGTTGAATCACGGGATCAGCTTCAGCTCTCGATGATGAGTAAACATCAGCCTACCTGGATAATGAACAAAACAATCGGATGCTTCGCATCGTAATGGGCTGGATTTACGCCCTCAAGCACACCAGCTTGCGGCGGTGCCTTTTGAACCTCCGTCGCCGCCGCGCTCATAGAACTCATAGTCGACGACATGATGAGGAGCAGGTGGGGGGGGGGGGGAGCAGCACTGGAGCCGAGAAGAAGGACTCAGCGTTGGAACCAAGTGGCCCCCAGCAACAGCAGCAAGCTCACAGCACGGAAAGGAAAAAAAGGGAAGCAATGCCGCGAAATAAAAAAAGAGGAGAAGTCGAGCCGTAGCAGCAACAGTAACAACAGCAGACGTCTTGCTTTCCCATGGGCTTTTTAAAAGAGCCAGGAGGACCGAGAGGCAAGGCCAAGACTGGGAAGAGGCGCTGTGATAGTCCTAGCGCCGAGTGGGATCGTGCAGGTGGTGTGGTTTGGCCAGTTTGGACATGCAGGTAGGTTTAGTAGGGTGTACTCTATGCGGCGGGAGCTAGCTAGCGAGGGGTGAGAGGCAACGAGCAAAGTGTTGCAACAGAAGTGGTGGATAGGGTGCGGGCTGACCGCGTGCATGTGATGCGGAGATGGCGGTCCTCGTGCTGGAGCGTGCTGGGGGAGGTTGCAGGTTGCAGGGAGGTGTTTGGGAGCCGTGTGTGGGGTTGCGAGGGTTGCGAGGGTTGCGAGGGTTGCGAAGAGACTCACCGCTGGAGTGCGGCGCGTGGTTGGGTACGAGGGCTGGTGGTGGTGGTGGTGATGGTGGTGGTGGTGGTGGTGGTGGTGGTGACTGGTGGTGGCGGCTGCGCGTGGGCGGAGTTCCAAGCTGAAGGGCTAATCGGCCCAATGGCGATCAAATTGGCGGGCTGACTTTTTTCTTTGATCGTGAGAGTGGTTGCACCATGCACCATGGACGTCTGATGGCCAACACCCGTAATTGGAGCTGAGAGGCGATGCGATGTAGACACTGGTTGTTATAGCGTGAGAGCTCAACTGCATGTCGTCTCTCTGACATCGACAGCTATAGTACCGTACATGGCCCATCTTAGCTAGCCACCTACAGCACCTACCTTCTACTGATTTCTTTGTTCTTTTCCCCTTCGCTCCCCTCCCCTCTCTCTCTCTCTCAAAGGAATCATCTCGATCGCAATCGTGAATGTCCATGACTGTCCATCTCCGACAGCCAAGGCCTGGACAAGCCAGCTCTGCATCGACATACCTGCTCAGATGATATCACCGTCGCGCTGTCCATGCCAGATCTGCAGAAAAGAGTCATCTGCCTCCGAAGCTTGTAGAACTAAGGGCAAGTGAAGCCCCACAAATCCCTACGCCCGTCACGTGCAGATCCTGACCTGGGGGATCCACGCGCCTACCGCGACTAGCGCATCGGCCAGATAAGACGTTGCAAGACGTTGCAAGACGTTGCAAGACGTTGCGAGACGTTGCGAGACGTTGCGAGACGTTTGCAAAGTAAACCTCTACTGTGCTCACTGTACTGGGTACATCCCCACGGCAGCCGAGCCAACCGTTTCAACTTGCCCAAGCTCAAAGCTACCGGAATAGTAGAGGATACCGTACATCCATCTCTGGACACCTGCCTGCCTGCCTGCATCAATACTACCGGTACTAGAGTACGACTCAAGACACTGCTAGGACTAACTCGGTCGCGCAGTCGTGCCTCTCTTACTACACTCGTAACGTACCAGGTCCCTTAATACAGCGAATAACAGTAACCCAGCCAAAATCAAAATACTTCCTTCATCCCAATCAACAACAAAAAACCGACACCTTCTCCTACCACCACAACCTCAATGGAACAACAGTGCTATCCAAACCCCAACCCCAACCCCACCACCCCTCTATCCAAAGCAAAAACAAAGGCACAATTGCCAACCACCCACAACAACCAAAAAAAAATATCCCTCCCACACCAACAACCAAACCCCACAACAACACTCAGGCCTTCAATTCCCCCCACTCTCCTACATATGTACTACTGTACACACCCCAAGCACCCCATGCAGACAAATGTCCGATGACGTCACCCATCGCTCACACTAATGTACCCTACGGTCCTCCCCGCCCCCTGTCACCAGCTGCATCGGCCCACGAGGATTCGTCTAACGAGAAAGAGACTATGATCTTGCATTGCAGTATAACAAGCGGAGATATATGACAATGCCGGACATCATCTCGCCATGTCCGAATATCTGGTACACCGGCGAGAAAATGGGCGCGCTGCTGGATTGGAATTTGCACTGGTCAGCTTGTGCGTGAGCGGGGTGAGTCAGTCTATGGCGTTTTTCACGAGCTTATCATCTTCATGTGCTATGTATCCCATATCCTAGATCCCAACCCACAAACTCCACACACAAATCCTATACCCTGCAATCCACAACTCCACGCCCACCCTACGACGCCGGACTCGGCGGCAACGCCCCCGTATTCCAACGCCGCGGCTCAGGCCCAAGACTATAATGCATGGTGCCTCCGGCTTCAAACACGTCTTCCCACGTCACCCAGCCTTGGTCCCAAGATTGGCCGTTGACTTTGAGGGATTGGATGTAGGAGGGGGGAATACTACCATTTCCATCCCTACTACTACTACTACCACCACCACCACCACCACCGCCGCCGCTCGTAGTGATAATAAGGGTCCCCCCGCTTGGTAAGCTAAGCGTCATCTTTTCAAACCAAGGGGCGAGGACGAGAAAAGTGGTTTGGCCTGTTACGGGGTAGAGACCGATCATTTGCCACTGAGGAAGTTCCGCATTAGCACCATCTCCTCGCGAAGTCCCAACGCGTAAATAAAAAGCACAGAAGAAAACAAAGGCGCGTACAAACGGAACAAAGGACGAAAGAAAACAAAACAAAACAAGACCAAAAAAATTTTTAAACTCACCAAAAGATTACTCTCCATAGCCCCCGCATCCGAATTCCCCGGCAACCCAGCCTCCCCACCACCATACAGCCTGCCAATGCTACGACTGCGATTGACACTGCGCCACTGCTCCCCAGCCACATAGTTATACAGATAGGGCGTGAAGAAACTAGGTTCATTATCCGCATGAAACAAGCCGATATCGAAAATCGCATTCAAGCGATCGAGAAAGCGGACATCGCCTCCAATGCGACGCTTCAGCTCTGCAACGTCGTGAATGGCGTTCATGCTGTAGATCCAGCTGCTGTCCTCGTACGAGGTGTCGGGCCAGTAGCAGCGGCCGCAGACGGTGGGGTCGGAGGGGGGAAAAGTGCCGTTGGACAGGCGGGGGGAGAGGAAGCCGGTGTGGTTGTGGGATGTGGTGTTTGGATTCCATTGGTTGCGCCAGTTGCGGCTGCGGTTTAGATAGCGCTTGGCTTCGTCTGCTTTGCCCAGGCCGAGGGCGACTTGGTACAGGGCAAAGTCGTTGGTTGCGTACTCGACGCTGCGAGAGACGGCGCGTGAGAAGCGCGGGGTGATGTAGCCGTGTTGCAGCCAGTCTGGGAGGGCGCCGCGGCCTTCTTTGGTGGATGAGTCGGGGGCTTTGGGGTCGAAGTTTGCGCGGGGGACTACTTCGGCGTCGGTTTGCATGGCTGCGAAGCCGTCGGTCCAGTTGATGGAGCCCCGGAGTCCTTTGACGTAGGCGTCGGCGAGGACGTTGTCTGCGTTGGAGCCGACTTGGACGCGGCCGTTGTAGTTGGAGGAGCGGGCGTCGGGCATGAAGCCGTCGCGTCGCCAGATGTCGATGAGGGAGCGGATGAATTCTTCGTAGGCCGTGGGCTGGAGTATGTGGAAGAGTGCAGTGTGGCAGCGGTGTGTGTCCCAGAGTGTAAAGATGTCGTCGTAGTAGGGCTCCGAGGAGGACCAGGATGGGTTTTCACCAGTGCGGTTGGAGGGGATGAGGAACATGCCGTATAGAGAGCTGTAGAGGAGTTGAAAGTCTTCTTCGCTTGAAGGTGTGATGTGAATTTTGCCAAAGACATCTTGGTTCCACTGCGATCTTGCGGCTTCTACAAGCGTGGAGAGTTCGGTTCGTTCTGGAATTTCCTTGTCGACATTTTGACAGGCTTTCTCGGTCGAGAGGAAAGAGATGCCAACGCGCGATGTGATGTTTGGCTTAGAAAAGGTAAAGACACCTCCTAATCTTGCCCTGCCGGATATCGTAGTCGGGTTACCGAAAATACGTGAGGCGCTGCCATTGCCACTGAAAAGCCGGGAGTGGATGGGGTGCTGATTGAATCCACCACAAAAGTATATCGTCCAGTCTGGTGACAGGTTCCATCCATTATTGTAGATACCATGGCCTTCATAGTGACCGTCTCGAAAGATACTGAAACTTCCCCCGGAGTAATGTTGCTCCCACTTGTACGGCCTGAAGCTAGGCAGCACGTGGGAGACATCAACAACAATGGACGACGTGCTGTTGCTTGGAAACGAATAAGAGTACAGGCCAGCATGTTCTGATGCTGCAAGCTCCAGAGTGACTCCATTCACCAAAGAAGTCCTATAGTACCCCACACTTCCCTGATCTGGCATGGCTCTTCGTTGGCTCAGATTCGCGAGCGGATCGGAAACGTTTCCAACGACTGGCATTTGTGAAACGACGCCATACTTGGGAGCACCGCCGGTTCCAGACTCGTGCATCAAACTAAAGCCCCAGACGTTGCCTTTGGGGAGATAGCCTGAATAAGCTTCATACGTCTGGTTTTCAACGTCTGGTCCCAGCTTCACCATGGCAAAAGGCTTAGCCACGACGCCTGGAAACCTATTGCCACCACGCTGTGTTCCTTGACTAGTGTTTTGGTGAGAAAAAGAGCATGGATGGGGTCTAGATACATACAACACGTTTACATATTGGCTGTAGTCGACATAGGCTGCCGTGAGCACAGGAAGTGCCAGCAAAGCTAGGCATCTTCTACCAGCAGAGCTAGGCATCATATATCCCTCGCTAGCATGCTGTCACTTAATAGCGAATGCCTTTACCGACGTACGATAACCTGTTCTGGGGATCTCCAACGTAGGTGCCAAGGATGGTGGTTTGGGAATGTAGTCGCAATGAGCCCCCTCCATCTACAGTAATTGAATTGGAAAAGACCATGAGGACCCCTGACTAGCCGCGTACCAAGCCCACCATGACTATATCGATGTAGTCTGAAGCCATTGACGCAGGGGGATTCGCGATACCAATAGACTCGGCCCAGGCCAATTAGCGTTTTGCGGCTGAATCTTGTATCTGAAGTCTCTGTCTTGTCAACACCAAAACCAATACTTTGTCATGATTGAAATATAAGAAAATAGGCCGGAAAATGAGTTGATCAAATCTTGGCTTTGGTTGTCACTCGCGATGCTGTGTGACCCTTCATAACGTGCGACTGTACTGGTCAGGTCCCGTTAGGGTGACCAATTTCGATATCGTGGTAGCCGGCCAATCACAGGCCTGAATGATAAAATCGAACATAGGCATTATTGTACTTTGCTTTCTGATTGCTTTTCTGTGATCGCTCTTCTCTTGCCAACCCGAGCAAGATGCCTGTGGTGATACCGCTGACTGTGCTGGGACGCGAGATTTCCCATGGTACCATGGTACTACCTGGTGTCGATGCCGATACCATGGGTCCAAGAAGGCGCTGGTTCTCCCCAAGCATTCTCATGTCCGTGGCTACCATGTCATTGTGCGTTATATTTCTACAGAGTTGCGTACAAGGGTACGATGAGTGGTTCCAGAGGTGACCCGGATGCCATGTCATACTGTTACAGAGATCCTTACAACTCCATGGCCATCCAATGCGGCCACTACTATGGTTCCCGGTGCTCTCTTCATGATTCGTACAATTCGGAATCCGCCTCTTGCCTCCCTTCTCCACTACCACACCCTACACAGCACCATGCCTCCCAGCTGCCGCTCCACGCATTCTCTAGCCTCCAATATCCCTCGATCTGTTGTGACGAACATGCACTCTCCTGGATGCGTCAATCCATCGACGTATTTTGCCTCTTGTGCCCTAGTGATCTTTCCCAAGTCTGCTGATGTGACCCATATCCGCCGTGTAGGTTTGGACACGAGCTTCATATTCTTCAGCACCGGCTCGTTTTGCCAGTACTTGAGGCCGAGCCACAGCCGTCTCCGCGCGGCGTTCTCTGGCACGTGTACGTCGTGAACTTGCTCCTGAGGCAGCGGTGATTTGGCAGCGCCCTTTCCTTCTATGGGGTACGCAAGCCAGGGCTCTTCCGCCAATGTTTTTGCCATGGCTTCCATTTTTTCGGGGTCATGTTGTGCTTGTAGGAGGAATGGCTTGGGTGGTGCTGGCCCGCCGAGTGTGACTGAGGAGAGGAAGCCTTCGCGCTGCAAACCCAGGGCGAGCTTGACATGCAGCTTGGAGACAGGGATGGAAGTTAATCCGAGCCGAGCCTTGGAGGCATTCTGCAGATGTGAACACACGGCTGCAAGGTTGACGAGGGACATGGTGGCGGATGTGGTGGGGGGGGGGGGGGGGGGGTGGTAGTGACGGCGGTGATGGATTCGCCCTCGAATGGGCTGCGATGGGGCGGCGAGCGCGCTGGCTGGGCGAGATATTCCGTACTGATACGGCGCAGGATCAACTATCAAGCCCAGTATCGACGTCAATGCTTTCTTGCTTTGCGCTGCGTGTCAATTGCGCATCGAGTCGTTGGGGGCCTCTCGCGAAGGTCGGGGCCGCAAATTTCTGGATTGGCTCGGAGGTCCGAGTCACGGGTTGCGGACCTGGCCATTTCGCGGGCTGGCGGCTAGTCACTCTCCGCCCTAGAGTCGTGGGCGCTTCGACGACACAAATAGCAGAAGGCGCAGCGGCATTGACCAAAGCCGTCGAATCCTCATGAGGACATGTTTGGCAGCCTGGCCAGCTATATAGAGTCTCTGGTCGTGCAACTTTTAGATGTTTCTTTGCTTGTAACACCTGTTTGCTGCCTCATCACTCACCTTGGTGCTTGCTTATGGTACAAAGTGCCCCTCAGCATCCTTGGGCCTTGTAAACCTTGGGAGCTCACCAAGCTGACTGACTGACTGACTATTCACTGTTTTCCTGCCTGTCCACCTACCTACTTGTCTCCCCACTGTTTACTCTTGCAATCCATACACCATGCCCCCGCAGCAGGGAGAGGTGTCGCTTTTGACACTGTGAGCCCCCCATCCATCCTCTTTCCCTCAGACCTGGACTAACTCCATCACCACCACAGTTTCGCAGACATTCACTACTACATTTCCCCACCCTCCCAAATCCCTCCACACCATCGCTTCGACAAAGGCTCCTATGTCTACCTCTACCACAACCCTATGCACCAGACTGGCCGGATAGAAATCGCCAACCACGCGGGCACTCCCAACCAGGATGCCTTTGCTGGCCGTGAGTCCTTGAACCAAGGCATATGGCATGTGCATTGCATGCTAACAAAACATTTTCTTACCCAGAATTGGACACGATAAAGATTGAACAAACATACAAGCACCCATGCCTCTTCACAATCACAGTCGACGCTTTTCGCAGTCAGTCTGGCAGTCCTGCGTCGACCCCCCACCAGGATGTTTCACAATGGCACCTGCCCACACCAGATCCCAACAACCAGGGCAAATACATGTATAGACTCCACACCCTAGATTTATATTTCTGGACACCGGAAGACTCGAGCTTGTTCCTCGACTCGATTCGCAGGGTGCTGCAGCCACACCAGTTGCAGATCGTGAGCAACCCCAACGCTACACCCACTCATTCCGAACACAAAAACGACGCCCTGAGCCCAGTCATTGCAAGGCTGGAAAGCGTGGCTATTTCACACAACAGCCGAACGCCAAGCGTGGGCACTACGCAGTCGTTTCCAGGACCACCGGCAGCCCCAGCGCCTGCTTCCAGTCCGCCCAGCGAGCAACCACCCAACTATGCTCCCATGGCCTATAACCCTGCTGCTCCTGCTGCTCCTGAACCCATTGCCCATCGAGAGAAGACGCCTCCACCGCCGGACGCGGCCAATGGGACTGGACTTGGTAGTGCGGCCATGCACGATGCCCATGCACCGTACAGCAACCCTCTACAAGCATCGTATGCACCGCAGCCGACCTCGACTCCCTATATGCCGGGTCCACCAGCACCTGGCCAGGGCTTCAGCGGGCCTCCCAGTATGCACCGTAGCAATACGTCGGGGTCGTTCCCAAGTGCACCTCAGAGTCCTCCGTCCTTTGCGCCCCCACCGTCGGCACCCCCGCCAGGACCGTACAACGGGACACCGCCGCCCAATCTGAGCCGAGCGTCGACGATGGCGACCCAGCAATATGCAACCTATCCCAGCTCACCTGGCTTCCCACCTGCTCCTCAGTCACCCCCTGCGCATGGTGCTTTACCGTCGCCTGGCTTCCCTCCACAACACTATCAGCCAATGGCCTCTCCCCCTCCTGGAGGGTACTCGCAGTTTCCCTACGGTAGCACGGCCGGACAGGTGCCTGGTGCAGATGCACAAAACGTGCAGCAGCAGCTGTATAGGCCAAGCGAGAGTGAAGCGGCGGTTGTAGATCATAATGATGCAAACAAACAGCCATCATCGAACTTGGGGAAGCGGGTGGAAAAGGTGGAAAAGGGGGTAGGAAGGTTCTTGAAGCGGCTGGACAAGAAATTGTAATGTGAAGAGGGAGGACGGCGGGTAGTGAATGATGGATTGTTTTGTAGCCCTCCTGTGGCCAATTTAGCCAGCGCCGCGATTCCATGGCCGATTGTACCTCTTATGGCATATGTACCAGATACATGGCTCCGTATCATGCATCGAATCATGACCGTGACGGGGCGCCACAAATTTGACCAGGATTCATGTTCCAGCCACAGGCCCCCCACTTCCACTTCCACTTTCAGAGATGGCCGCTACCGGGGGGATAAATCAAGCAGCCCAGCCCAGCCTGTCATCATTCAAGCAACAGCAGCGACCAGCAGGTTTTGGGCATGACAGGATGCGAACGTTTGCATACATTGCATCATATCATACATCTCCTACCTACTCTACTATCCTGATGCCCTGAACGCAGAGCAGCTACGTGTCAAGAGGTACTCTCGTCGCACAATTGTGTTCAAACACCGGTGGTCAATCGTTGTCCAAACGTTCGTGGAATTCCCCCCTCGAATTGGGTGTCCCACACCTTTGGCCTTGTCATTTCCCGAAAAGCCCCAGCCACGTTTCCCTCTTTCTAGATCTTCTACATAGAGTCGCGTAGCCCTGCCTGCATCGCCGGCCCCGACATTGCCTCTTTTCCGGGTGCGGTCTACCTATCCTTGCCTTCAGCCTGGCGCCAAGTCCAACTCGAGGCGCAGTCCCAACCCAACATCTACTCTACTGACTCTACTCTACTTTGCCCATCTCACTTACCCATCTCATTTACAATCCTTCCTCTCTACTGCTTTCTACACTACTTCGCCGTTAACAACCCTACTTCCCCCCGTGGCAACGGCCGCGACCACCAGACCGAAACGTTCTAGCCCATGTACGGGTACCGGTAAGCCAATAGCGCGAAACAAAGACCAACCGGGGCATCAGGGTGCTGGTGGAAGCTCGGACAGGTCCCCACGTCGCCAGAGTGATCTCATAGCGACAAACGACAAACAAACAAAGCTCCTGGGAACAGGATTCCGGGCGTCAAAGAGGCTGACAGTGGGAAACATCTGGATCGCATCTGGACCATTGGCTGCCCTTGCATACCATGTGGTTGCCCTCACGGGACGTAACGGAAGGCGCGTTGGCGAGACGGATGGAGAACCAACACAAGACATTCCTCGTGGTACGCTTGCTTGGATCGTACGCGTTGCAACAGACCCCCAACGCTCGGCTTCTTTGTTTCCCACTGACCCCTCTGACCTTAGATTGGAATCATAGCCTTTGCCATACTCGCCATCTCCATTACCACCTATTTCTTCCGTCACAGATGGGGCCGGCGCTCCCACCTATCACCAAAACCAAAAGACGCTTCTCAAGGCAAGCTCCCTTCGTTGTTCTTGTGGAGAAATATTCGCAAGAGGTTCGGCCGCAATGGATACTCGACGAGTTTGCAGGATACCGCCTACCGTGGCAGCTCGAGTAGAGCAAGCCATGAGATGAGTCGGGCGGCAACCGACCCCGAGAGGCAGAATGGCGGCACCAATGCGGCTGGTGTTGATAGAAACACGTCGGTCCGCAGTGTCATGACATTGCCAGCCTACTCGCCCGCAGTAAGAGAAAACGAGCGCGTGCTGGCACGAGAAGGCGAAAGAGGAGGCATCGACTGCGTCATCGAACTTCCAGAAACCCTGGATGAGGAGGAACAGCAACGAGAGGAGGAGATGGAGTCGTTATACCAAATCAGATTGGCGCGACGCATCGAAGCCGCAGAACGCGAAGCACTACGACAGGCCAGGCGAGAGGCCCGAGCACGAGGCGACATACAAGCACTCGCAGATTTACGACGACAGGCAGAAGAAGCAGCAGACCGCACGATATCACAGATACTCATTGAAGAGCACCAAAACAGGGTCCGCAGTCGCGACCGACGAGTGTCCTCGGTAGCCTACGGTGACCTAGGCGTAGCCAGGCACGATGGTACACGCCTGCGGGCCAACTCGTCAGAAAGCGATCATCGGCCTCTGCTCGACTCTGCAGCATCCATCTCTGGACAGAGTGGGCAATCGCGTAGATACACGGGCAACACTCTCGACCTGACCGATTCCCACCGCCGCGGACTCTCCGTCACCTCCCTAGACTCAGACTACGATTTTGCAGACCCATCTCGTACTAATTCCCGCACCGATTCCCAGACAAATGCTAACAACGACGACTTTGAAGTCGTCCCGCTTCATCCGGAAAGAAGTCACGGCAGCAGTGGAATCCCATCTCCTCAAGCCGAGATTCCAGAAGAGGCACCTGCGTATGAAGATCCACCAAATTACGAAAGTCCTACCAATTCGCGGGCACCCCAATTGCCCACTCTGGAAAGACTACCAAGCATACAGGTTACGACGGAGCCTACGCCCGTCGAAGAGCAATCGCAAAACTCTTCGCGATAGTGCGCAAGAAAACACTTATGAGATAACGAAGTCATGGGAACCATGGCGTCTTTTTGCATTTGTCACATTTCTTCGGCTACATATTCCAAGCATCTAATACGGCGCAAGTAAACGGGAATCTATTGTAACACCTTTTCAGCATTCAATGGAGATGGAGCGAAAACCAAGTTTTGGTTGATACTTACCTTGAGTACAGAGTCAGTCTACTTACCCCTACGGCTAATTTGACTTTGCAATAACAAGAAAGAGTTTTGTAAATTTGTGTTATGGGATATTCAGCATAATTCGCAGCGATTCTGCCTTACTAACATGAAGACATCGGTCTCGCTTGTATTGCAAGTAACCGCTTCATGTCATACATGCGGCTGTGAAGCCGAGACGTTGAGACAGGAAGGCGATTTTATGCTTTTGGAACGATTGATCAAGAACACAGCTGATTCGAAAGAAAATCATTCATTCCTTGAGCCCATCGACATTGAGCCAGTATCGATCAAAACTATACATCAACTTTACATTGCACTTCCCTCCGGCACCCACTTGGCCGTCCAAATCCTCATGCGTTTCCCCCAAATGATCATAGGAATCGTAGCCAGACCGAAAGCCCCCATCAGCATACCAAAAATGCCAAACGGTTCAGCCGGACCCGCCTTCTTTACCCAATCACTCACGAAAAACGTCCATGCAAAAGACACAATCGATCGCACAAACGTAACAGCCACAAAGCAGTCTCCAGCCACGGAGCTGTACGACTCAATCAGGTAGTTGAAGCCTACACTGGGTGCCTGCATGAGCCCAACAGATACCATGCCCAGACCGAATTGCAGGCCGACCCAGCCGGTGGAAGAGGGGTTCTGCGCAGCAAAGCCGAAGACAAGGGCGCCCGCTGTGGCAATGAAGAGGGCAGGCAGAGCGGTGACGAGTCGGGATTCGGGCTCTGTGAAGCCGTGAATATTTTTTGTTGCGAGGCGTTGGGTTGTAAAGTCTGAGATGAAGTATGTGTAGACCTGTTGTGGACATGGTAAGCAGGTGAAGAGTGTTGTGTGGAAGATGTAAAAGACTTACACCGCCAAGGATAGCACCGATGATACCGCCAATGTTGATGAGACCAACGTCTTTGCCCCAGAGGTAAGGCGGGGCGGCAACCAGTTGAGGCCCGATGGTGCTCATGGTGACGATGAGACCGACCAAACCCGCATACCATCCGGACACAAGCCACACACCCGGAAGTCTCATGACCTTGTATGGCGCCGCAAACTTCTTTGCAATACCAGGACGGTACGAGATGAGTTTCAGAGAGCGCATGTACGAGTACGCTGGGTACGAGGCGGGCGCAGAGTTTGCAACGACAACAGCAGCTTCTTTGTTGTGGAAGCCAGACTTTTCGCCGTCCTCGGACATGGAAATGGTTGCTTGGGGGCGGTCGTAGAGCGTCTCAGCTTGGAAGACGAGGCAGAGCGCGAAGGTGATGGCGGAGAGGAGCACGTTCATCCAGTGGAGCCAGGCGAGGCCCATGGAATCGACAATGTAGCCACCTGCAACACCACCGACTGTCGATCCAAGCGATAGAAAGACCGTGTATAATGCCTGCATGATCCAAAACTAGTCAGCACCCATTCACACCAATCTTCCCATGTCAAGCTTGCCGAAAAAATAACCATACCATGGCACGACCACGCTGATGCACAAAGAAGATCTCGCCCACCACATCCGGCGAAACCGCATCAGCAGGCGCCCCTCCAATCCCCATAAACAGCCGCGCCACCAGCAAGCTCTCAAAGCTCGTAGCCAGCCCAGCCCACATGCTCGACAGCACAAGCAGCAGCAAACTCCCCAGAATCACAGGACGCCGACCAAATGTGTTGGCCAGCGGAACCCACCAGATATTAGCCGCACCCACCATCAACACATTGACAGCAATCAGATTTGTCAATTTAGCAAAGCCCACTGGTGGTGTCCCAAACACGGGTGTTGCTGCATCTGTAGGACGTGGGAATACCGTCAGCCACTTTGTTTCCTTTCCCCCCCCCCTCCCTACCTACTGCGCGTCACAAAAACCGGCCCAGACAAAAATGGAACCTAAAAGAAACAGGAAGCACGTACAAATCGGCAGCGCACTCGACATGGACGCACTCGTCACATTTACAACAAACGGATGCAAGGACAAAACGCCCAGCATCGCCAATTTCCTCCAAACGGGTAGGTTCAGCGGATCCGCGGGGTCGGTCGTGGGTTGCGGTACCAGGCGTATCTCGTTTTGCGGGATTTGCGAGGCGGTTTGTTCGAGATGATCTGTGGGTACATACTGCGGCGTTAGTAAGGTGGTTGGGGTTGGGATTTGGGAGAGGAAGTTTGAGAGAGGGGAGTTTGGGGGTTTGGGAGGGAAGGGGGGCGCACCAATTAGTGTTGAAGTCCCAGGTGGAATTGCGTTTTGTACGGTTTGTTTTGAGAGGGTGAGGGCGGTGCGGAGGGTTGTCATTGTAGCGGTGTTGGGGGCTGGGGGTTGATGCTGGGGGTTGAGATGGATGGGGATGGCAGATGGCAGATTGCGGACGAGTGATGGCAGATGGCAGATACAATATACTCCGTAGACACAGCGTATCTATATATACACTACAATCCCAAAGTAAAAAGCAGAGCTCACAAAATTCGTTGCAGTACACAGTTCCACAGTAAAGGGTTGGAAGCGTTTGAGATAAGCTTATATATATATGTCCATCTCTCATCTATCTCTACATCCCTCGCCCACCCCACCCCATCCCGCTAGCATACCCACCACACCTAGCATACACACATACACCCTCACCCATCCCAGCATCACACTCCACACACTCCACCTCCTCACACACGCACATTTCATCCGTCCAAGCACAGCACTGCTACCCTGCATCCTGACGCAGCGTTCCGGACTTGGCTTGACCTGGCTTGGCTTGGCTTGGCTCGGCTCGGGATGTGGAGTTCGAGTCAAAGTGTGGATGTAGATGTAGACGTGCATGTGCATGTGGAAGTACGGTAGGAGTTGGCTAGGCTTGAATGGGGAGAGTATGGTGGGTGGCGGTGCGGGAGTGATGGGTGGTGGTGGGGGGGGGGGTATGTGAGATGCGAGATGTGAGATGCGAGATGTGAGATGCGAGATGTGAGATGCGAGATGTGAGATGCGAGATGTGAGATGCGAGATGTGAGATGCGAGATGTGAGATGCGAGATGTGAGATGCGAGATGTGAGATGCGAGATGTGAGATGCGAGATGTGAGATGCGAGATGCGAGATACAATACTGTTGCAATAGGTACCGTAGACTAGGGTGTGTGTGGGTAGGAGTAGGGTGTCCAAGTGCGGGTGGACCCGCGGTTAGTCTGCGCCACGGGGGCTATTTTCTGGGGCCGGGGCCTGGGGATGGGTGTGGGTCTCAAAGTTGGAAGCCAGATAGAAACGGGTTGGTTTGATGCGCGGTGCTGTGAGGAGGGGGGTTTATTATTTTTTGGTTAGTATTGGGTGTGAGTTTCAAGTTTTATCTTATCATTGGGACGTGCGGGATCTGGCTGGAGTGCATGGTGTGGTGTGGAGTGCGGATTCAGGGTGTCATTTCAGAATGTACCGGTACATAGGTACGGTACATGTCAAGGCTCGGGCGCAGATCAACAGCCGAGGGATACGGCAGACTCATTCGTCTACCTACCTACAAGATGCAGACCGCAGTCCCTCGAGCAGCAGCACAAGATTCCCCACGAGCGGCGGACACGCCTCGACCGCATCATACTGGCCCCTGAGCAGGTGAATCAACTCATCCATGACGCCGGCCAGATTGTCCAACGGCACAATGGTCTGTGAGCGCAGACTGCGGATCGAGGGGATCCCACGATCCAGCGTGATGAATCGCCGTGCGTTGAGCACGTCGTCTCCGTTGAGTATCGCATTGATCTGCAGATTGTCAACCGGACTTGATGCTGCGCTCGATTGCTTCAAGTAGCCGTAGGCCCATAGTATCAGGCCGGCGTGATAGACGGTGATGGCGTTGAAGTTGGACAAGAGCGGCTTGGGTAGGCCCTCGGCAGCACGCAAGACTTGGCCCGCATGCCACAGCGCCTGGCGCGCGGATACGCTGTCTGTCCAGTCTCGGAGTCCGGGGTAGACGGCGCGGGCTTCTTCCTGGCCCTCGATGCCGGCGAAGAGCTGGATGTTGTCGAGAGGGGCGTTGAGATGGACGAGGGTGAGTTCGAGGGTGAGTTCGGAGCTTGGGGTGAGTGGGGGGCTGCTGAGGCGGAAGTCCTCGAGTTGCTTGGTGAGCTCTTGGTAGCGCGAGGAGAGGATGAGGCTGTTGTTTGCTGCTTTGTGGGGGCATTTGGTGAGGCTGGCCATTTGGCGGTATTCCCAGACCATGCCCCACATCATGTAGAGGTATGTTGTGCTGGCGTGATCGTGATGTATGAGGTCCAGATTTAGGACGCATTCGATTGCCGAAGGACGTTTGGGACTGGCTTGTATCGTTTCCAGGTAGGCTGCTTTCCAGGAAGCAGCAGACTTGGCTTGCCAGAGAATGTTGGGACTTGGTAAGGGGAGTTGCATTTCCGAATAAGTCATTAGCGGCGGTTTGAGTAAAGCCATGGAAGATTGTCTGTCGAGCTCGAATGTACGATATACCAAGCGGAGATAGGATTCTTGGTGTACCCAGGATAGCCATTTAGTCTCCAGTGCTTGGCCCTGTGCATCTGGCGAGGGTGCGATTTCCTTCCAGGTGGAATTGCGGAAACGACCGCCACGTCTCAGCATGGTCATCAAGGGTTGGAGGAAGCTTTCTGCAATCTCCATCTTACGACTGATGCCACTCCACATGCCAATCTTGAGTTGGAGGAAGAGGTTTCGGACATGTTGCAGATCTCTGATGGCTGTATGATCTTCATCAAAAGCCCTGCCTTGCTAGTCACACGGGTCAGCTTGCGTTATAGTGGTCTCGTGTTTCGAATCAACTTACACTAACTCGAGATGCCTCATGCAGGGCGAAGCCAAGCTTCCGCAGAGGTATATCCGGGGTCATGGCCGCTCCCGCTGACACTATACATGCTAAGAGTTCCGGACTTATTCTTGACGGCGAGAAAGTTGGCAGATGTAACCATGTCTGTGCATCCAAGGAGGGTGAAGTCAAAAAGTATTGGATCAGGCCGTCTAGTAGCTCAACACTTGGGAAAGCAGACGCGATCCGTCTCACGTTTTCTGGGCTACATGTACCAATTACAAGGGCTAATAGTCGGTCGCGGCTCGCGCGATTTAGTTTCTCTACAATTACACGGCGTTGCGTAATGTTCGAGCGATAGTTGCCATCTCTTTCATCTGCAAAGGCAAGATCCACTTGCTCTGCACTACTAAAATCTTTGTTTGGCTGTGGAAGATATCGCCAGATACTTTGTTTGAAAGCTTCTGTGCCTACGGGGACACTGCCGTTGTCAGAAAGCTGTATCTCAGGGCCCAGGGCTTCGGTCGATGGAGTGCCAGCTGCAAATGGCACTTGCAAATTGTACTGATCCAGAAGTCCAACGTCGACTTCAGTCAGTCCAGTGTCCAGGTCGAAACTAAGGTCCATAATTCCACGCGGAGGGGCTTGACCAGACATGAACAATTCGAAGGGAGGAGGATTACGAAAGCTGTCTGGTAAACCAGGGTTGTTTCCAGTCGTTTGATCAAATTGTGGGATGGATTGGCTGAAAAAGGCCAAAGAATTCGTCGAATCTTCGTTGTATGACTGAAGCATATTTATCGGGGGTTGCATCTCGCCTGCTTGGAGCATAGACCTTTTGCGACTGTGCGAATGAATATCATGATGCATCATGCTGGCTGTATCCGCCATTGTCAAAGATTGAGGATCCTCGAATTGCTGTGAGCCTCCAATACTTCTCATACTTACCATGGCAGACTGCTCAGAACTATCGTCCTGGCCAGGTGCTGACGACGGGTGATCAAAGCCGTTTGAGAGATCTAGAAGATCATGTGCTGCATGAACAGCATCTATCTCATGTGTTTCATCTTCTCCTGTGGTCGAGGCTTCGGGTACTCGGCAAGGGATATCTTTCTTCTTGCATCGACTACATGGTTTTTCATCCTCACATCGAAGGTGACTTTGTGAACAAGCCTCGCAGGCTTGTACTACTCTGGTGTCTCTTGCAATTTCTCGCTTCTGCCGCTTGCTAGCAGACTCCGACCTGTGGTTTGTCACATGCCTCTTGAGGAGGTCTCTGTGCTAGGTTAGAGGAATGATAACTTGACACTGACAGGTAGTTATATAGTAAAGCTACTTACATGCGCGCAAAGCCTTTGGAGCAGACTGGACAAATGTAAGGCTTGGACTTCGTGTCTGTATATCATGAGTCAGCATAGGCTGGGTACTTTAAAAAAAAACTTGACTAGGTAGTGATGATGCATTGGCGATCCTTACGTTGCCAGTTGTGTGATGAACTACAGGCGGATGAGGACCAACTTCGCCATCACGGATAGTTCAAGGTGAAGTATTGACACCTATACAGTGTCCTAAGAATCATCAGACTTGCAGACTTACGCGCTCTCACGTGTCTCGTGAGGTGATCCGCCCTTGTGAAAGAGCGCTTGCATGTGGAGCATTGAAATAACCGCGCGGGCTGGTTTACTTCGGGCAGAATTAATTGTTCGTGGGTTTGGGTAGTTGTTGCTTGCATAGTGGAATCTACACTCAATTGTACCGAGCGACGACTTCTCGGGATAGTGAAGTGGAGGAGATTTGAAAGCGGTCGCGAGCGTGGAGGGGTTGAGACAAATGTGACGGGGTAGTTAGTGCGGATTGAAGTGCATGACGCGTTGGCATGCCTCGGCTAACGTTATCCGCTACGCTTGTCTCCCCCACATCGCGACGGTTTGCTGCGATCTACCAATATGGACCGGCTTAGTATAGATTTCATTTACTATGATCACGGCAGTTCATCACCTCCAGTACATCCTTGAGGCACATTGATCCGAATTGGATACGACTGTGCCTACCTAAGTCAACAACACCCCCACCACAGCCAAACGTTATACAGCCTAGACATCAAGCAAGAGCTACTATCGATCCAATTCTCTCTCAGCAAAATCACAATGTGGAAATATTCAATTCTAGTGGCCCAATTCTTTTCAATTGGTTCAAGAATTATGTTTGGTGAAGAGTGACAGACTCCCACTACTGGACAGTGTGTGGCGACATGGTGGGCGCTCCGTAGGATCTGAAGACGTAACTCACCTCAACAACATGGCGATAAACCCCAAGTCCATAAATTCACCGTAAGCTTACATTCACCCCAAGACATACATCGACTGCGACCCGGTACCTGACCTCGAACCGTGCGAAAAGCAGGTAAGCATTTTCGGTGAAAACCATTATCCATGCACAGCCAGTTGCGGAGTTCGATCAAATCCCTGACATACCGGTATATCTCGTACTGATCAGATTCAGCTGGAAGGGCCGACCCACGACCATGGTCAGCATGGGCCACCGTGCGTACATTCAAGGAGAGAAACTTACAATACCCTCACAAACTTCGATGTACGCCTCTGATCACTCTATGAATAGACATAATCTATCCTGACCGTACAATTAACAACAGAACACACGTTATAGGCTTCTCCACAAGGTGTCAAATAGCCAAACCACGAAAGTTCAGATGTTCGACTAGGATTACCTAGGGTCGGGAGACATAAGTTAGAACTCTGCGCGGCGTGGGGACGTGCTATCGGCTACTTCCTCTCGGCCCGCCTGGTGTATACTTTCTCTCCTTCGATGTTATGAAAGCCCCTGCTGGCCGTCCGCAGTAATATGCTGGTAGTGATGGTTTCCAACCTTGCGTCACCAGTCTGGTCAATCATGGTCTACAAGGTATGCATGGAAGAAGCCACCCTGGATCAATCTCTCTTTTGAAGACAAGGGCAAATCATGTATTGCAGTGATCATATGGGACTACTTCCCATCAGAGTAAACATGGGCATAGTATTATACACTGCAACATGTCCTTCGTAAATATGAGAGAGAGAAGACTCATTAATCTTTGTACTCGGTTTGGTCCTAAAATTAGTTGGCTCAACGTGCAGGTATCTCTACTGTAGAGTCTGTGTATATAAATACGAGTCCAAAGTGTAATAGGCAGTGGTACTCCCAATGTGTGCTTCTCAAGCCTGCAGAACAGACAGTAGTCGGGATGTGGAGGTTACCGTAGAACCCTGTATTGCGTCCCAGAACACCGATGATTCACACAATCAAGAGTGAAGAGCAATGTAACGTAATATTTATAGTTGATTGCGTGTTAATAGGTGTTGAATTGAACAGGAGAAGGCTCGGATCATGACCACGAGTCGAAAGCAACCTTTTGCGTGTTTCCGATGTGGAGGTTACGTGAAACAAATACCATCATGACGGTAGTATTACCATTTCCTCTCAGGGTAGTTGACTTGCCCTTATTTTTTTTCAATGCCGATTGAGTAGAGATTGCCATTAGACCTAGTCATGGGTCTGAGCGGCTATACCTAGGTGAATACAAGGCGCGATGTACTGCTGCCTAAGTGGCCATAGTGCTGGCATTGGATTGGAGCGATTGCGTTGGCGTTTTTGGACTGATTCAAACGAGGTGCAATTCCTAATTCAGTCTCATATCATGAGAGATGCATATTTCACTCCTAAGATTGTATCGATGTTCTGTAGCTTGTGTACACCGTACGCGTGGCTGACGGTCCAAATGAAGCCTAGTTCACACCATTGGTGACCAAATACCGGTACTGGGTTTCCGGTACGGGGTTTGCGGGACACTACATTTCGCAGCGTCAATAGTGCTATTGGCATCGATTGCATCATCAGGCTGCCAGTATGCGCCTAGTACTTGTGGGATTTAGTTGCAGAAGTCTCCTGTGAAGATGAATGTAGCCTGATGCGAAGCCTTTGTTGTTTCTGCATCATCCATAGCACCTACCATTGGCGACTTCCCCCATCCTGGGTTGACCGGGATACGTCCCAACGGGGACTAGTGGATAGGGTAGATATACGGTAGCCACCTTCGGGTTCTTCTCCCATAGATTCTTCAATCAATACTTTCATCACATCAGCCTTGACCTTCTACCAAAACCTTTCACCGTCCTGTATCGAGCGTTACTTAACCTCGACTCATCTGCCTTGAATACTTGCCACCTCTAGCCTTTTAATAGCTCTGAAGATATTTAGGATACATTAGACATACTCGTGCCTATTGGGTCTAATCAATAATGGATGAGAAAAACATGTACATTAGCTGCATCATGACGAAGTAAATTCTTATCACCATTTCCAAAATTACACTCTACTTAGATGTCAATACCAATATGAATGGTGCATGAACCGGCCCAGTTAATCTGACGATGCACCTAGAAACATCCCAACCAAGACATCTAAGCATCCATATGCGCAAAAAGGGTTCAGTACTAGTGCTGGCCAATGACCATGCAGCTGACGCAAGAACTCTCGCAATAAAATCGACAGATTTTCACCAAGTAATACATATCATTATCCTTCGAAACGCAAAACCAAATCTTGTCGCGCCTTCAGTCTCGTTTGCTGACATCGACATCACTTACCCTGACCCATCTTGTATATCAAAACTTGCCATCTCCAGCACAGAAACAGGCCTGAGGAAGATCATCTAGCAGAATAACAGAACACGGCTGTCTTACCTGATACAGGCCAACAAAGACATCAAAGTTGTCACAGTTCTGCAAGACACCCTCTAATGTATTACTAACTATTCAGCACCTGCCCGTTCAAAATAGAACAAATCTTAAACTCCAAGCACCTGCCATGAAGTCGCCATTGCCTGAGTACAGCGTTGAAGACTTATCTGAAATGACAATGTTCAGTCCTCTGCCCAATGATGACGAAGATGATGAACTCAGACAGCAAAGCGACAGTAACTTCAGCAACACAAATTGCTTTCAAAGTGGTGGCAGTGGGCAAAATACAGAACATCCGCATCTATTTGAAACTCATGTTCCAAGACGCTGTTCTAAAGGCCAGTCTCCCGAGGGAATAAATACTGGCTCGGATCCTTCATGGACATCGAGGAGTTCTGACGACAACGTCACCTACCCAGACCTCGCCTCATCGTTGGATTCACCCAGACACAGCAACCTAGATATGCTACAGGCTACATCACCGCTCACACTTAAAAGTCAAGCGGAGATAGATGAGGAGTGGAAACTGGCTCTTCAGTTGCAAAAAGAAGAGGACTATGCCATTGAGGAACGCGGGCGAAAAAAGCAAAACGACTATGCCCATGAGAATGATAGAAGACGAAATGCCGCAGACGATGCTCGTCTATCATTTAACTTTGCCTTTGCCCCATGGCGAGCGTCCGGTGCGCGCCAACGATTTTCAATCGGTTTTCCTTCCCCTAAGCGCACACTCATACCACGAGATACGGCTTCGGGGCTCGACAGTTCCAGGTTGGGCACACAGGCAAACCCTTCGAATTCAAATAACGGCACACTCTACAGGGAATTTGTGGACACGGTATTAAACGACAAAACTAACGCCCTTCTCAACACATTAGTCCGACAAGAGAAGGAGCAGAATCAAGTCCCCACTCGAATCTGTGTTGTTGACGGTGAAGCTTATAGTATCACCTCTATGCCCACGCTTTCTGCATGTAGTCACGACCCCAACTACTGTGCAGAATGCTACCAGCGCTGGCTCACCGCCCAACTTGAAGACAGCAGCTGGCACGAAGCCAGATGTCCAGAGCACGGATGCAACGCCATACTCACCTACCCAGAGATCCAGCAGCACGCGAGCCAAGAAAGCTTCGAGCTATACGACAAATTCCTCACGCGGGCAGCGTTGAACCAAGATCGTAAGTACAGGCCCCACTGAACTGTTCAGATATCTGGTTTCCTTTCGGGGCAGGAAAGCTAATCGGATGTATACAGCCGACTTCCGATGGTGCAGGGCCTGTGAATCAGGCCAGGTACATGATGGCGGCGGCGTGGAGAACAACATCTTCACTTGTGTTGCGTGCGGCGACAAAGTGTGCATCTTGCACAACACATGGCACGAAGACGAGACGTGCCGGGAATACGAATACCGTGCTTCAGAGCAGCAGCAACGGGATCGAAATGCACAGGAAGAAGCCAGTCTGGCGGCCATTGCTCAGTGCTCGAAGAAGTGTCCTGGACCGGGGTGTGAGTATAACATTGAGAAGAATGATGGTTGTGACCACATGACGTGTAAGTGTTTTTTTTTTCTCTTCTGCGAAGAAATGTAATGGCGGCTGACGATGGGTTTTAGGTTCGAATTGCAACTATCAGTTTTGCTGGTTGTGTCTTTGTGATTATGAGAAGGTTATTCAAAGGGGGAACAGTGAACATGCTAGGGGTTGCAAGTATAACATGTGAAGCGATGGTGTGTAACTGTGAGTCGCACTGCGGAAGGCATATATGGCGCCACTGTCCAGTACATGCTCGGTTTAGGATCTGTATCATTCTCGCCGATGCGAAGCTCATGTCGGCTGAGTAGTATCAAATCGAAGTAGACGGATGGCGAGTTTTGGGATATGACTTAGGGGACGAGTTGTGGCGTTGCGATGCTGCGCGGTGCCTAGGTGTGTTGGTGCCTGGGAGTTCTAGCCATATACCCAAGAAGGCGAGGAAGTGAAGAATGAAATATCATTAGAAGAAAAACAAGCGCAGTAGATCCATCTCACGTCCAAGTGGATGCATTCACTGCAATCACCGCTTTCACCCTGTCGAGTGATGTTGGTCAAGTTCCTCGGTTCCTAACGACATAACGTCAGGCGGCCACAACGCCTCCCGATTGGCCCGATCCAACCCAAGACTTAAATGTCGAATCACGCACGTCAACAAACACTCCGTCTCCACCGCCGCCCTCATTTGCCAAACTCTCCCTTTATTGGTTCTGCGTATCGTCCGTATACCGTGGTGCCCCCGTCCCAGACTTTCTTATGCCTGTGCTGTGAAAGAACAGACCGCAATTGCTCTTGTGGTCTCTTCTTCTCTCTCTTCTCCCCCCCTTCGTTTGCCACCTACCTGGCGCCGCCATTGGTGCTCATCGCTGGACTTTTTTCGGTTCGAGGCTTTGGCTGCGTGACTTTGTTGTTTTACTTGAGCACCCCTGACTATCAGAATTGCGCAAAACAGGGAGTTTGTTGTCCACTTGCGCCCACAACGATTGATTGATTGGAAGAAGAAGAAAACAAAGTGCACGAGACATGTCGGAACGAGTTACGCGATCAAAGTCGGGCATGACGCCGTCGTATGTATTTTCTGATTTTTTGCGCAGCAGCAGCAGCAGAAGAAGAAGAAGCACTGGCTAACATTGGAGCGCAAACAACAGCAAACCCGACCGTCCTGGCTTTGTAGAGACTCCTGGGCGCCGAAGGTCGACGCGTAAGTCGAACATGAATTCCTCGAATGGATCCAATTTCGATGGCGCATACGAATCCACGCCTGAGCCTGAAAACTTCCTCAAGGGGCCGCGGTCCACCCACGTCGACTCGAAACCTGACGACATCAACGCTGAGAGCAATGGTAATGGTCATGCGAACGGTAACGGTCACACCAACGGCCATGCGAATGGTACCGGCCACACGAATGGCTACACGCAGAAGAAGTCGGCCGAGGCCGTCGCATTCGACTACAGAATCGAGACGGAAAAGTACTTTTCGCCCAAGGACACGTCGGGCACTTCCGAGTTTGGCGGCGCAATTGGCATGAGCGCCATGATGATTGGATTTCCTGCGCTCATGTATTACATGTGGATTGGCGCCATCTTCTACGACGGCAAGTTCCCGTCGCGCGTCGAGGGACAGAGCTGGGCCGACTTCTTCGGCCACATGTGGTATCTGGTCAAGACGGAGGCCTATCCCAACAACAAGGCGTGGCAGATCTACTGGTTCTTCGGCCTCATGCAAATGGCCTTTTACATCCTCATGCCCGGTGTATACCGCAAGGGCAAGGCGCTTCCACACTTGGGCGGCAAACAGCTGGACTACTATTGCTCTGCCATGTGGTCGTTTTACTCGAGCATCGCCATCATGCTCGTCTTGCACTTTACCGGCCTCTTCAAGCTGTACACGCTCATTGACGAATTTGGCCACATTATGAGCGTAGCCATCATCTCAGGCTTCCTGTGCTCCGCCATTGCCTACGTCTCTGCCCACGTCCGCGGCGCAACCGTCCGCATGACCGGCTCGCCCATTGTCGACTTCTTCCTCGGCAGCGAGCTCAACCCACGCCTGTTTGGCATCCTCGACTTCAAAATGTTCCTCGAGGTCCGCATTCCCTGGTTCATCCTCTTCTTCCTCTCGCTCGGAACCTGCCTCAAGCAATACGAAGCATACGGCTACGTGTCCGTCGAAGCCTGCTTCCTCCTCTTCGCCCACTACCTCTACGCCAACGCGTGTAGCAAAGGCGAACACCTCATCATCACCTCATGGGACATGTACTACGAAAAACTCGGCTTCATGCTCATCTTCTGGAACATGGCCGGCGTACCCTTGTCCTACTGCCACTGCACCCTCTACATTGCCCAACACCACCCCTCGGAATACCAACTCCCCACTTGGTTCACCCTCGCCCTCACCCTCGCCTACCTCTACGTCTACTACATCTGGGACACGACCAACTCGCAGAAGAACCAATTCCGCCAGGAAGAACGCGGCGTGGTCGAGGAACGCACGACGTTTCCTTACTTCAAATACGGCCGCATCGCCAACCCGCACACCATCCCCACCGCGACGGGCAACAAGATCCTCGCAGACGGCTGGTACGGCAAGGCGCGCAAAATTCACTACACGTGCGATTTCTTCTTTGCGATTTGTTGGGGTCTCATTACTGGGTTTAAGAGCCCGTTTCCTTGGTTCTACTCCGTCTTCTTTGGCGCAATGATTATCCACCGCGCCCTCCGCGATATTGAAAAGTGTAGGGAGAAGTATGGCGAGGCGTGGACAGAGTATGAGAGACAGGTTCCCTATCTTTTTATCCCGGTACGTGCGCATTGTACATGTTCATCTTGCTTGCACGTGGCGTCACGGCGTGAGAAGAGCGTGCTTTTGCTTGGACTGTTGGCTAATTATCTAATGACAGGGTGTGTTTTGAGCAAATGCCGGTTTTAATCCTTGGACTTTATTCTTCCTTTTCTTTTCTTTTCTTTTTTTCTTTTTTTTTCCTTTTTTTTTTTTTTTTTTTTTGGCTCTTCTTCTTCTTCTCTTTTGCCGTGATTGTGATTTGGGAAATTGGAAAACAACACTAATCCCCTCCCACCACCACATCTTCACCCTCCGCCCCATCCCTTCATAATTCCCGTCCACGGTTTCCACCCCCCATTTGCATTTCCCCCACCCTGTCTGGGAGAAATTTCCAAGTTTAGTCACATGTTTTTTTCTTCTGCATTGACGGACCGTAGTGTGTACCGCCGCCGCCGCCGCCGTGCTTGCATTCTTGAATTTCATTCATACCAGGGGGCCTGAGATTTTTTTTTTCTTTTCAGGAAGAGGTATAGGAAAAGGACGCGCATGGACAGACGGACAAATGGACGGACGGAAACGCCTTCTAATGGGATTTTTATTAGTGGTAGTTGTAATGCACGAAGTACGATGGATGTTCACCAAAACACATATACACACACACACACATAGCACCACACAGCACAGACATATGCATGCAAAACAGTACCGACATCAACATGACAAATCCAATTACTATATCCCCGCACATCTATTCCAAAACATAAAAAACTCACGACAAAATCCCCCTCATCCCCTGCGCCGAGTACTCGGACTCTTCTTCTCCGCCACACTAGCATACGAAGGCGCAGTCCCACTCGACACGGCACGCGCCATATCCTGCTGATTTGCTGCCACCGGCTTCTCGAGCTTCTTGTCCGACTTGGAGGGCGTGGCCTTGGAGGACGAGGGCGCGTTCCAGTAGTACATCATTTGTAGGAAGAGGACGAGATTGAGGGCGAAGCCGGCGACGAAGCCGTAGAGGATGAGGGGGTCGTCGACTTCTTGGAGGGTGGTGAAGATGCGGGAGAGGGAGCCGAGGAGGTAGTTTACGACCTGTGTGGTGGAGGCAATTAGTTTTCTTGGGTTTGGCTGGTGGATGGTTTGGAGCTGTGTGCTCTCTGTCCGTCTCTTTCTCTCGTTGAAGTCGGCAGAAGGAAAGGCAAGCAGACGGGAAGGAAAGGAAGCAAGACCTACCGCAAACGCACTCAACTGCCCCGTCCCCCCTTCCATAAAAATCGTCATAATCTGCGGCACCTTGGACGCAACCCCCAAAATCCCCGCCGTCGCCTGCAACAAATTCAACCTCTCATCATCCACCCAACCCTCACTAAACAGCGCAAACCCCCCAGCCGCCAACCCACCAATCCACCCCGCAATTCCCAGCCCATTCCCACTATACTTGAGCACGAGCGTGGCAATAGCGATATTCTGCACGAGAATCAACGCCGTCTCGCCATAGGTGCTAAAGGGGAATCCGTGGCGGACATTGTAGCTTAGGCTGATGAGGTAGGCGCTTGATTCGAGGAGGTAGGAGAGGAAGCTCATGCCCTCTGCGGATTGGCTGTTGAGTAGTTTGAGCAGTTGGGGGATCTTGACGATGCTGGAGGCGCCGATGATGCCGATGCCGAGGCCCTTGGAGATGGCGAGTTTGACGCACGAGGTCGCGCTCAGGTCGACGTTGTAGATGAGGGTTTGGTAGCATTTGGGGCCGAGGAGTGAGGTGCCTAGGTTGGCGATGGGTTGGGGGAGGTTGTGGGTTATGGGTTGGATGACGGAGCGGAGGGCGTCCATGGTGTCTGGCTGGGAGGGATAGGACGTGTGGTGCCTTGGTGCAATGTAACCGTGTGTGTGGTGGTGTTCAATGATGGTAGGGGCAGGTCCACAAAACTTTGGGACAAGTATGCGACGGGAGCGAGGATTCATTCATCATGCTGACGCAAGGCTTGGCAGACACATGCAGGGGTTCGCGTCTCCCCCGAGTGCACACGAAACAAAAACCATGGGTTTGTATAGCAAAAAGCTGCGACTGCATCGTCTCACATCAGAGCGTACGAGAGAGTCTAGACGATTTGTTCATTGTACAACAGGTAAGAGCAAGTTGAAAGTAAAAGTAAGTCGCCATGACACCTCCAAACGCTGGCTTCCTCGCGTCAATCGACGCATATTCCATAAACTCCATTTTACATGTGATTTGGTCCCCATTGCGGACACTATGTCCTTTTGGACTTTGTGCGGCCGTAACAATCCCATGGCTCCGTCATCTTACTGTACCTACATGGGCAGACAAGTGTGAAATTCGAACGCGGAGAAGAGACACGACAAGAGCCTGACCCATGCTCCTATATTTGCTGAGGCGCTGTACCAATAGCCATTCCAATCGAGTGCGGAGGAGGCGCAGGTGCGCCATCCCGTCGCTCACTGAGATCCCCCGTAGGTGACATGGTTGGGTGGGGGGAGACTGTATTCATCGGAGGCGGTGTCGGATGAGGAGACAAGCCGGGAGGTGGATGGTATCCCGTGTCTGTAAACCTTCCCGAGATTGGGTTATACGCAGTGCTATTCTGAGGAGCAGACAGTGTATGTGTCTGTTGCAACTCGTAGTTGTCATCATCTTCTGACGAAGAGTAGTCGTAGGTGTCCTGCCGACGTTGCCGAGCCGCTTCTGCGGCAAAAGGATTCGAAGCCGGCATCTGCCCTTGATATTTGTTGACCTTTGCGGATATAGTGGAGCCCATGGTCTCGGTCCGGTAATTGCTCGAGGCAATCGTGTCGGTACGATCGATTCCATACTGCTCACCTTGCTCTTGACGTCTTCGTTGCGAATTCGAAATCTGTTGGCGAAAAACATTGCCATCGCCACCAGCAGGAAGTGCGGTAGTAGATGAAAACCCAGAGGCTTCGCCACGCTCCTCGTCGATGGGCTTTCCCATGGGTCGCAGGGGATGAACGTCTTCGTCAATCATGATCGCGGGTGCAGTTGGGACGCGCGATGCTTTACCCCAGGCACGCACCGGATACGCTCGTCCTTTGCGCCACGTCTCCGTCACGGGAGGAAAGTACTGACGGTAAGACACCCATGCGACCGCTATGCCTAGCGTAGCACCAGAGAGCACATCGAACGGGTGATGGCGAGCGTCCATGATTCGAGTGCCTGTAATCAGAGCAGCGCCCAGTGCGGGAACCATGACCAGGAAAGTCCTCCAGACCTCGCCCTTTGCGTCCATGACGTGCAGCTTTCCAGCCAGGTAGATTGAGAGATAGAACAGGCCAGCAAATGACACTACTCAAAATCAGTATTCAAAAGGTGGCAACGGATGGAGGGTGTGCATACCACTGCTGTGCCCGGATGGGAAGCTTTTGAACCCATCTTGTAGAATGTAATCATCTTTTTGCGTGCAAATGTCGATCGTTGCGAGCGTGTAGTTGACGGCCCTTACCGCCGCAATTTTGACCGGGTCTGCCTCACATCTGAAAGCGAGATCAGTAAACGTAGCATGAGTACATCCGCGTCGAACATGACGTACCGGCTCATGAGATCCGGCCGCGGCTTCCCAATTGCATTCTTCAAAGCCCCGGTGATTGTGAAGGCAGCAGCGACGCTCAGAGCCAAGCCGAGGATACCGCAGTTCAGCTCCCACAACCGGTCTTTGAACCTATATCTGCCCGACAGACGCTTGATGCCACTCCGTCCCGAAGGCATCGTCGTCTGGTGTGAGAACAGGCCATCGATGACGAGTGTGTAGATGCCGATGACGACGGCCGGTGCTCCCATGACATAGACGCACAGCCAGATGACCGGTACGCGCTCTTTGACGGCGAAGGGGTAGTGGAGGGTGTAGTTGTCGAGCGAGAAGTGTTGGTGGAAAGGAGGGATCTTGTCGACGATTGCGAAGACTCCGATCAGGACACTGCAACGGGGGGACGAAGTCCGAGTCAGCTGAGGTCAACAGCGGCAGGCGATGGGAAGTGCTGGTACGGCTCTTGTGTGCATTGTACTTACACGATGATGAGATAGTCGACGATGTAGCTAGGCTGGTTAGTCAACCGTCATGTTCCGCCAGCATGGCATCTTGTGTACGCACGAGAAGATGACTTTTTTGGACAGCCGCTTCTTCGAGAAGGGAAGGCGCTCAGGGAGCTGTTTCGAGCTCCAGTCGTCCATGGTGTGTCCGCCACATGCAAGCACACCGGCTCGCTCCGACCTGAGGATGCGGTTCTGTCTGTCCCCGGCGCACAGTCAAGGCAGGAGTCAATCGTGGAAAGGCGAGTGCGGCCGTGGAGTGGAGTGGAGTGGAGTGGAGTGGAGGGATGGGCCGTCGAAATGTACGGTATGCGGATTTCCGCAAGAAAGCACCGCCTCCCCCAAGTCGGCAATCTCAGAAGCAAACAAGCGAACCCTGCCAGAGAGACGCGCAAAAGGAGCAGAAAGGAGGTCGGCCAAGCAACGAGGGTGCAGAGTGGAAGGATGGGCTGTCTCTGGCAGCAAGACAACAGAGCAGTCGGGACTGGAGGTGAGTGGTGTCGGGGTGCACAAATGGGTGTTTCCCCAGAAAGGAGATCAACGGCCAAGGGAAGTGCTTGGTTGGGGTTGAGGTTTGCTCACGCCCATACACTTTGCACCCGTTGACGCCAGTGCTCAGCGTGGCTGTGAGGAGCGGACGCGCTTGGCTTCGCCGCCAGCCGCCGACCGAACTGCTCGCCTACCGGTATTGCCTCGACCAAGTCCATAAAACACACGGATACTGATTCTACTCTTATTACATGTACGGTCCACACAACAGGACGGATCACTCAATCGGTTGGCGATTGTCTTTTCCAGGTGCCTCGGGTCGCCTCGCGGTGCGTGTGCACGGAGGATTGTCATGGCGGCTGTCTGGGAAGGAGTTGGGGCATTGCCCTCTCTACTACCGTACTCTAAGCACCGTGCAGGTACTACCGGTAGTTGCCACCGTACAACATGTCCCCTACAGGGCCCTACAGGGCGCTGCATCGCTGCATCCACAACGGAGCGTCGAACGCTGGCACACAACACACACACACACACACATGCCTTGAATGCGTGGCGCAATTCACGCGAGCGCTTGCTGTCGAGGCTAAGTTAGCGTAGCTAGCAAGGCTGGCAAGATGGTCTTATTTGACACCACAGACACACAACACCCTGCCTGCGTCCTACCGGTACCGTACCGTACCGGCTACCCATCTTTCCCACCACCACCAAGCCCCTCTCCTGTCCGCGATTGGACATCGGCCCGCCCCTGCCATTGGATTGGAATACAAACAATACCTCCTACTCTACTCGCACCTGCCTGCCAACCATGAATAGACTTTCCAACCCCTCGCTGTCCAGATCGCCCTTGGCTACCCTCTCCTCTTCTCTCTCTGGGACCACCAACCTTTGCCTTGCGATAGGGGCCGCTTCGCTTGGCAGTCTCATCGTCCTGCGATCTTTGACACGCTCCTCCCCGCCTGGCCAGATACAGATCATCCCCTCTCCAGCCGAGACGCTGCTACCCACCCTAGATGTCAAGGACCTGACAGAGCTGCCCTATCCTCCCCACGCTCTGCCTGGCTCGCGGGACGTCCCCTCTCCGCATGGAACCATTCGCGTGTACGAATGGGGGCCCGAGGAGGGGGAAAAGATTCTGCTCGTCCATGGCATTTCCACTCCAAGCATCGCCTTGGCCGACTTGGGCCATAAGCTTGTTCGCAAAGGACATCGAGTTATGCTGTTTGGTACGTGGCGAACAACCCTCAGGGACCCACCCGTCTCACTTTCCACTCTCATTGCCAACCTGGGTTTCACATGGCCTTTTGGCTGTAAAGATCCCTGGTCCCATACAAAGACTTTGGTATCCGTTCTCCTCACAATACCATCTGCGTTTATTTTATTTCATTCTTCTCTCCAATCGCGTCTGATGTTTTTTTTTTCAATGTTGCCCTTAGTGAAGAGTGGGAAGCGGTGAAGCACTGCGCTACGTGGCGGCAAAGAAAAAATAGGCAAGTTTTTTTTTTCAACTCTGACTCCAACAGATCTCTTTGGCCGTGGCCACTCTTCCGGTCCCTCTCCAGACACTATCCGATATGACACTGCACTGTACATTACCCAGATCCTATTTGTCTTGCAGTCCTCAACACTGCACTGGTCAGCCTTTACGATCCTGGGTTACTCTCTAGGCGGAGCAATAGCAGCAGACTTTACTTCCTACTTCCCCGACCTAGTCAAGGGCCTTGTTCTCGTGGCCCCTGGAGGACTGATTCGCACGAGCCACCAATCATGGAGCAGCAAGCTGTTATACAACAGCAGCTGGATGCCCGAATGGATGGTCAGAAAGCTAGTCGCCAAACGGCTCTACACGGGTACCAAGTCCGAAGACAGCGTGGAAGGTCGCCCAGGCGCAGTCGAGAATGCAGAGACGACAACGACGTCCAAGAGCGACGCGAGCAGTAGCGCAGCAGTCTACCAATCCTCAAACACCATCCTCTTACCCGGAAGCCCCAACAGCACCGTCTCGGGAGTCGTAGACTGGCAAATCAAGCACCACGCCGGCTTCGTTCCAGCCTTCATCTCCACAATCAGACACGGGCCCGTGCATCACCAGCATGACCGCTGGCAAGTCATACGGGAGAACATGGAGAAGAAGAATGCCCCGCTCAGTGAGGTCTGGCTTGTACTGGGTGAAACCGATCCCATCATCGTCTGGGACGAGGTCTCGGAAGACGTGAAGAATATCCTGGGAGAGGAACATGTCAAGATCAAGACGATAGAGGGTGCGGGACATGAACTCGCTATTGAGAAGGCAGACTCGATTGTAAGGGTTGTACAGCGTAGTCTGGGGCATGCGGAGAAGCGCAGTGCCCGTAGTGGTGTGAGTGGTAGATCTTCGCGAAGAGAGAGGGAGAGATGAGAGGTTGATGTGGACGATGGAATGGTGGACGAAGAAACGGTGGACGAAAGAAAAGGATATCTAGCATACTGTGCATACGATACGAATAACGCTTGAAACGAAATCTCAAAGCTACCTCCGCCTTGCCAATGCTTTACATCCAAGTGACGCCCCCTTGATCGCGCTACTCGGAGTTTGTCAGCATACTAGTTTGCTCCAACGACAACGAGAATCTTTCACAGCCCTTGAGCTGGCAACATACTACAGACGGACATGGATCTCTCCAATCCAGCGTTGCTGACGAGGAACCTACGAGGCATTTACGCAGCGTAAAGTCACATGTACCGACAGATTTTGCTCGATTGTTTTCGGAGAGAATGGCCGCCACAGAGGCGTGTGTCGCCTCGTGGTACGTACCCATACCACGTGTCTGCAGAGGTAGCCTCCTGTCCACGTCATGCCTCTGAGACTTCTAGTAGGTGCCTACGAATGAGAGAAAATACGCATCGCCATACTCGACAGTCATACAACATCGTACGCAGGTCTGAACGGTCCATTACATTTGGATAATTCCGAAACTCTGCTTGGCACTTTATGTGGAGATATCAGACTGTGCCGAGTTTGGTAATAGCCACGAGGGCGCGCAAGACAACATGGACAAAGGCGTGCAAGAAATGGGAATATATGAAGAAAACGGGCCTTTGTGAAGCAACGAGTGTTGTATAGATCCTTGTTGGATCATCTGGCATATCGCGTCGTCCTTGAATTTTGGAAAGCGAAAAAAGTCGAAAAGACCGAGGATTTACCTTCCGATTACGATATGGCTGTAATCTATTAAAGGCCCTTTCTGCGTGTGATGACGGAGAACCATGGAAGGACGACTTGCAGAACATGTGGGGTTCGTTGAGGATGCTGGTGGGCTTAGGTACCACTCTTGTTGCGGCTGCTCGGCCGACAGTATTCAGTATATGGTGCTTCGAAGAGGGTCGACTTGTGGGAGCAGGTGAGGAGTGCAGCCCGTGCATACACGATGTGTGCTCTAGTACTCTACTAAGCGTTGTGCTCAAGTTTGTGGATTGCGCAGCTCCCTCTAGTAGTGTAATTTTGCGCGAGTGTTGATAAGAGTGACGCGGTTGGTGCAAGCATGGACCTTGAGCAAGGGATGGAAGACATGTGGAAATTGTGGGTACAAGAAGTATAGCTTCTCCATGGAAGTTTGGCGGTTGCAAGTGAAAAAGTCGGTGTTACCTATAGGCTACTTGTTCATGATTCGTGGTGGCCGCGGATCATTATGTACTGTGTGTACTTGTTAGTCGGCTGAGTCAACTCTGGTCCACGCGGCTTGTCAACGATCGACCCTCGATTGGGGGGAGGGGTGTCTGCCATTACGAGTTTACCAGCAGGGTAACCTGGAAGAGTTAGCAAGCGCGCGTGGGAAATTACATGTCCTGCACCTAGTAGACGCGCCTAGTCTGGCGTCTCCGTCGTTCCCATGTCAAAACATGTGGCGCTCCCAGCTGCCTCAAAAATGGCAAAGAGGACTGACCGACTTGTTTTGAGGGGGAGGGGTAAATGCAAATGCTAACCATCAGTAAAGGTCACTGGTGAGTGTGTATGTGTGCAGACACGAACACCCGTCACGTCAAGCATTGCGCAATTCGAGCCTTTGTGAGACGTACATGAACCGTAGTAGGGGGTGAGAGTGTGGGAGTGGGAGTGGAGGTGGCAATCGCAAGAAAGCAGACGACGTGGTATGATTGCGACGCTGATGCCAAGGTAAACGGGCTCCAGAGAGAGAGAGAGAGAGAGATTGCGGCGACCTTTTACTTGGGCAGATTGCGCAAGCTGTGTTGCGAATATCGGTGGAGGCGCGCTAGGACGAGTGTAGACGGCACGCCCCTCCCCCCCTCCCCCCTGCCTTGTTCTGCCCCGTCAACTCTCAGTGACAGACAGAGGAGACAGGTGCAGAAAGCAAGCAATGTGTGTACTCTACTGTGGGTATGTATGTCTGTGTGTGTGTGTGTTTGGATGGGCGCAAACGTTTGCAGCACTCCCTCGTCATGTTTTATTTCCTTCAAAGACGTGACTTCACAGATCCTGCTCGGCCCCCAGCAATTTCTTTTCGTAATGGATGTCTGGTCTCTGGTCTCTAGTCTCTGGTCTCTGGTCTGGTGTTGCTGGTGGGCTGCTTTCATTCGGTCGGGGTTGCTGGGGTTCTAGACATGGCGAAGCCGCGACAGCACTTGAGGAAGCCGCGTAAGTGGGTGACGAAAGCGGTAAGCGCATCGACCACTCTTGCCTTCTGTCGCCCTCCATCAATCATTATCATCCTCTTGTCCCGAACGCACCTTGCTATCCTTCCCGCTCGCTTCACCACCATCACCGTCGACAACTGCGACTGCGACTGCGACTGCGACTACCACGTTCCTGCGCTGGATAGCCGCCTGCGACGAGTCCATTTTGCGCCCGCCCCGTCGACGAGCGCCTCTCCCCCCCCCCGGACAAGACGTGTCTGCCGCCTTGCGAGTTGCTGCGCCTGCACCCACTCGTCACAGGGCTGTGTAGTGTCCTACCCCGGCCGCAGCGTATACCACCGCCCCGACTCCCACGACCGCACACCCAACACCCACACCTCGACTCCTAACCGCAACCATCATCACCCTCACGACTTGCACCTCGCTCCTGCCCACGATGGACCACCAACAGGGCGCCCCGAGAGCGCCTGCCGCCCGCATCGACACGGACAAGCTCGCTGCCGACATGATGGAGCAGTTTCGCCAGGTCCTCAGCACAAAGCGCATGAACGAACTCACATCCCGATCACAGTCCCGTCCGTCCTCGCCAGCCCCACGAGACTATGGCTCGCCGCAGCCACCGTCGCAAAACACCCCGCCATCTTACGCATCCATCAAGAACATCCCCCTTGTGCCTGAGCCACCACGCGATGCCCGCTCATTGCGCTTCAAGAATATGCTGCATTCGCTGTCGAACATGCCTGTTCGATGGGAGAACCCTGGGCTGCTCGACGAGGCACTTCGTGTCGTCCCACTCGAGCAGATTTACAACCAAGCGGAAGAGGAGAGCCAGGTTCTGCAGGCCGAGGCTGCGAGTCTGGGCAACGGCAAGAAGCCCGCCTGGGGCTACCAAGACTGCGTCATCCGAGCGCTCTTGTCGTGGTTCAGACACTCCTTCTTCAAATGGGTCAACAACCCACCCTGCTCGCGATGCTACTCTCCCACCGTGGCCATGGGAATCACTTCACCACTCCCCGATGAGCAAGCACGCGGCGCCAACCAGGTGGAAGCCTATCAATGCTCTCACGAAGGCTGCAAAAACTACGAGCGATTTCCGCGATACAACGATGCATTTGTACTGCTACAGACCCGCAGAGGAAGATGTGGCGAATGGGCCAACTGCTTCAGCATGCTCTGCCGCGCTGTGGGCTCAAGGGTACGCTGGGTCTGGAACGCCGAGGATCACGTCTGGACCGAAGTCTACTCTGTGCACCGCAAGCGATGGGTTCATGTAGATGTATGCGAAGAGGCATGGGACAAGCCCCGGTTATACACCGATGGTATGTCTTTGACGTGAGCCACATTCATCCACACCGTGACTAACAGGTATTAGGCTGGGGCAAGAAGCTCTCTTATTGCATCGCCTTTTCGGCTGATGGCGCGCAAGACGTCACTCGACGATATGTTCGCGATGCAAAGCATGCCGCTGAGCGCAACCGCGCACCAGAATCAGTCCTTCTTTACATCATGGACGAGATTCGGGCTTCACGACGAGCGAACATGTCCAAGCAAGACAAGTTTCGCTTACAGGGAGAAGATGCCCGCGAGCAAAAGGAGCTCCGTGGCTACACCATTTCCGCCATTGCACACGAGGTCTGCAAGCTCAGCCCTCAGGACATCATCAATGCTCAGGTCGCCCCCCGCCGTCAGGATCCGGATGCGCAAAAAGCGCTCGAGGGACGTATGAGCGGCAACACACAATGGATACAAGCTCGAGGCGAGAACGGACGTGGCCAGTCGAATCAACAACAGGATCCTCGCAACCAACACCCGCGATGAAACCCTCTCATCGTCTCACCTTATCTTCTCTTCTACCAGTGTCGATCACCCGTCCTGCTGCGGTTGAGGTTGACTGCATATTGCAATACACTGCACTCGGCCCACACATGGCACACCAAGACGCACTCTACCCACCCCGCGCCCTTCGCTACGCGGAAGGGACTCGCTTTTGTAACACTAGAAACTGGAATTTCGTAACGGATGGATTCATTTGCAACGGCGTTCCGGCAACCGCTCCGATCAGAGACACTAGTAACATCTAATGTCTGCACCCCCAACCTCGACCGAGGCTTTTTCTATCGTTTATATGCATTACTGGCGATTTCTCAACCACGTCTTTTTTCTTTGATACCGCGCATTGGCAGCTTCTTTCTTTTGCTTTGGGTGCGTGCGGTGTACGCACGGTTTTTGCGGCACCGAATTTTATACCACATTGTGTTTTCATTTTATTTTATTTTCGGATTACGATGGCGATTGTCTATTTATTATTCATCTTCATTTCACGTCGCTTTATTCCTTTTGTTTACGATTGTTCTTTTTGTCACAGATTCTTGCACGACTGAGTTGACGGTTTCACGTGTTTTGCGAAAGGTGATTGGCAGAGAGGGTGTGTGTGTGTGTGTGTGTGTGTAGTATGTGCATGGGCTTCTGTGGGGTTGTGAGAGCACATGCGGTGCAGTGTGTTGTACAACGGTGGGGATCCGCAGGTGTACAGCAAGATGAGGTGGATGAGGGGCAGGTGCCGCGCGTTCTGGAAGCATTTTCGCCGAACGCAGGCCCGCCACGTTCATGGGGCCGAGAGAGCAAGATGCAAGATAGGCAGAATTCAGGCCAAACTTTTGACGGTGTTTTGCGCCAATGAATCAGATTCCCCACACTCATACACACAGATCGTGATTTTGACTGCCGAGGTACCATTCCTTGTGTTGACCCTCCCCACTGATGAGAGATGGCGAGGATTCACCGGTGACGAGCATGATGGTGAAGGGGCAGGCGTTGGGTGAAAGGTTTGAACCGGGGACGCGCGTTCAAGGGTACGACAACGCGCATGGCGGGACGCGTGATCTCCAGAAGGGGTCCAGCCACACGCTAGGCCCATCTTGACAAGCCCATCCATGTGCCTTGACTTGACCGGCCTTGTTTGCGCTGCCAAGCTGTGTCGCTGCATCTTCACCCCGACTACACCGGCCCAGCACAACAGCAAGAGAAAAGAAGAAGTTGGTAACAATCAAGCCGAGAACATATCTCCAACTCGACTGACTTTCCTCTATGCGGGTTCTTATCGTCGAAACTCCCCCCCCTCCCCCTCCCAACATACAGTACTCACACCTCACCCACCAAAAAAGCGTCAAAAGTGAGATCAGCAGGATACGAAACCGACAAGTGGACCTTGGCAAACGACTCTTTGATCAGCGGTGATGTCCTGTTTCCCAAATCAGCTTAGACAGGGGGGGGGGACTGTGATCTGTGATTTGACGGAGCGCTTGCGTCGGGAAGAGGCCTCCCCCCCGGGCTAAGAATAGATGGCTGTGCGTGCTGATGTCGGACAGGCTTTTGACTTTGTTGGACTCTTGACTCTGTGGGTGTTTTTTTTTGTGCAAGGGTGATGGGGCTGGGGGGTGGGGTTAGGGTTGGGAGGAGAGTGTGGTTGGGCTGTGCCGGTTTGTGCGGCTTGTGGAGAGATGGGAGGTTGAGCCACAGAGGTGCGTGGGTCTTGGCGGTGGGGGAGGGGAGGCTCTGATCTCGGGAGGGAGAGAGGATTGTGAGGGAGGTTCACTAGTGTTGGTGGATGGAGAAATGGGTTGGTAATCGTATTGGTATGGTAATAAGGGGGAACTGTGCGTCACTGGGCTTGTTGCAGGTTTGCAAGCATCCTCTTCTCGTGCTGCTGCGCCTGTTTGGTTTGTTTACGAGCAGCTGATACATGGTAGTATCTTTCTTTTCCCGTGTGCCGCCCACTTTAGTCATGCTGTTGCTGACGGGTCGTTTGGATCCTAGATGGGATGTGCTGAAGGATTGCGTTTCACCTTACTCACTACCTAATCGAGGATGCGTGCCTGTGTTATGCTCATCACAACAGCTGTTTTGCAACCTCGCTCATCTGGTGTTCCTCCATAGTGCAGTGCACAGCAGTGTGTCAATCAACACCCGCACAACACAACACAAACTCCCGTGATGCCGCTAGTAATGCATTCTAGTGTAACAGACCAATCTCCCCAACCTTGCAAAGGGAACCAGGAAAAACACGTCGTCATGGCGTGCTCAACCCATGGATACCGGCAAGTTAGATCTTGATCGATTAAGGCCGTTGCCAGCGACTGAGACTTCGCAGCCACGCAAACCATAGCATCAAACAAGGGCTTATAGCTACGCCAGCAAGCTCACCTGCCCCCATCATCTTCCTCTCTGGCTCAGTGGTTCGTCAGCTCTGTGAGGCTGGTGAGTTGCCAAAACCCACATCAGCGGCCACTTGGAGAGGCTGCTGTCCCGCCATGTGCACGGACGCAGAGGCTGCGTTGCACTCACAGCCCCCTTCGCCTGGGCACTGGCAACCTTGCCTTGGGCCTTTTTCAGCTGCTGCGCAACTTGCTTGTTTCGTTACAAAAGCTTCTGCTGGCCCGTTTTGACTGTGGCCCCATCCATCCATCCATCGGTCGTTGTCGTCTTTTTCTTTGCGTCGCTCGTCTAGCCCTGTCGACGTCATATCTCATTTCACATCTAGGCACGGTCGCTACTGCTCGGTTTGTTGACAACCTCCAACCTCCAACCTCCAACCTCCAACCTCCAACCTCCAACCCTCAACACCACACCACACCTACACCGTCTAGAAATCACGTTCGACAGTCGCAAATATGGGCAAAGCCGGGCGTTTTGCGTGTATCCTCACGCCCATGCTACTTACAGTGGCCTCGTTGATATGCTTCATCATTGTCATGATTGGTCAGGCTCCGTTGAAGGGCAACGATGCACCAAGCACTGAACTTGGACGCGACCTATACTTCTTCCAGGTATGGCATAGCCTTGTACCGCCTTAGCAGTAGTCGTGAGTACTAACAGTCTCACAGGCGGACACCAGTAAATTCACAGCCGACCCGCAAACCGTTCTCGACAATGTTCCAGGTGTAGACCACATCGACAACAGCTTCCTCAATGCGATCCAAGGCAGCGCATCCTCTGGTGAACTCAAGGACTTCTACCAAGTTGGTCTCTGGTCTTACTGCGAGGGAGACAGGGACAATAATGGCAAAGAGACCATCACCAAGTGCTCTGCGCGCAAGTTTCAGTTCCACTTTGACCCTGTCGAGGTATGGGGTCTGCAAAACACCACTGTGCAGGACGTTCTCGGCGACAAGTTCCAATCGGGCATGAACACGTACAAGAAGGTTGCCGGATGGATGAACTGGGCTTTTGTCATCACCGTCATCTTGACCGCCGCTGAATTCGTCATTGGTTTCTTTGCCATCTTCAGCAGGTGGGGTAGCCTCATTACCACCATTGTGAGCACCGTAGGTTTTACCCATGACACATTCATCCCACCCGGACTGCATGACTAACAACACACCCGCAGGCCCAAACCGTCTTTGCCATTGCAGCCGCCGCAACCGCAACCGCACTCTACGGCACCCTCACCGGTGTCTTCAAGTCGGTCCTCGAGCCCTACAACATCGAAGCCTCCATGGGTAGCCAGATGCTCAGCGTCCTCTGGCTCGCCGTCGCCTTCTCAATTGCAAGCGGCTTCTTCTGGCTCATCAGCGTATGCTGCTGCAGCGGCAAGTCGCCACACAAGAAGGTCGTTGTGGAGAAGACGCCCTACACATATGAGCGTGTTGCCAGCCCTGCCTTTGGCCAGCAACAACAGGGCCACACTAGCTATGCGGGTGCGGCCCACAAGGGTCAGGCGCCTCCCACCACCTATGAGCCATTTAGAAGTCGCGTGTAGAGGAGCAGGGGTGTTTCTTTTTCTTGTATCCTGACCATGGAAACATTGCGGTTTTCGACAGCTTGCCGTTTGTTCGTGTGTGCATGGGATGCGGTGTCGTCGATGGGGTCCATGGACACCCGCGGACAAAGGTTAATGACTTGTATGATCAATCCTCATCCCCCGCTTTTGGGGTTCTTTTTTTTATACCATGGCGTGAAAACTTGATTTTTATCTTTGGGAGGTGGGAGGGGGGGCATAGATGAAGTGCAATGTATAGAAAATATGGTCTTGGGATGTTATTAGCATAGACCCAAAGGATATTTGAACCTTTTTTTTTTGGATACCAGTGTCTTGTTGACTTGTGCTGTTGTTTGCTCATTGGTGTAGTGGTGGGGGTTTGGGGTCGCAGTAACTTGTGTGTGTGTGTGACTGGGACTGGGACTGGGATTTGGAGTCTAGGGGGTGGGTGGGTACGTACTCGTGATGGGTGTGTACTCTACAGCGAGTGCAGACTACAGCCAAAGAAAAAAAAAACATGATGTATTACAATCATCTCACAATATAGTACAATCATCTTATACATCACCGCATGTGCTTGATTGCGTCAATCATGTCAGCCGCGGTATACGGCTAGTAGGTTAGTTGGGTGTGTATCTTGCTGTCTGCGTCTGCGTCTGCGTCTGTGTCTCTGTCTGGGTTTGTGGGGTTGTGTCTTTTTGGTGTGTAGACTGGATGATGGTCTGACTTGTACACTGATTTCTCTAATACTCTGGATTTGTTGGGGTTGTGGATACTGGTTGTGGGTGTGCGTCATGGGATGGGGATGGGGATGGGGATGCTGGGATATAGTGTGGTGGGAGGTACAAGATTGTAGCAGGGGAGTAGGATTAGGAAAGGTGAGATTGTGGACATGGTAGGATTCTTATAGAAGCAGACTGTCGGACTTCCATCACACTCGAGCGTCAACCACCGTACTATTCCAAACCCAAACTTCTTCCCCAACCTTTTGACAAAATCCAGCCTTCATCACACACACATACATCCGTACGACAGCATCCCCACCACCATGAAAGTACCTAGACCATACCCATCGAACAACAGCCACACACTTTGAAAAAAAGATCCGTCTCCCACATCACCCCCCCACACGCAACCCTTGCACGCAGAACAAACCCAACATCAGCAACACAGACAGCCAACTACTCCTCATGCATACCCACAAACCGGGGCGGGAGGTCTAGATCCCACGAAGGCCGTTCAACCAAGACCACTTCTGGGGTGTGAGAAGCGTCGTCGTCGCCAATGGGGACGATGCCCAGTATGGGGCGGTACTTGAAGGTATGCCACCAGGGCTGCTTCCGTGAGTCTGGCGCGTCTGCGACTTCGCCGCCGTCTGTGGGTGCGTCGGCGTCGGCGTGTTGACTGTTGGTTGTGGAGGTTCGGCGGAGTGTTGCTAATGGCTGGCCTGCGCCTTCCTCGTTATCGTTGTTGTCATCGTCGTCGACGATGGTGGTAGCGCCAATGGCATTAACATCTACCCATTTCGACGGAGCCGATTCGTCAGCCGGTGTGCCCTGGAACTTGCGCATCTTTGTTACTGGGGCCTCTGTTTGCGGGACTGCATCGCCGGCGCCACTGTTGTGCTTTGCGGCTTCCCGCTTTCGCTTCTTTGCGTTCTCGGCATCTGTCATGGCGAAGTCCTTGGAGAGGTCGAACATGAAGAGCCACTTCTCGCCATAAAGCCATATGCGTTGTTGCGAGTCGGAAAGATCCCATATGCAGCCTTTGGCGGGGAGGTCGAGTTGCTTGTATTCGCGTGGGTAGCTTGATGGTGGGTTCCGTCTTGACCAGTCCGATAGGCGGCCAGACATGACATCAAACAGACAGAACTGGTGTTCTGCCGATACCAATAGCAGAGTGTAGTCTGACGTAGGAAGATCGTGCGAGTGAGGATGGGGGTTTTGTCTTGTGGCGTGAACGGCAGGGTTCCCGTTTGGTGTTGGCTTGTCTGATTCATTGGAATCTGGTCGGAATGATAGGAGAACTGGCGTAGAGTCTAGTCGTGGAAACAGGTGGCCAGAGGGGTTCTGAATCCAGCGCTGACCCAAAAAGGTGACTCGTTCCATCGTCTCGTCTGCCTCCTCATCGGTTTCCATGTCGTCATCAGCAGCCAAAGCAGAGTCGTCAACGTCTATTTCTGGTGCTGTAGAGTCCTCATGACCCTCGATGACCCATGTATCGACGTGACCAGCAAGGTCAACTGCAGCGAAGACATTACCATCCCTGGTGAAGTCGGTGTGGGTGATTGCTCGTTCATATGACCCAGACGGACCATTCAGCGGGTTCGGTGCTGTGTCAGAGCGAGGAAGACGTTGGAGATGCTGAACCTTGTCCAATGCACGGGGGGCGTCGGTGAGATCGTCGGATCTCATAACCCTTACAAGCTGTACATCGTTTGTTGCTGTGACTGCTGCCACCCACTTGCCATTGGCTGCAACGTTGACAATGTTCGCACCCCCTATCGAGGGCATTTCCAATTTTCTGATCCGTAGGGCTACACCAGCGCCGGCCTGTGGGTGCAGGAGCTGGAACATCTTCACCTCGCTTGCCGTAGCAACGACCAGAAGCCCACCATCCCGCGAAATCGAAACCGATGTAATGTTCTCTTCTCCCTGTAAGGCAAGTCGTGCGACAACCTTTGGCTTATCTGTGCCGTCATTCTGAGGCTTCACTCGCCATATCCGTACCTCAGTGTTCCACCAGCTGACCAAGAGTCGTGCTCCTGGGGCGCTCACGAGCGGTGGCGTGGGAGGTAGAGCGGGGAGCCCACGGCTCAATTCCTTGCCAAATTGACGAAGTGGAACCACAATCGGCTGGGTGTCGATACCTGCACACATTTATCAGTTTCGGGAATCATGAATGGCGATAAATGACAAACCTCCTGAAACCACTACGCTCAGCTTGTTGCCCTCGTATGTTGCCATGGCTTTGACGTCATGTTCGTGATGTCTTTGGTGTGAAACTTTGCGCCACTTTCCACCCTGTCCTTGAGCAGCACCCTTCTTGCTGGTGTAGAAGCATGTGCGGCGGTCCATACCGGCGCTGAAAATGCTCGAACCGTCACGCGACACGGCTAGATCTAAGACATCCGCTTCGTGGCCAGAGATTCTTTGTGTCTGACTGTAATTCTTGCCATTGTAGATGCGGATGTCGCCAGTGGAATCACCAGAGATGAAGTCGCCAGATGGCAGGCATTTGACCTTCCACACGAGAATCTCCTTCGGCCCACCGGGCGGTCCACTACCCAGCGAAATGTTCCTGATCACGTTGCCGTTCCTCGTGTCGAAGACCCGGATCATACTGTCGGCGAATCCAGCAAGCACGATATCTTGATCTTTGTATGCAATACTGAGGGCACGCGCCTTCTTGTTGGTGGCGCGCGAGACGAATCGCTCGAAGGTGAGATCATTGTCTTCGGTCGATAGGAGAACAATGGTCCCATCAGCGCAGCCAGCCACGAGTTTTTGATGCGCAGTATATCCAGCATCAGCACCCCTCACTCTTGGTTGCGCTGCGAAACACCAGACCTCGCTGTGATTGCCATTCGAATGGCGCGCAGGCAAACCGGTCACCAGGTCCCACTCTGTGACGCTACTCGAGTAGCCGATACTGAATAACCGCAGTCGACCTGGGACTTTCTTTCCCTGTGCATCCTTCTCATCCGGTTCCTGTGTCCATGCCAGCCCCTCCACGCTCCTATCTTTGCCGCCGTGGAAAACCTTCTCTTGCAGCCAAGCTCCATTCGCCGGGTTCCATATCTCTATGTTACCATTTGCGCGCCCAATCGCCAGCCTCAGAGATTTGGGATCCTGGTGGCCATGTTCAGACTCTGTGTGCGAGAATGCAAGCGCGTTAATTGCAGATGGCGGGTAAGGCACGAATCGCGATCGATGAATGTCCATGGCCGCTAAGATGTTGATCTGGCGGATGTGATGACCGGGGAATCAGATTGCACGCGGATGATTTGAATGGCGCAATCAAGCAATCAGGGCGGGCACGGCTAGCATGGTGACAGTGAACTTGTAAGTTCTATCTCAAAGCATGAGAACTCGAACTCTTGGCTATAACTTTTTAAATGGGTCCCGGCGCTCGGCCAACGTTTTTCCGAACTTGACAACCACCTCCGTTTCCATCTCCGCATAGCCATCACCATCATGCACCTACAGCGTGCCCATCTCAGCAAAACTATACGCCCGTCGTCCAGCATGTAGTTGTCATTGTCCTGGAGCTTTTCAAAGACTTTTTTGACCTTTTATGATCGCCTGATGATCCACCGTGGACCTACACAACCCCTTGCCCGAGCCCATTCTCGCACCGCCATACTCTTCACCCCAAGCTTGAAGCCCCCCTCATTACACTGCCGTATACCTATGGGCCCACACTACATTGGCGACGAATCTTGGGCTGCTGAGATGGCCTATAGTTTCTTGAAATCATGTCCCTTAAAGGTTGCTGAAGGAGCACCGAATGCCATGACCCGTGTCATGTACCAGAGCAAGAACATATCCAAAGGCACATGCGAGCTTTGGCAGTCGTTCTGGCTGCTACACAGCATCTGAGGATAATCAGAGCCCTCGGGCAATGGTGCGACCTTCTGCTGCTCTGTAATAAGATGGCAGAGGCCCGAAGTGCCGGCTTGCTATGTGCATCGCCAATAATGTGGCTTCGCTATAAAGTTAGCAGGAAAGCGAACAGTTTTGCGGTATCGTAAACTTGTTGATAATGAAGTGATCAGTGATGCTTAGGTGAGATTTTGGGAAAACTTGACGGTTAAAGCATGTGAAACTCATTGCCACAAATGCGAACTTGTGTGTTTAGCGGCACCCTCAACAGACGGCCCTGTTGCAACCAGGGTTTTCAGAGAGAGTTAGAGAAGGCTTAATTTTGGAATCGGTTGTACCGGTTGTTGCTCCAGCAATCTCCCCCGAGTCAGCACTGGCTTCAACCAAATAGGTACGGGCTTCGTCGGCGTTTCAACAGCAAAACGTCATGACCCAACCGTTATGTAGAAGCGTTGGTGTATATAGCATAGTATACTCTCTGGGGAATGGCATCTTGTGCCTGATGCGGTAGCAGGAGTGGCATCAAAGTTCCAATAGCGCTGAATTAGCCCGAGACCATCATAGCGCAGTTTAGCTTTCCGTCGAACGTTTCGGGGGCTCGATGATCAATTACTGTGTGCGTATAGGATTGTGGCCTGTGACTTTGGGCGGAACGCGTTGCAACACCACATTTTCAAGGGGCGCCACGCTTCTAGCACGCCCGTGTGCAGCTCTCGTGATAATCTCGCGATGAAGCAGAGGCGGAAGTTTGGTTCTTCAAGTCCAGAGCTTGGGCCGGCGGGCGGGGTTAAAAGGAGTTGCATTTAGGCGTCAATTGCGCTGCGACCCCCTCGTCGCTATGGAACACAGCAGCGTCTTCAATAAGTTTGAAGCCGCAGATCCAAGTGCCTCCTCACCCTTCGCATGGGACAAGCCAGGCCAGCTGTTTCGTTGAATATTGAGACATGCAGCGTGCTTGGTGCAAGCCCGTCCAGGACGGTTTAAAGAGTTTGCTCAACGGTCGTGCAAGTATGCATACATCTCTGACAGAGCATGCCGTGCCTAGGTAACGCAACAAGCGATAATCGCTGAAGGTTAGGGGATCCTTTCTCAACGGATCGAGGGTAGCACGACCGAAGCCCGTCTTTGCATGCCTTGGCGCCGCATCTGCGGTTGCTGTGACAAGCAATTGACGTCTCGTCATACCGTTCTGTTGCAACCAACGGGAAAAGATCAGAGCCTGACGAAGAGAAAGAAGAAAAAATTGTTAATGCAAGGTGGTCCCTATCGTCCATGGCTCCACAACACGCCAGATTCTCCTCGTCGGGCTGGCTTCTCGGCTTGCTATCGGATATTGGAGAGGCGGGCGTGCGCGGAAGAGAGTTCAGAAAGAGCCTGGTTCCAAAAAGTTTCGTCGACGCGGTGTCGCGTGCGCTCAGACTTGCGAGCAGCTCGAAACGCGTGCAGGTTCGCGACTTTGTGACATAATCATGAGGCGTGGCTGGGGTGAATCGTATCGTACGGTCACTTGGAGGGGGGCAAGCGGCCGGGCTGCTAGCTGCAGTATGAACCTGAAAGTGAGACGAATTACGCCGAGAACCTGCAGTAGCAATATGTTTTTTCCAGCGCTCAGATGATGAACGCGTAAAGATCGCTTGATTGATTGTCACTTTGAGCTGGCGGCTCAAGCCCAGCCCCGTACCCAATCCGAGTTGAATCATCGCACGTCTATTTGAGGGGGCCGGGAAACGCCATACTGGGAATTTGGTGCAAGTATGCCGCCTGAAAAGCATACTTGTTGGCCAGGCTTGAGGCGCATCTGAGCCGTAAGCCGTGGGAACTTCCTTACTGGAATACGCAATCAATGGTATGGCACTGGCACACACACACACATCACACACACTCCCAGCGCGAGTATATGCTTTGTACACAGCATTGATTATCAAGCATAAGACAAACACACAGCCCGCATCCGAGGTTCCCTTACCCAAGCACATGTTCACGACGAATTTTGTCGAGTTTGTCAAAGTATTCGAGCCGTCCATTTGTGTCAAACCGAGACCTGGTCTGTCGCTTGCAGCTGTCACCACAGGTTCAGTACATTTGTTGCGTCAAGTAAAACACTGCTTCTTGCAGCACCAAAAGCCCAAAGCGCTGTCACAAGTGATCCGACATGCATGCAGCGGGACCAAACTTCGTCAGAGCCCGCCGACCCTAATGCATCAACCCCGCAAATAGCCATAGTCCAGCAAGGAAAGTCGAATACGGTTCGATATCTCGAGACTCTGATGCGGCCTGCCCAGGCGTGTATCTGTCTCCTCGTGGATTCGCCTATTTTTACGGTCGGCAGCAGGATTGGCAATTTTAGAACGACGCGGTAAGTCGTTAGTTTGGAGCGCGTGCGGGCCAGATTACCTCCGTCAGTGGCAACCATACCATACCAGCTCGTGAAGGCCGTGTCGTCAGAATGCAGCGGCTATGAAAGACTATGAATGAACAGACAACGGCGGTGCCTGACTTCAGCAAGGGAGCGGGTCTCGTGCTACTCCGGCTACGAACGTTGGTACCGACGTTGTGCATCGAGCTACAGTACTATGTACTCTAGTTTGGCCTGCGTGAACTTTTTTAACGTCTCCACCATGCGGAACAACGTGAGTAGAGCGTGGGGCAGTTCGGTGCAATATTGCCAAAGGGCTGAAGAGACTGCCTTCTGGCCGAGGAGAGAGGGATCTGTCTATATGATACTACCTAGGACGAGCATTATGCCACCTTGCCAACATGCTTCATTGCTCCTGTGTGCTTGGGCAACGCGTGACAAGGATGCATGGTGCCGGCGGGTTGCCTTTGTTCCTTTAATGCGCTCAGAGTAAAAAGGAGGATTGCCAGTGAGCAATCATGACGATGTGCTAGCAAGGAGTGGTGTTCCGTGTGGCGCATCGCGCCCTTATTATACGTCAGGGGAAGCTGGCCTGGAGGACAGCTGGACAGACAACCATGGATGGCTGGGGGTTGCTGCACAAGTCAGCAACGGGCCAAGTGCGGCAAGAGAGTGGCAGGCAAATGTGAGAGTTTTGGAAGCTGGGGGTACGTATTTCTAGAAGGTCGTGTGCAAATGTGCATCATGATCCCCTGAGAGTCATGGGGGAAGCATTGCAGGACGATAGTTATATTATGTATGTACTAAGCCCTGTACTATATAGGACCTGTGTGCCAGAACATGGCCAGTAGTTCAGGAGGAAATGGGCATTGGCAAATGCAGCCCCACGCATGTTGGTCAGGGCAGAGAAAGAGAAAGAGAGTGTGTGTCTGTGTGTGTATGAGAGCCCCTTCCATGGCGTGCTGCAGCCGGCAGAAACGGACGTGCAATCTTGGGAGCTGAGAGCCGGGCGCGATACTATTTGGAGGCCTTGGCCGTGAGCAAAGCAAGAAGTTTGCAGTGCGCAGGCGAGGGGCAGATTGGCCAGCGATCGAAGGCTGACTGACCTGCACGCTTTGGTAGCTGCATGCTTGGTGCTGGGGCTCACCGGAAGCGCGCCAGGGCTGTGATTCGAGCGGGCATGGGCGACGACGCTTTGATGGCGCGCTTCTCATGCGTCGTGGAGCTTTCCAACGCGAGGTGTCGCCCAGTTGCTGCAAGAGTTGAAGACGATCGCGTTCCCCGCGTGCCAGGCTCCAGCCAAGTACATGGATGGAGTAGTAGTAGTAGTAGTAGTAGTAGTAGTAGTAGTAGTAGTAGTAGTAATGTAGTTGTGGTGGTGGTGGTAGTAGTAGTAGTAGTAGTAGTAGTAGTAGTAATGTAGTTGTGGTGGTGGTGGTGGTAGTAGTAGTAGTAGTAGTAGTAATGTAGTTGTGGTGGTGGTGGTGGTGATGGTGGTGATGATAGTGGTAGCGGTAGTAGTAATCGTGGTAGTAGTGGTAGTAGTGATAGTGGTAGTGGTCGTAGTAGCAGTATACCTAGTAGTGGTATAGTAGCAGTAGTAGCAATTCCATAGCCAAATGTTCATGCAACCACCGCCCGCAAGTGCACCCTCACAGCCGGCAACACTGAGAGGGTACAGTCCCACGCTGGCCTTTGGGTGGTTGCTGCTGCCACCTAGCTACATACAAATGTCAAAGGGTACAGGCACATAGATAGCACATAGATGGTACATACATGGTACATACATGGAGTACATCCATCACATCACCCACTCTATATTCTCACACCCACCTGTCGCACAACACCCCCACTGGCAGCGGCGGCGCGACGGCGGACAGCAGCGCGGCGGAAGAAGCGGGAACTGCAAGACGCGTGCGAGCGTGTTCCTGACTGACGGCGTAGCCTGAAGCAAAAAAGCCATGATGCTCCACGACGGCGCCGCGCGACGCTTCGGTTGGGTGGGCTTGTTCCTTGGATCCTGGCCGTACCAGGTTGTGGCCGTCGCACTGAATCCGGGATTAGCTCCACTTTCTCATCCTGGGCGGTCGCCCACTCGTCTTGTCGGACCTGGAGCCAGCTGCTTCAATTGTCCTCCTCACCTCCCCCTTCACCCTCCCTCTTATACTTCCTCCTCACCACGGCGAGCACGGAGTCTTGGATCTGATGTGGTGCTGATCTCCCTCGGCCCTAATCTTTCCAAATATCCCTCCAGCTCAGCTCTCCTTCTCTTCGGTCGCCCCCAACTCCTGACCGTCTCTCCTCGAACAGGATCGTGACGAGCACCCAGAAGACTCTTTCTGCGTCTCAGCCATCCTTCGGACCCCCCGCCAACCTCCCGCCCACTGCCTCTCGCTGGCCGTAGAGATTGTCGAGCCTCAAAAGCAACCTGCTCTGTCACCGCGTGTGTGTGTGTGTGTGTATTTGTGTGCCTCACCGCTTGCACAGCCGTCGACCCAACTCGTGTCTGACCAGCCTCTCGCCTATCTGGAGAAAACCTCTTCTGGTCACTCACCCTTCTGCTGTGTCTGTCTTTCTGTAAGTGAAAATTCTTTTTTTTTCCCTCTTCATGCTTGTTTGCTTGCTGGCTCGCCTGAGTATCTGGTCTTTGGATGATGGCTCTGGACATTTGGACCCACGCTGGCCTCGGCTTCTCCTCTCCCTCTGAAATGAGGCTCGTCAACTGCCATCCGACAACCATGTCAGCACACCCACACCCACACCCACACCCAATCAGGACGCCACAACCCTTTATGGAATCGAATGCTAGCTATTGTGTGGCAATCACGAAGGGAGAGGAGAGAGTAAAGGGCGGGCATTGCAGGAATCAGAAGGAAAAATCTGGGGTTGCAGGGCTCAAAATGGGTTATGGGGAATGGAGTTCCAGCCAGGGCGTCTGATTGCATGCCGCCTGTTTGGATTGCACCTCACGACTACGTCGAGTAGATGTGTCTCGCCTGGCTCTCGATCATACCTCGCGAATTTGCATGCCACAGCCATGGTCATGTCCGCCCTCGATCACGATTACCAATACTCTTGCTTCAATCGCCGGACAACCCCCGAATTCTCGCTGCATTTCCGACACGCGTCTCTGCTGCGACTAAGCCCTTTGTCGCATTGCAATTCTCTCGCACCGTGATGCTGGACATCGCGTCTCCCCTATCCAGACACGGCTTCGTCAAGTACTGCGACTCTGCAATTTCCGCTGGCGGCTGCCTCATTCCACCACACGCCATGGACTACCTCAAGAAGCCAGACAAGGAACGACAGTCGCAACATTCTCTGCTCGTCCTATTGCAATGCTATCATTGTCCTCGTAGCCACAATACTAACTGTAATCTCACCCAGGCACCTTCACCGCCAGTCCAGTCGCAGACCGCTTCTGTCTCTTCACTCTACAATTGAAGGACGCCATGTAAGTCTATATCTATACCATCACCACAACTACAGCAACCTGAATCTAATATTGGTCTAGCTCGTGGTTGCTAAACACTGGGATCTTCACATTCCAGTTCTTGGCGATTCACCTTAGCCTCACCGGTGGACTCGTTAGCTCGTGCTCTGCCTTCAGACCTACCATCTCACAGTAGTGCGCTGCACGATCCGATACCGCAACCTCAATTGCCTTCAGGTCCCTGTATGCAATTAGGAAAGGCTTCGATCTGTCCGACCTCCTTTGCTGCTTCTACTGTGTTCTTGTACACCACATTCACTCACTAACGTAATTGCTTTTAATTTTACAAACGTACGTCCCATCTAGCGGCCTTGCTTGACACAGGGTCCCGTCTCCCTCGATACAATAAGCTTACAACAGTCCAGGCTCGGTCTGCTATCACACTATCCCGCCTGTTAAAGTACCAGGGATCATAGGCCAGCGCTCTTCTTTTATACTCCAACTAATCACTGTCTTTCTCACTGTTGCCTTGGAGGCTGCCACTCACTACCACGGTTCATCCATTGAGCCATCCGCCCATCGGACCACGTCTATCCCGGAGAGTCGACGTTTACATCTTCGATCTAAGCTCGAACACATCACCAAAATGGCATACCAACAACAATCACAGAGTCGCTATGGAAACTGCGACTCCTACTTTGTAGAGTCGCACGATGATGGCATCTATGCTATCCGCGCCGAAGCCAGGGAACGCCAGCGTGCGATTTCTAGGATGCAACAGCGTGCGTTGGCCGAGGAGCTGTCAAGGCTGACGGCCGATGAATATCAAGAAGACATCATGCAGCACATGTTGCACATGGAGGTTCGTGCCCTCCCCGCTGTGTGGTCACCGTCGTGTTTGCTAATACAGAGACAGTCCCAAACTATTCCTGATGTTAACTCAATTGACATCCAGACCGAAATCCAATGGTTTATGAGGCCCTACCTTCTTGACTTCCTTGTCGAAGCTCACGCTGCCTTCCAGTTACTCCCTGAGACCCTCTTCCTCGCTGTCAACCTCCTTGACCGATACTGTTCTCGTCGTGTAGTCTACAAGCGCCACTACCAGCTTGTCGGCTGTGCTGCTCTGCTCATCGCCGCCAAGTATGGTGACAAGAAGGACCGTGTACCCACTGTTAGGGAGCTAAAGTCGATGTGTTGCTCGCTCTACGACGATGAGATGTTCACGCAAATGGAATGGCATGTCCTGCAAACCCTTAACTGGGTCATCGGCCATACCAGTGTAGATGCTTTCCTCCAGATCGCTCTTGCAGAAGCTCCATACGATGCAGAGGTAGAGCACATGACCCTTTACATTGCTGAGATCGCTCTGTTCCACAAGGAGTTTGTCTCTACTCGCCCATCGGTCATGGCTAGGTCCGCACTCGCACTGGCACGTTGTGTGTTGTCTCGTCCTCAGGCACGGAACTCCGACTGGGCTGGTGCCTATGACCCTCAAACGGTTATTGGATTGTCCAACCACTTGTACCAGCCATCTCCAGTTCTCGCTCGTAAATATGCATCACTGCATCTGTCCAACGTCTCTGCCATTGTTGATGAGTTTCTGCAGCGTCAAGCACAAATTGCGCGACGCGCAGCCGCTCCACCGACGCCGCCACCAACAGTGACCATCGAGGAGCCGAAGAAAGGCTCTGAGGCATACGGCCCCTCCACTCCCCAGAAAAATCCCTATGGCTCCATGATGCAGAACGGTTGCATGACCCCACCCATTACACCAGAGGGCGAGCAGTACGCATACGGCCACGTTGTCAAGTCCCAACCAATGTCACTATACCCGACTACACCAACTCCAGATCACCCTGCCAACATGCAGCAACCAAGCCAATACGCCTACTCTACATACCTCCATCCTCAGCAAATGTAAAAGATACCCCAGCTGCGGAGTGACCGTTCTTCGATACCGAATGCCTTCGTCTGCCCTGGACTGTTTCCGTCACAAGCATGTACCCAAAAAATGACACGTGTCTGAAGCGTGAAGCGATGTCATTTCCTTCTAGCATTTGCAAGCGCCTGTTTTTTTTTTCTGCGATATCATCGAGGTCTTCACTTCAGTTTTGAGTATTTCCTTTGTCACATACACTCGACCAATCACTACAAACGGTCTGAGGGGGCCCGGTCAGATGTGTTTACCCCGTTCTGGATTTAATTATCCTTTAATTCTGGGTCTTCGATTCTGGGCCGCGAGCGCTAGCGGAGGACAGGTAACTACGGGCTAAAATTGAAATAGCAAGCACAATGAAGCTTACTCGCGTCTGTTCTTTGCTTCTGCGAGCAGAGATACCCTTTCTTTTTCCTTCTGAATATATCTTGTCTTCTATCGCAAACAAAAAAAACATAGAACATGCTTCGGCATGATTTACAGGCTACGCTAGGCTAGACTCAGGACTCATCATCAAATTGTACGTGATGGTCAGCCGGAGACGAGCATAAAAATATAGAACATGGTCGCCAACATGAATGTATTGGTCTTCCGTTCATGCCTGCTCCCAGTTGGTGCCTTTGACATGTCCCTCCAATATCGTGTTTCAGTGCACAGCACTTCCAATCAGAGACTGGGCGAGTACAAACACGGTCGTCTTGGACACAGCATCATACACCCCGCGCCGCAGAATGCCCCACTCCACGCATGTCTCGCAACTGTCAATGCAAAGAAGAGTCTAAAAGATTGCCCTACCCAACTTTGAGAGAGACAAGTTCTATCGTCTCGACTACCTACCCGATCAGCATGGATATGGTGAGTACAAGGCGCTTGCCTCATCCTATCACTTGTTCCCCCTGCAAACTAACATAACCGCTCAAGCTCTCCATTACCACCTCCAAACCAGCAACCGCGGGCTATAAACCACTCCCTTCGTATACCGACGACGATACTACGATTGCGAGTAACCTCCTCTACCCGCGATACGCGGATACAGATCCTACATCGGCACCCCCCTCGCCTGCCTCCATCGAGTCATTTGACATTCTAGACAATGTCCCTTGGCGACGAAGTTACATCTCCCTCGGACCTTCCAGCAGGCACAATGAAACACTTGGACGGCGACTGAAGCGAAACCGCGCTCGTTTGCTTGCCATTCTTTTACTCTTCACCCTCGTCGCGGCGGGATGCACACTCGGCGCTATCCTGGCAGCTAGACATGGGAAGCCATAGACAGAAAGGAAGTCGGTTCTGAAACGAAAATACCTCACATATAGACGAGGACTAGGGATTCAGCTTGCACTGGGACAACTCATCCATCTCATGTGCACGCTCTGGCCCTCTCCACCTAGCCTAGGACTCACAGGCATGGCAAAGAACGCCACCCATAAGCCCAGTAGCCCCCCGATCATGGCAAACAGAAGCGGGGGAGGCATGGCGTAGGAGTTGCACACTTCCAGGTCATCCGTGGTAAAATGCGATGCGCAAGCGAGCAAGCTGGCTACGATCCCTTGCGCCTCGCAGGGATTCACGTTACCTTCAACTTTTAGCTCAAAATATCACCAACCAACCAACCAACCAACCAAAACCACCACGGCGTGCCGTGTGAGGCAAAAAAACTCCCCAAAAAAGAAAAGTAAAAACGACGAGAAACTGGCTTTCGCAGCGTAAATCACCATGGCTGCACAAGACCCTGGGAAACAAAGAGGGATCAACGCTGTTTCTGCGTATTGGCTGTTGGATGGTGAGATGGTATACATAGGGGGGGGAGGGAAGAGATTGGATGAGACGGGCTGCACCAGTGTACCGATGGTCTGATGGTTGCGAATGCGTTGGCACCGTTGGGCTTGGTTTCCGGGTAGTCTATTTGATGGCTGGTGGCGGGCGGCGAACGAGAAGCCGCCCTGGCAGCCTGAATTGAGTGAGTGGCTGCGAAGTGAGCAGGATTCACGGTAGTAACGTTAGGGCTCTGATTAGGACTCTAGGCTTGGGACTTTGACACTTGTGAACTCTATGATCATTGATGGTGTGCGTGATATCCTTGTTTTTCTTGGATGAAACACGGGATTCATTTTAGAGGGACAAGCCAGGGCTGGAGTCGATTTGGCAAATATAGGCCATGATAATGAGGGGTTTGGAGATTGGGTTGAGGTGAATGGTGGGCCTTGGGGATGTGGGCTCAGAGGTGCGTGATCCGAGGTCACGTGCGGGTTTGTCTTAGGTATCGCGACCTGGATATTCCTTGGCCGAGGTACACGTGCATCAGTGTACTCCCAGTACACCACTTGGATACCTAGCATCCGATATCAAATCAACGGTTTCGATACAACGGCTCGAAATTGCCAATTGCTTCATAAAATAACCAGGAAGCAGCATGTCTGCCTAATAGAACCCGATGTCTGGCGTCAAAGACCTGCTCCCATCTCATCACATCCAACGGCCCATTTCCTTGGACATGAACAATGCCACTCCCATCCAAACAACACTTACGCGCACAATGACCCATCCTCCCTCCATCCCGACGGCTCCACACCGGAGACGCTCTGCAAAATCGATGCTGTCCAACTAGTCTGGCTGCAAGTCACCATGGATACCGCACTCGTCGTATGCGGTATGTGAGTGTAACGGTGAACCAGCGGATGTCCCCTGATACATGCGTGCGTGCAACATGGAACGTTGTGATTCGGCTGACACTTGTGTACAATAGACTTTGCACCTACGATCCTATGCAGATTCCTTGCTGAACGATGGGGTGCCCAGTTTATCCTGTTGTGTGATCTTGTGTCTAGGGTCTTCGTGAGCGCGTGGGCTCTTGTCGTTGGTGAGTGCGACTACGGCGTTGATCGGACTGGGAAGCGCGGTCCTAGGGCTTCTTTTTTTGGTAGGACACTGCATCCGCTTACTGCCAACGCAGATGATACTCACTGGCCCCTTTTTGAGGGTGTGGGGTGGGGAGTGCGTGTTTCGATCTACGGTGTTTACCCTGACTACAGCGATCATGTGCTATCCAGGTTGTGCGGCTGCTTTCAAATCCAGAAGACGTCTTTTGCCTCCTTTGCGCCCATAGAAATCCCAGTCTCTTCAGAGGATGTCGAGCCGCTGCTCGGCAACAGAAGCAATAGTCCAGCCCCAGTAGCAAAACGCCTTTGCATCGCCGTCGAGCACATTCCCAAGCATTACCGATGCCGTACGTAAAATAGTGAAACTTGTCCCAAGCTGTGCGAATTTCCAATTCCTTTCATGCTCCTTCTTCCTCATGGCCCTGGTGAGCTCATACACCAAGTTGCTCCTCTAGTACATCTCGAAGCGCTATGAGTGGATTTTTACCCAAGTACGTATGCGGTGCGTCAAGCCAGCAACAAACACGGTAAACCGCATCATGGCGGGCTACATACTCTCCGCAAAAGCCCTTGTAAACTTTGACCTGCTCGCCATTGCAATCTTATAGTTATAGGAAGTGTGAATGTGGAAGAGATATTTATTAAAGCTATTGTACAGGAGGCAGAAATAATTATATACTACGTTACGCGTTAGGTGCTAGTAGATACAAATGATAAACTCCCTATTACTATTAATACCAAATGGGTCAAGGTAGAAACTTTTCGTAGCCATAACAAGACTAAATAGTAAGATATTTAGGATAACTAGGAGGATTTAACTTGAGAATATTTATTTATTTAATATAATTACACATTGTGTGTAAGACTAGGCTTGCTCACGATAGAGGTCTATGCGGCACAGTGGACAATAGGGTCGAGTATTGTATTAAACGAATCGATACCTTCTGTATCGATCCTTCTAGGTATTTATACTGCTCCCTTACAACGTAATAACCTAGTCCAAACCGCCCAGGTCGCACACTCTAACACTGTGAGTCCGGGTCCCTATTATCTACTCTGCTAAAAAAAATTCTCTATCCTGACCTACACAGTCTTACACTGCCTATCTCTCACTCCTAATTGCCCGCCTTTCCAACATTCACAATGGAGTCCATAATGACAACGCTGCCAAAAGTATAGAGCTAGACACCATCCCCATTGCAAGAAGATATTCTAACACAGTAAGCCCGTCGTCGCCTTACTCCACACTCAAACCCCTACCAGGGTCACCATTGTGCTTAAAAAAAGTTCTCCAACATATTCCCATACCCCCGACGCCATCGTCCAGGACAACATGCTCGTATCTTGAACTCCCTCCTGATTACAAGCTGCTCGCCGTCCAGAATTGGTCTCACTACACCATCTTGGTCTTTGATATCTTCCATGTCGCATATGACGCATCCACCGCCCATCACACAGTAGACATTCCCGTTCTCCTTGTCGACTCGAGCAAGCGTCGTGTTGCCCGGATCCCGAGCGCGGACGAGCTCCAGAACTATATCAATGGCCAAGTCGCCAAGCTACATAATTACAATGGCTGGGATGCAAAGCCTCCGTATTATAATGATAAGACTGGTGCAGTGCCAAAATATTTTAGTCCCTGTGATAGATCCCTTTTGTAGGCTGTGTTATGTCGGATTCTGCGCGATAGGCGTTTAGGCATGTTGGATGAGGGAAAAGAGTGAGAAGCCTCTTAGATTAGAGTAGCAAAGCTGTAAAGTCTTGCTCTATCTACAGCACTACAATGTCTTACAATACTTTAATTACTTTGATTTCCTTTACTTTACCTTACTTGACTTTAATTTACTTTACTTCACCTTGACTTCACTTCACCTTGACTTCACTTCACCTTGACTTCACTTCACCTGGACTTCACTTCACCTTAACTTCACTCTGCCTTAACCTGTCCTAATTCAAAGCAATAACATAATATACACCAAGCTATCCTAGCTCTAGTCTTACTATTTAATGCTAATATCTGTCCTGTACAGTTTACACACTATCTGTATGCAGACAGGAAGCTCTTATAATACCAACTACCACCACCCAAATCCAAATCCAAACCTAAACCGCACCACTCCCCCCCTCAAACTAGCCACGCAAACAGAACTCAACGCCGCCCGTATCCTTAACCAATGACATACAGCACGCAATAATGTATACTAGGGGTCCAGCATAGCAAAAATAGAGCGAGTGTAGATATGTTTCTACGCATGCTTTTGAGGCGAACAGCGCGCGGAGGGGGAAGAACGGATGGGAATAAGGAAGGCGGGTGTAGTCGCAGAGGAACACGGTAAGGCGGAGGTATGATTTGAAGATACATAGGTGTATGAGTGGATAGATGAACAGCCTAGCTTATTTTCCCGCATATTTTCTAAATTCACCACACCAAAGAACTAAACACCACCCCACCCCACCCCACCCAAAAATAAAAACGCCCGCTCAAACAAACCCCCCTCCCACTTGAACATCCCCCCTATCCCCCACAACCTCTAATCCCACTAAAACCAAGGACTAGCATCAAGCTCCGTCGCCACATCCGCGCGCCCCGCATCAACGCCATCCCGTTTCGACGGCATTGATGCTGATGTCGACGTGGGCGACGAAGCTGCACTGCCTTCTACAACCGGGGCTTCAACAACAAGCAAAGTCTCGCTCTGTGCCTCATGCGCTGCGATAGGTTGACTTACTCTGCGCCCATGGGCATGGCTGATATGATTTAAGCTCGATTGTCTTGTGCGTCTCCTTGACAAGGGTGGGGGTTGAATATTGATATTGGTATTTGCCTCGGAATTCGGATTCACATTCGCAATTCCACCAACATTCGAATTCGAGTTCGAACTCGCCGCACTAGATTTCCTGCGCCGTGAATCCAGCGTCTCCGTCGTAGCCGAGCTTTTCCTGCGAAATAGTGATTCCTCGCTGTCGGAATCTCTGAGTGCGTGCGGGGCTGGGTCTGGGGTTTCGAGTTGGGTGGTGTGGGGACTTGGATGTGCGTGTGTATGTGAGGCCGTAGACGAACCTACTCCCACGCCTGTGCCTGCGCCTGCGCCCACCCCCGAACCAGCAAAGTACTCAAAGCCCTCGTGAGATTTCTTATGCGCAAGCGTCGGTGCCGTGGACACGGGCTTTCGTTTTGCGAGGTTCGCAAACGTCGATGCTGCTGTGACGGCGACAGGGGGTATAGACCATGGTTTCCGGGATTCGGTTTTGGGCAAAGGGAGTGGAGTTCCAGGGGGAGGGAGGGGTTGGCCGCGGCCCATGGGTTCAGTGTAGTGTGAGGATGTAGATAGGGCAGGGGAAGGAAGATGGGGCCGTGATGGGTCCTGGGCAGTGGTGTTGATGTTGGAATTGGGGGCTGTAGTATCGCCGTCTAGACCGCCCGAGGATATTGGCCTGTTGTTGGAGTTGGGTTTGCTATCGGGTGGTGGGTTTTTCGGGTTGGTGCGAGAGGGCTGGGGACTTTGTTTGGAAGCAAGCCAGTGCCGTGCTGCTGCTGTTGCGGAGCCGAGGTTTTGACCGAGTGTTTGCTTCTTGGTGGCCATGTTTGTGGCTCCTGCTGCTGCGGCGGCGGCAGTAGCGATTTCCTGAGCGGAGAGCTCTTTGGATCGCGTGCGGTTGTGGGATTGCTCAAAGGAGGGGGAGGGCGCAGACTTGGTGCTGGTACCGGAGATGGAGGCCGTGGATACGTCCTCTCGGGAGCTACAAGAGGACTCTGTAGCCTGAGTTCCAGCCGTGTCTGAACGAATTGGGGACTTAATGGGTGATGTGATAGGTAGAGATCGGACACTGGTCGGAGTGAGGGAGCTACGATCATGGAATATCTCTGCCGAAGCGTTCGCTGAGTCGACTTTGACTTGAGCTGCAGACGAACTTGATTGTAAGGGCCGAGGTCGAGTACCCGTGGACTTGTAGTCTGTAGAGGTAGATACCCCAATTCCAGTGTCCTCCGAGTCGACAGTCGAGTGTATCGACATGTGCGAACTGGCTGAATCAGCAATCTCATCGAGTTTCTCTGTATCTAGTACAGCGTTCTCCAGCGCTGTATCATCCTGCTTGATGTTATGCAAGCTTTCATCGTCCTTGGTTTCCTTCTCCTCATGCCATATGCCTCCTCGAATGACCTGTGATATGGTATTTGTGAAGGGCATATCGTCCCAGTTTGGCAGAACCAAAGTCTCATTGACCACTTCTCGTATGCGATTCTCCATGACTCGAAGAACTGGGCCGTACGTGATTTGCCGAGAGCTTACAATCGGTTCAAGCGACAAGTCGATTTTTGGTGGCGTCTCAAAGGTCATCCAAAGTCTGTTACTTGGTGGCGGCTTGATCCTCAGGAGAATATGTCCCTCCAGCTTCTTCAAAACAGTCGCGAGCACGAGCGTTACCTCGCGCGCCTTGAACCGAGCCCCCAAATCGATACGCACAATGGCAGATATTTCGATCCTGAAACTGCCCTTGTAGCTTACATCAGCTTCTACTATGAGATCTCCATCAACCGTAAGTTCCTTGAGCTTTGGATTAGTGATAAACGGTGGGAGAGTGCCCATGTCTACTTTCCGTAGCGTAATGCTGCTAATCAGCGCAGGCTTAGGCACGCGAGCAATTTTCTTGTTGATTTTGGCAGCGATAAAGTCTTTAATTTGTGACGTCTTGTACATGGCGAGAAAGACTCGTCCGATGAGGGCATTGATCCAACGTGTATGCAAATTCTCTTCCGAGGCGTGCAATTGTTGTACGAGTTTGACAAGATCTGGCGTGTCAAATTTGAGCGGCACGGGGGCTGGTGCGGCGCTATCGCCTACGTGGTGTTCCTGCGCCTGTAGCATGGCATGGTAGAAGTCTTCCTTTTCGGAGCAGTTGTCGGAGAAGAGGTAAAATGACTTCGCTTCCGCAAGGGAGTCGCCTTCGAGATCTTGAACTAACCGAATGCCTGTTCAGGTCAGAGCTGCACTGCAAAGGGTGAGACAGGTATATGCAGCTTACAGTTCCGCTTGATCCATAGCTCTCCCTCAGGTATGGGCTCTCCACCAGCGTGGACGTCAACTTTGTAATGAGCAAGGGAAATGACATGGCGCACTTCGATCTGATCGTCGTTGTCATAGAGCATCAAATGTCCCAATCTATCTTTTGTCAGCCTCGAATCCCATTAGAGTCCCGAAGATGATCCATACCGCAAGACAACATAGAATACGTTGCGAGCCTTCTTATTCTTGGAATTCGCGGTCTCAATAGTAGGACTCGTGTTCTTATTCCTATCGAAGAGGCTTCTGTACATGGACTGATATACGCTTGGGCTCTCGACCGCTACCACGGCACCTGCTGGTGTCGTCCGGTCTGGCGGCTTGCCATTCACGCCGCCTGGCACATACTCGCGGCAGACGGCAAAGTATCCAGCGCAGACGTCTGGCACATGTGTTTTCGCCTTCAGCTTCTCCAATATCTCGTCGTCGATTCCTATTCCCAAGCTGCCGCTCTCATCGTCCTTCTCGCTGGACGAGTTCGAATTCGTCGTATGGTCGTTGCTGGCGCCCGTCTTGTCCGCGGCTTGGACTGCATCGACGAGTGTTGTGCCCCAGAACCAGGCAATTGTAGCCAAGGCAGGTATGAGGGTCAGGCCACCGATAAGATAACCCCATATGAACGTCTTCAACAATGCTCCGAACCCCCAGCCCTCGCTCATCTTGTAGGCTGTCCTATGTTTCTTTGTCCACCATCCTTGTACAATGGTATTCTAAAAGAGGTATGATCACGGTGTGGTATCCTTACAAGGCTTGTTGAAGGACATGGGTTGTCGAACTTGGAGATCACCAATGATGCGACGCGTCGAACGCGGTACGGTCAGGTAGGTAGCGAGGCTTACTAGCGAACGGATGACGAACGAGCGAACGGACTCTTCGTCAAGAGAAATGAGAAAAGACAGATACAGACAACGGGCGATTTTTCATAAAGGAAATAATTCAACAGCATCAGACAAGGTGGTTTCACTGGTGAGACATGTTCCAGCCGTTGGCTGACAAAGTTGCGCGGGGAGGGATCAGAGTGGAGTTACCACGTGTGGAGTTCGAGTGACGGTAGATCGACGCTATCTATCTTATCTAGCCGGCCCGAGCTGCTATGACGGCATCTTCGAGAGCTAAAGAAAGCTTGATGGTCTCTACTAAAGACATTCTATCCTACCTTACCCTCACTGCTTGTCATTACGGGCAAAACAATACACCATAGTTGTCTTCTTATATGACTGATTATGCTTGATGCTTCATAGTGTCCAATATACATGCTCACTCAGTCTGCCTTCCTGAACACGACCTGTTTTCAAGTCTGAACCACCGCCCACATGACCATAAACTCCCTTCACCAGCGCTATGCGAAATTCCAAATAATGAAACGCCTCACCTCCAAACAAATCTCCCCCAACTAAACAGACCAAGGATCAAACTTAGCGCACTCTTTTCCCCTGCTGTCTGACCCCCTCATCACCCTCAGCCTCCATAATACGTCTTCTACCCATATCCCTCACATTGCCTTCTCGTACTGTGCTCGCTCCCACACTACTCCCGCTGACACCTCTGCTATGCCCACTATCCCTGCCTCCGTCTGCTCCGACGCCTTCAAACACTTGTCTTTCCCTGGCCACGCCTGCATGTTGAGGTGGCATTCTCGACGAAAACTGATGCCAGCAATTCGGCGCCTGGAGAATGTACTTCTCCATCGCGATGCGGAACCTGTTGCGATAATCCTTGGGCGACGTAATAGTTGGTTTGTTCTTGCCTCGGTCCTTGATCCAACTCTCAAGCTTCTTGTCCCATGTATATGTGCGGATGCAGTCGATGATGCCTACGATGATCTCGCGATTGGTGTCGTCGAAGCCCGCCATGAGGGAGTAGTCCATGACATTATTTTGCGAGAGGAAGAGTGTGTCATTGAACACGCTGGCTTTGAGAAGTTTCTTGGTATGTTCGCGCACAAAAATCGGCGTCTCGGAATAGATGATGTCGACAAGGTTCTCATCTAGAAGGACTTCGTCGCGTTCTCCCGTGGCTTGGATCTTGCGGTTCCTCATCGAGCCCTTGAGATCATAGCGTCGGTTCGGCTCACGATCATAGAACAGGTTCTCCATGACCAACATATACCAGTCAAAATCTCGACCCGTGGGCGTCTTGATTTGTACTTGGAAGAGACCAAACATTTTGGCGATGACACTTGGGAGAGACTTGAACAGATTCTGGTGTGTGAAGGCGAAGTAGTTGGGGCCAAATTTGAAGAAGGCTTGCACTTCGATTGGCGATAGCGACTTCAGCACGAAGCGGTCGTCGAGAGTTTTCAAGAAGATAGACTTGGACTTTCCGCCCTTGGAATCCCACTTGGAGCAGCGCGACAGCGATTCGACAAATCGATCGGCAACCCCGCATTTTCGGCGGAGCGCGTCAAAGGACTGCGCATAGAAGATTTTGCATTGCGCTTTTACGCCCCTGTTGGTGAAGCTGTAACGGATGTTGTGGTTCTTCTCATGCAGCAGGTTTCGCTCAATCGAGCCTTCCAAGGTCTCCGCGCCTCCATCAATATCGTCCTCGCGGAAAGTCTGCAGTTTCGCAACATAGTCAGGGCAGGAAAGTGCCAGCGCGATGATCGAACTTGGCTCATCTTCACGGATGATGATGTCAGAGTCTTGCCAAACATGTTCAATCTGCGAGAAAGGATACTCGAGCGGTGCCCAACCACTTGCAGAACGCTCAGACCAGAAGCTGGTAATCATCTTCAACAAAGTGGTCTTTTCGTGCCTGGGTAACTCAAACGAGCTGTCAAGCTGGGAATCGCTCATGTTCAGGAGCTGAGAGCCAGCAATGCTGTCGGGTAAGGGGATATCTTCAGGGGTCGTTTCGGTATCACTTGCTTCGTTCTCAGCATCTGAGGGGGTATGGGTCGAATGAGGGGGACTTCTCGGCGACTCAAGGCCTCCTTCGTGTTGCAAACATGCACCGCTTGGGTGACGCTCCTCCACGGGTGATTGCGAGGCTGTCGTAGTACCTCCAGTAGCATCTGTAAAAGTGCTGTCCCCTAGAGTACTATTGTCCATGCTCGCACGTGGCAGCGATTCCGCCGCGTTCATGTCCTCATCAGACTCATCATGATCTTGTACTGCGTCATGAACGTTCTTATATACCTCTACAATTGGCTTCGAGGATGCGAGTGGGTATGCGCGAACCTGTCGATTCCGGTCATTCCGCCGCTCACGCATGCGCTCCTTTTGGAATTCACGCTGCAATTGCTCAAAATGCTGTGCAATCTTGGATACCCTCGAGTCATTCTTGTAAGGTATAGATCGTGGTATGCGTGAGCCTGCTTTGACCTGCTTCAGGAGCCCAAGACCTAGTCGCTCGCTCATTCTCTCCAATGTTCTAGAGTGTTCGCTCATAGTCGGTTTGGCTACATTGGTGCCACAATTGAATGGCGAAGGAGCCGGGAAAGAGGCAATCTGCTTCGTGACATTTCCAGGTTGTGACTGTGTCCGCGTCAGAGTGGTAGGCCTGGCGGGGGCCTCACGTCGGCTGGGTTCTACCGGCCGTGGAATCTTGCTTTCCAATGTCGTGCTAGATGTTGGGGTGGCTGATGGAGAACTAGGCATATTCTCGATTGCTTCAGCAAGCGATTTATCAATGGGATTCACCTTCGGTGGGCCTGTGGGTGTTGGTGAGCCTGGGTCAAATTGGCTGGAGTCAGACATGTTGGTTGAGACTGGCGTGATCTGGTCTCCAGTAGTTTGAGCCGCTTCAGGGAAATTGGATGAGACCGCCAGGTCTAGGTGGCGGACGTCTTCTCTCTCTAAAGCTTCGCGAGGCGTCTGAACCAGTAATGGCTCCAGAGTCGGCTTCGAAGGAGTCGAAGTCTTTTCAGTATCCGCTGGTGCTTCGCTGGTCGAATGGTCTTCTTTTACGACAGAAGTCAGCATATCGCGGGCCTGTTCAGCAGAGATGTCGGACGGTCTAGGGGTAAGTGCAAGTCCCTCGCCCTTCTCATCAACGAGTGGCTCTTCAGCACCAGATTCAGCACCTTCTTCGACCGAAGTCAAGGAGCTTGTAGATTCATCTCGCTCAAGAAATTTCTTCAGCTGTAGTCTTGCCAGTCGCCGAATATCATTCTCCGAGGGGAAAAACTGTTGTTCAAATTCGGCGAATGTCTCATCCCAAGCGACCGCTTTCTCTTGAATAGCGCGGATGGCACGATTCATGGGAATGATTTCGTAGTACTTTGAGTTCATGTACTTGTCCTGAAGCTTGGCTTTGAGCCACTCGTGCTCCTCGTTCGCACGCTGCAGGAGCGATTCAACCTCTTGTCTGCAAACGTCCACTGTCCCTGACATGACATCGTCGATATGTATGCCTTGGATACGAGCGCGAATCGAGTCCATGAAGCAGTCAAGTTTCTCCTCTATCATTAGATACTGGTTGTTCTTGAGCCTTAAATCGCTGTCCACTTTCCAAGTAACATGCTGTTTGGGCGCAAGGACCTCGTACATCGGTACAGGATCGTATTGGATACGCAATGCAACATTGTTGTAACCGAAGTAACGCACGTGATTCTTGTGGATGTCGTGAGGACACACTCCTGCCCGAGGATGTAGCTCCGTGCTCCAGAATGTTAGCTCCAAATACTTGGCAAAGGAATACTTCCAGGTCCATTCAGACATTGGAAAGACTTGCGTCTCTTGTCCACAAATTCTACAACAGCTCCACATGAGAATGGTCTGATACATTCCTTTTAACTTTGGTGGGTGTTTCTGCACTACGACAGTCATCTGTCCTTCCCCATGTACGTATTGGCGAGAGTGATCTATCATTCTTTTGTCACAATTGCCCATTTCGCAAGCGACACCAGCGGATGAGCAGAGATCCTCGACATATTGGCCTAATGTGCAGTCTGGTGTAAATCCGTCGTCATAATCATGCTCCTGGTAGAAGCCAAGTGCGATAATCTCAGGTCCAATGCAAGGCGTTGATGACTTCGTATTGACAACACTGTACAGGACAGCAATTTTTTGGTGGTTGAAAGGATCATAGAGATCCCTGTTTCCAGACAAGTAGGTTTCCCATAGCCGCTTTTGTGTCATGTAGTTGTGCATCGCTTTATCATATTCTGAGGCATGAACTGCGGACAGGAACTCTCGAACTTGCTTCGAGGCCTGCTCCACAACGGTATGGACCATCTCCGGTTGCACCAGCTCAAACTTCTGTCCTGACTCTTCAGTTTTTTCCAAGTCCTCAGCCTCTTCAGGGTCACCCGCGGTATATTGATTCTTGAGCTTGCTTAGATGGCGGAGCTTTTTCTCGTACTGACGGGCCTGTTCGAGCAAATAAGGCTGCATAAATTTGACAAAGGGCGAAGAGGATAGTATCTTGGTTCGATGATTCTCCACCATTTCGCTATAATATGACGGCGCTGCGTCTCCTGACTGCGCATCATTTACATGCTCGTGCTCCTCGGTGGATGATTCCTTGCATTGCCCATCCGAATTAGAAGCTTCGGTTCCCAGCTTTTCTTCCTCTTTATTCGATTCGATTGTTCCAGTGGAAGGAGTTGTGGGCGTGTCTATGAATTCATCCCGCATTAGACAGGTTTCCAAACGAAGATTATATACCACGTAAGACATGAATTCGGTGATTCGCTTCAGCTTAACCAACTCGGTGTTCTCGGCCCCTCGCAGCACAATGGTACAACCTAGTTCTCTCTGACAGCCTGACAAGAAAATGTACGTTTTTCTAGTATTCTTATAGACGTAGGTCTTTACGTCGAAGCTGCCACAGTACCCAAGATGAGATGGCTCGATGGCGAGCTTGTCCACTGAAGAGATCATCCGGGAATTCGTACATCGAGCTACTGCATTCAGCACACTTGGCTTGACGTTATAGACGACAGCTATTCGTTCCTTCTCTAGAAACTCTAGTGCGAGCCCAGCGACGTTGCGTTGCACTAGTAGGACATGGGGTTCCAGGGCTGCTATTCGGCTGACCAAATTGCGCAGATACTCTCGTTCCTGCGCTATGACTGGGTCCAAACTCATAAAGTGTGCTTGATGGCGTGCGTACTCGATTGCGAAGGTTATAATCACGATTCGTGGGTTCGGTATGCTTCGAGGCATGCTACGAAGCGCAACGTTCTTTGTGAATACCACGCCAGAAACGTAGGCGGTGTCCCGCGGCCTGCCTCCAGGAATCTTTTTTAGCTTGATGTAATTCCGAACATCAATATCATCACCTCTATCGACATCAGGGTTGACGTCATCTGTGCATTGTCGCAATATGGGAATGAGAGCCTTCTCCCAGCTTGAGACATGGGGCACACCGGCGTCCTGCAACATCTGCCTAAGGAGTTTGCGCGCATGGTCCAGGCTAGCTTTGTTGAGCTCGACCTTGGGCGTGATGCCCTGCATAGAAGCACTTCGAGTCATTTTGGTGCCTGATGGAGTGCCCGAGGGTGATGGCAACAGTTGCGGCGTGCCCAGCTGAGAGCTGGGTGCACTATTACCATAGCCCGTGTAGGGTCGCAGCAGGGTATTGCTTTTTGACCGACGTGGTGACGGCCGGTGAGTGATGCTGCTTACGCTGAGGTTTCTGCGTCGCGGTTGTCGATTGCCAGTCCGACTGGTGATGCTCATGCTATCCGTATCACGGGCGTGTACTCCGCCCACCGCCTGTCTGTCTCCGAGTCGCGCCTTCCCTTTTCTCATTGCCGCCAAAATACCGCCAAGCCCCGCTCTTTCACCTTCCATGTTCGAGCCAGTGGCAGGGTCTTCGTTCAAGGTCGCAAACAGACTAGCGGGCTCATCTTCACTCGATCCTTCATCCGACATGAATGGTGCCAGGTCGGGATCAATGATGTTGTCATGATGGAATGCAGACAGGCCGGGCTGGCTTCGGGTAGCGTCGTGATACTGATGGAATGGGGCGCGGTCGTCATGTTTGACATGGCGCATGTGCTGGTGCCTCGAGTGATAGCGCTTGTGGCTGGACGACCGTGGCCTTCCACTGAGGGAGCGCAGAGACCGCGAGGAGCTTGGTCTCGCTAGAGTTGGGGCGCCAACCTCGATGACATGAGAGCGACGTTTCTTCTCGCTGCCAGTCTTCCTGGACATTGGGATACTGATGGTGGGCGTCCCGATCTTGGTATGATCGCTTTCCGTAGGCTCGGGCTCGTAATCGTCATACCCCTCTGGCTTCTCGTCCTGTTCGTACATGGACAGTTGATCACCTTCGTCGGTATATTCCGACGAATCGTCATCATGACCATATATGATAGACTCACATGGCCTACAGACCTTGAGTTTGCTCTGCTGTCCAAATATTTTCCCCGACACAACAGAAGTACATTTTGAGTCGAATATCTGCCCACAAGTACGACAGTGATGCTTGCGTCGAAACGTCGTAAAGGCATCGCCGCAGTTGAAGCAGTCTTTTGCATTTTCGTCTCTCATCCAAAACTCGCGGTCCAGTATCTTCCGCCGCATCTGAGTGAAAGTGCTCCTAGGCATGCTATGTGTGGGAGGCGCAGCTTGAGTTTGCCGCCGTATTTCTTCAATGGGAGCTGCCACTGGCGTGCGCACCGTAGAGCTGCTTACTACAGAGCTCAAGCCATCCGAAGACGATGCTCGTGAAGTTCTGAAGCCAGGCAGATGGGACGGTCCGACCTTCAGGAGAGGTGGACGCTGTGCATCCAGTGCATGAGCGGGTGTTCGGGCACTCGAGGTAGTCTGGGGAACCGGTCCACTTTCTGGTGTTTTCTCCATCGGGTCTTTGGCTTTGCTTGGAATGGCACGAGTGGATTGAGGCTGGCTTTCCGTGCGGGAGCTCACCCTACTCAGGCTGTCGCGGGATATCTCCGCGGGATATTTGTAGTTGGCACTCTGGCTCATGGTGCTTTTGCCTTCCACAGCCAGTATACTGTCATCGTCGCTGTCGTCGCGTTCGCGCCTAGAGGTCTGCTTCCGGGTAGCAGCCTCTTTCGCCGGCGCGAGCCGTGGAGAACCTGCCGCTTGTGCTCCAGGTAAGGGGTCTCGTGCTGGTGTTTTCCAGGTCTGATCGACGGTAGAGGTGCTCTGAGCTTTTGCGTGCGTACTGACAGGACTGTTGGCCAAGTGATGATCCTCCTCCTGCGGTCTTCCCGATTCAGGACCGGGTGTCAGTGATGACCGAGATCGTGTTGCGCCAAGCGAAGTCCTCGAGGCATTCAGCGAGGCCTTGCTGGACAAGGTCGTGTTTGATATGTTAGAATCCCGTGAAGGGGGCAGGACTTCGGGGAAGGAGGACGAAGAAGGCGATTGCAGTTTCGATGACGGAACAGGCATGACTATGGGCGAAGAGGCAGAGGTGTCGCCTGGGCTCCTGTTGACCGCACCTGGCCTTGAAGATGCGGGCGAGCTCGTGGGCCCTCCTCCTCCTCCACCAGCAGCCTCTTGCGATTGCTCTCTTGCCCCACCAACCGAAGCCCTCAAACGGCTGTACAGACCGCTGAAGCCGCCCTGGACCAGCTCGATGCCCTTGGGCTCGCCAGCTCCAGGCGGTGAAGAAGGGGCGGCGAGTTCGTCGAAGGTAGTCAGTGTATCGGTCTGCGATGCTGTGGCATGTATCTGGTGGAGGGCTTCGGGCAGCGAGCCCTGGGCATCTCGCGCCATGGCCAGGGATTCGAGGACCAGGATGCGGCGGCGGTGCAGTAGAACGTTGCAAGGATTATGCAGGTGATTGAGAGGCTGCCGACTTGGTGGTGATGGAAGAGCGGCATCAGACCTTCACGATGAGACCATGGCAGTTGGGCAGTGTGAAATGTGAAGTGTGAAGTGTGAAGTGTGAAGCGTGGAGGAGACGGGATGGACGAGAGCTAGGCTGGAAAGTTGTCGCAGATGGGGTACCTAGACTACGTATATATGATGTGCTGTCTAGATAGGTAGGTAGGTAGGTAGGTAGGTAGGTAGGTAGGTAGGTAGGTAGTTCAAAGAGTACCTAGGTATGTAGGGTAGCTAGAGGAAGAAGATCATATCCAAGTCAAAAGACCCGATGTGGCTTAACTTACCTACCTAGGCATCAACCTTGCCTTTGGAGTTACAGCAGCCTGAAGCCTGAGGGGCCAAGGAGGGGCACGCGGTGAATGCTCAGACACTCCCGTTGCACCTGGGCAGCCAGTCCTTGCGTTGCGGTCGATGAGTCCATGCCTACTCTAAGCCCATGAGCCCATGAGCCCATGAGCCGAGCGATGACGCGCTGCCCAAGGTGCCCGCGGCCATGTGGGCTGCCAAGAATGCGGGGTTAGTAAGCAACGGGTTCAATGAAGGTTGCTTCCCATGGTTCTGCCCCCCTCCGCCGCCCACCGACAAAGTTTGCCGTACCAACACACAGGATGGGCGAGTGAGTGACCCGAGCCTGCTAGGTAGATACAGGCCAGGTGTGCACATATATGACTTTGGGTGATGAGGTATTTGGTCAAGTCGATAGCTGGATAGGAGTCATTTACCATTACTTACTGCAGTAGTCCTACTATGTTCTGCTCCTAAGAGTATGCTTTTCCGTGTAACATAGTATGCTAACTCAGCTTGCTACCCGTACCGGTACTGATACCTCTCTCTCTCTACCACGCACGGCCCAAGGAACCACCTCACGTTAGTTCAACCTGACGACTCTAGACGCGTCGCGCCTCCCACTCGCGACTTTGGCCGCAACATATGGCCATTCGTCTCAACGGGTGGCTCAGCGACAAGTTCGAAGCGCAGCTTTTGCTAGGCAACAATTGGCTGCAGAACAAGAACAGCGCAAAGGCTGCTGGCATCAAAAGCGAATATTCCTCTGCTCGTGGCTGGCGCGGCCTATATCACGACAACGGCTCGTGCTTGGACATCACCCACTTTTTCCCTCCTGACACGGGCAGTAAAAGTGCCCTGCAGGTGCTGCAACCCAATCCCCTTATCCTCACCGATGGGAAAACAAGAGTAAACGCCCATCTCGACTCTGCTTGCATCCGCGCCTTCTTGCACCGATTCCCTCACCTCTCGCATCTGCCAGCGCAAGCGGTACTGCTTGTACGCAGCTACACGATCCGCTACACCTCCTACGGGCCACCCCGCCATCGCCTACGCCTCATCCTGCACACCGTCGATTGGATCGCCATCAGCAACGAGCCAGTACGGGCTGCTGTATCTGTACCTTTAGAGCAGGTGAACGACGTCAGCGCGGTATTACAACAGCTGAATAGTACGCGTGCAGCCGAAGATTGCCGGTGTTTGCGACCTAGCAGACACACTGCTATTGGAGCAAGACCCCGGGACGGTGATCCGGGCCAAGGAGAAGAAGGAGAAAAAGACAACCAAGGCGACCAAGACGAAGAAGAAGGGATCATGGCGCCCACAGTGGATGAAGGCGCAACATCGTCGCAGTCTCAGCAGTCATACACGCAGGCACACTTTGCAACCCAAACGACGCCTGCCATGCGAGCTGGTACCAGTGGGCACGAGCTACGGATGCTGGGGGTCAATAGAATGGATCCTGTAATAGTCGGCAACACGCGCCAAGAAGACCTGCCGCCAACGTCAGCGCATGTAAACTGTCACAAGTTACTGGATATGTTGAGGAAAACGGGCATTATACAGCCTCCTAGCCCAGATGAGAAGGGGAGCTTTCAGCAGCCTAAGAGCATCTCCACCCAGGCTAGCCCACTGACGCCGTCGCGTACTTTGGACACCAAAACGCAACGACAAACGCCTTCTGTGCGCAATGATCGGACTCGTAGACGGAAGTCACCTAAACGAACTCACTCGCAGAGGCATGCGACGGAAACTGAGGCCCGCTCGCCCATAACTGCCGATTCTCCCAAAGGAACATGGGTCGCGGAAGAAGCGGGCAATTGGAAAGAGCCCAGCGAGACGAGTATGGAGTGTCCTTGGATGAAGGGCTTCGTGTTCAACAGTCACTCTGTAGTCCCCGATGCATACCAGATGAAGGTCTTAAACAGATCCGAGAGTTGGTACAAGACTCAGCCGGGAATAATGCCCTTTCAAAAGAACAATATGCCCATGAGACATTTCAGGATGATCCGTGCTCTCGCCGAAGAAAATGCTGCTGCGCAAGGGCAAACTCAATCGGACGAGGAAATCGACGATTCTTCACCCGACTCTGATTCCGAAGGAGCTGCTGTTGTTTCATCGCCAGAATCTCTCCCCAAGACATCTCTTGATGATATGCCTGGGACCAGCCAAATATCATGGTCTGCGTCCTCGACTCCTGAACCCCCACAAATCCCGGCAAGTATCAAGCCTGGTTTGCCTCCGGATTCCAGTCTGGAGATGGGAGAGTCTGCGGAAAGCGCGAAGAATGCGCGGATTTTATCCTCTCCTGCCATCAGTCTCGTAGCAGAAAAAAGTACTAGTGCTCCGCCATCATCACCCCCAGCGATGGAGATCCCAGCAGACTCGGATGACGAAATGGAGATGGAAACCTCAGTCCCGCAAGCCTTGAATGAGACCAGGACTGTACATGTGGCATCATCTCGCAGGGGCCTCGTCAGCTCGCAATCCCCACGATCAAAGCTAGTGGTACAGGTGCAGGAGACACCGCATGCCAGGAGCAAGCAAATACATGTTTCGCCAGAAGGCAAAGAGTATGTCTCGACGGAAGAGACAAAGAACTCATCATCAATGTCAATTGTCTTTGACACACACGACGAATCCGTCTCGACTGCTTCTGCAAAATACAAGCGTGATCAGATTATGACGACAAGTGATGCGATTGGCAGGCCAAAAGAACTTGATTCTAGCCCTAGCGAAGAGCCAGGCCACGCAGACAGAGCTGAGCCGGCACGACAGTCAAGCCTGAGCACTGAAGGAGAGATTGTAATGATAGAGTCATCGCCCCGTACAGAAGCACAGATGGACGCGGTCGACGGAGGCAGCATTTCAGGGCATACGGCTGAAGTCCCGGATTGTCCGAGTCGCATGTCAGTATCAGGATCTACCAAACGCAAGCTGGCCGAATCTCCTACCAAATCCAGTAGACGAAATTCCAAACGGCGCGAGATCAAACTTGTTGGCTTCGGGAACTACTCACCACCCTCCACTGATCCCGCTTTGGCCCTGCGCAAGGACCGCGCGGACTCACTTCAACGATTTCGAGAGACCCGAAAGTCGAGTACGAGTTATGAGAGCCGGGCAGGTAGCCTGGCCAATCCTGACGCTGACTCAGAGGCAATGGACGTGGATGCTTCAGGCATGGCTCTGAGCAAATCGAATTTTCGTACCATGTCGCCTCGTCACCAGAGCCTATACGACGAGCCTAGTCCCCTTAGGCCACTGCCAAAAGCAGACCAGGCACCTGTGAAGTCTTCTCATCCTTCACGTGAAGTTGCGCAGTCTCACACGCCGACTACGGGTGGTTCATTACGTCGGAGTGTGCAATCTAAGTGTACGAATGTTGATGGGCAAGTAACTATGGTATCTGAACCCTCTACAATATTTGAAAAATTCCGGGCAGCGTACCCGGAGTATGCAGGCAACGAGAAACACTTCAAAGGACAATGCCTGCAAATGTATCAACTTGACCAAGAGGACAAGATGGTGCCCAAGTGGCAATGGGACGACTTCATCATTCGTCATAGGGCCGACTATCGCCAGTATTTATTGGAATGTGTGGACAATGGGGAGGAGCCCGAGCCATACTATCGCTTCTACAAGGATACTATTCGCGACACCTTATACAGGAAATGTATCGTTGATAGTAGAAAGAATCTGTTCAAAGCACTGGAGGAGCTGGGGGCTGAGCCTCCTGCGTCCCATGCTAAGGAACCACGACAAGACAAATCATCGCGGGCGTCGCTACCAAGTGCTTCTACCCACCACATACGTACACCACAACTGCCTGAAGCACCGCGTCAACGTCCCCGTCATTCCCTCCCTGTGATTGCTCACATCGTTCCACGTACATCTATGCCCTCTCTCCACACACCTGCATTCCGGACCCCACCCGCCCCGGCATCAGCGCGCAAACCCACCTCGAACCCACCCTCCTCAGAATCTCCAGTATCCAAGTCCGACAACCTACTCTCCAGCCTCAGTCGTGCTCCTACACCGAGTAGCTCACGCACTCCAGAGAGCAGCGGCGATCCCTTCCGCGACTACTTTTTTGCCGTCCAGCGAGTAAAATCTCTCACAGGGAGCGACACAGTAAGCCCTGAACCGAATGATATTGGGAAGCAGTGCAAGGCTAATATCGTTTTATGTCATAGGTCGATCGAAATAAACCGTGGCCGCAGAGTCTGGAAGGCAGGCCGACAGTTGCAGATGCGCCGAAGCAGAAGGTTGATGTTTTGACCTGGGGTGATGTCCTTTGAAGTTACGACAGAGTTGCTGGGGATTGAAAAAGAGACTTGATGAGCAATTTACGGTTCAGCCTGGAGTTTGGGAGCCTGACGAATGGCATCCAGGTTCAGAAATTGGAGGTTGGTGTTTTGTTACTCGGTGCAGTGATACCCCCCAAAGCCTGGAATTGCAGTTCACACATGACTGGAACCTTTGTCTGTTTCAGCTGCATTGCATTGCATTGGGAGTCTTGGGATGCATACGCATGTACACAGTTCCTGTAAATCGTGCATTGGGCGTGAGAAGAAGAGCGATATTGGGGCGCTCTGTAGTGAAACCCAACTACCATACTTGCGAATTTCATATTGGCATCATTATCACTCTAGCATCTACGCATGCTAATGGAATCTTCAACGCAACAAGGCCCATCCAAACATTTTAAGGATACCACTGCCTAGAGTTTTAGACAAGGAATATGTAGCATGTGTAGCCAGTCTTTCACCCTCAACGCTATCCCATCGTGGCAGTCTCACCATCATAATGTCAGTCCACTGTACCTACCACTCGGAAACAGACTCGTCGGACTGTCACTACGGTATGTATTCCCACGTTTCTCTCCTTACTCAGCCTCAGCCACGCCGGGCTGCATATCCATCGGCATCAAGGACCTTTGAACCACCGATATCCATCACATCCCCGTCATGGCTGACTGCATGGCGGAAACATTGCAGCCAACGAAACGAGCAGCCGGCGCCCTCAGGCCCAAGATACCCATCCATCAGCGTAATGTGACGTGCGCTTTTCCATCCCATATGCTGAAGTTTTATCTTGTAACAAGGCGACTTCTTTTTCAGTGGAACAGGCTGAGAAGATGCTAAGACAGAGGGGAAGATTGGGGGCGAGGGGGAAAGATCAGAGATATTACGTTACGTGGCATCGGACTTTGGACTACGGGTCTCCGCAACGGTGTGGAAGAGGGGTTTATATTTTTACGAACGACGGGGTGGGGAGAAAAGCAAAGTGTGGCATTGATGATTGGAGTCTTGGACGAGCAGAGCAGTGGTGTTGGGTTGTGTGCATGAGCATGAGCTGTGAGGTTGATGTTAGCCGGGGAAGCGGCTGAATCATTGGACCCTGCCGCCGCGCTTGAAATAGATTGGATAGAATGGGGGGTACCAGTACGATCTTTCACACCCTTAGTATCCAACCCTTCGATTCGACAAGGACTCAATGTCACTTGACCCTGGATATTTGCGTATATACAGGCTGCTCGGAATTTTCGGATCGCCCATGTACGAGAGTTACAGGCTTCAGTGCGATACGGAGCCTGGTTGCGATGCGGAGTTTGCTTGTTTCACTGCGTCGTGTATGCAGGCGTATGCTCAGCCGGCCATGCTGACTGTGAAGCCTCGAGGCGATGAATTTTTATGCGGTCAAGGCTAATGGCTTGGATAGCGATTGAGCTGCAGCGATTCTCACGATTCCGTATTGCTCTTCGGTGAGACATGTCTTCTAGCGTCGACCGTGGCTAATTTCATGGCGCGTCGAGGATGTTGTGCAGGCTAGGTATTCTCGGTTGTAGTAACCCACTGCGTGCTATCTCATTCTCTGCTTATCATATGCTAGCTATCAGGATTTGGTGCTGGAGAACGACTACGCGGGTCTTTCCCATGCCTCATGGGGCACTGATGTTCAAGACTGCCCGTCTGGCACAAGCTGAGCAAGCCATGACCAACAGCGCAGCCAACTGAGGCTTCCGGCAAGCGATGGACCCAATTCCAAGCTGAGCATCCTTTCATTCTACAGGCTGAGTGTCCGTCATGTCGGCTCTGACACGCTGCGTCCTCGTGGCGGCGGCACGGAGTGTCGGTATGCGGTACTCCTTTGCCAAAGGAGTACGAGTATTGATTCTGATCTGTGCTTATGGTGGCATCAGTCGTCGTGCCACCGTCGAGCTCGCAGATCTATATGTAGTGTGCGTTACTCCCATGTCGTTCATAAAAGGGTTGAGGAAGTCTTTATCGTACACCCTTACCTAGGTCCCCTGTCACTCTGAAAGGGACCTTTCCGACATACAGCTCTTGCCAATATGGCAGTCTCTACGTTGTTGTTAGCTGCTGTTTTTCTGGCTGCATATGCACTTTATAAGTACTGGGATATATCACGTCGTCATAGAATACCGAAAGGCCTCAAGCCTCTGCCAGGGCCTAAAGGTATGGCATGCAACTCTACTTCTCATTGGCAGGCACTTTTTGACGAGAGTGTTGGACCCTGATCTGCCATCAGCCTTGAATGCGAGGAAGCATGGCTGATACATATTTCTCTAGGTTATCCCATCATCGGCGCGGTATCCGAGGTCCCTGAAAAGAACAGCTTCATCAAGTTTGCCGACTGGGGCAAAGAATATGGTCCTATATACCAAGTCAACTTGGCTGGAGACAACCATGTCTGGATTTCGACAGATCAAATCTCCAAGGACCTCTTGTCGAAGAAAGCAGCAATCTACTCTGACCGTCCACATATACCCGCTCTGATCGACGACAATCGCACGAGTGCACAGTACCTTCCATTGCTCAGTAGGAATGGTATGATGACTTTATCCAACGATAGATTCACAATCTAACACCATCAGATGGCCATACCCGCCAAAGGAAGTTTGCAAACATCATCATGCGCGAATCAGAAAAGGCGCTCTTTCACCGATACCCCGAACTAGAGGCCAAACGTATGCTGGTCGAACTTCTCGACGAGCCTGACCGGTACAATCATGCTCTCGAATCTTTCATAGCCCGTGTCACTTGCCGGCTGGCATGGGGCCACAGCGAAGGCAGCGATGAACTGAAGCAACGAGCTCGTGAACTCCTCATTGGCGTTTCCCCGACTGGATCGTTTGCTAACAAACTCCCATTCATCATGGCTCTTCCGGACTGGCTATCCCCCGCAAAGGCGTGGGAGAGACGACGTGCAAAGACGGAGCGGACATGGTTCCAGTGCATGCAAGATCAAGTATCAAAGGACATTCGAGAAGGCAAGGCCACGCCCTCATGGATGAAGACGTTCCTCGATGGTCGCAGCAAGTGGGGCTTCAAGTCCGATCTAGAGGGCGCATACGCAGTTGGCATGCACGGTATTGCCGGTGCTCTGACGATTGCGGCGCCCATGCAGACGTTTTGCCTCGCCATGACATACTATCCACAATTCCTGCCCATGCTGCACGAAGAGCTTGACCGTGTCTGTGGAGATCGACTCCCTCGCTCCGAAGATCGTCCCAGTCTTCCTTTCCTGAGAGCGATTATTCGCGAGTGCATTCGCTGGCGCCCACCAGTTCCAACTGGTATTCCGCATTACCTGTCCCAGGACGACGAGTACGATGGCTATCACATCCCCAAAGGCAGTACGATTCATCCGCTAGAATGGTAAGTTGAGATGCTCGCTGCCATGTTCTTCCAGAGGAGAAAAAGTTGACATTATACGTAGGGCTATCGCGCGTGACCCTGACATGTTTCCCGACCCGGAAGCATTCAATCCTCTTCGCTGGGTGGACCCAGCATACCCTACCTACCAGGAGCCACTGACCAAATTCCCAACCATCATCAACTCGACGCAGTTCGGCTACGGCCGCCGAACCTGTCAGGGCCAGACGGTCTCTGATGAAGATCTCCTCATCGGCATCGGCTCCATTGCCTGGCTCTTCAACATTCAACGCACACCAGGCGACAACTCCATCGTCGGCGCAACAACGCCATCTCCTCAAACCAAAATGCGTGAGAATGAAAAATGCAATATCGTCAGCGAACCCGCCAAACTCCCCACCATGGAACAAACTCTCCTCTCCAAATATGATTACCCGGGGTCCGGCCACTTGGGGTCTACTTTCATCCAGCCCTCTTCCCTAAAACCCACCTCCACCTCCACCACAACAGCCTCATCCAACCCCCCCACCACCCCCCTAGAATGGGGCGACACAACCCAAAAGCCCGCCGACCCCACCCTCGACTACTCCATCCTCCTCATCGCCAAACCCATCCCCTTCAAATTTCAACTCACACCACGCAGCGCCCACCGCGCCGCCAGCGTGCGCACTCTGTTTGAACAGGGCGTTGCCAAAGGCGAGTTTACGCACAGTAGGGAGTATTGGGGCCCGGATCAGGGGCGCACGAGCCTGCTGGGTTGGAGTAGGGTGTGAGTCTTGAGTCTCGACATGCTGTGGACGGGCGCAGGATGCGCAGTGTATGTGCATAGGTGCATAGGCATGCAGCCATGACTGTGGGTGGTGGACCCTGCGTGCTGTACGGCATGTGGTGTATGGAGGCGCCTGTGTGGCTGCGAATGGCTTACTATGCGGTTGTGTATATGTCCCGGTGGGGAGCCGGTCGTGGTGTTGTTACGTTAGTTCTGTGGAGAGCGTCGCTTTAACACTAGCAGTGCCGTTCATGTCCCCCTTTGTATTTGGGACGGAGTACAGTTAGATTTTTCGTTTGGGATGCGGCGGGATGCACGTGTTAACTCTAGTTTGACTGCTTCTTGTGTTTTCCTTTGCGAGCATGGGTCTACCTGGGCGGTGAGGGCGTGAGGGTTGGGTGTTAACATGCACCTATGGTAGCCTGTAAGTTAAACCTCATATTACAGTGATATATTGCACCCAGTCTTTTCGACAACAATTCATGTTGCATGTGAGAAGTTTGAGATCCTTTGCCCTTTTCTCTTGGGATGAGACTGGAAGTGTCGTCTATGTTCGTCAGGGAGATTTGGCGCATTGCATCTTTTGATTCATTGACCAATATGTTGAGCCTGTACCTACGTTCACATTCTCTGCGTGAGGAAAATGAAGAGGGACTTTAGTTTCGTATAGGGACCTCACCTCGTCGACATGTTCATACTTGAATACTATTTCGCGAAAAGTTGGCGCCAGAACCAAGGTCACGACTCACGATGATCAATTGATAAGTCCATCGCGCACTCACGTGACCACGCTGACATCATCCATCCATCCATCCGTCCGTCTATCCCTCCCCTCCCAATCAAGTAGTCTGTCAAACCTCAGCAAAACATCAACCAAACCTTCGCCAAATGTTCCCACGATAGCTCCCCTTCCCCAGCTCCCTCGAGGCCTGTCAATTCTCCTCCCCTTCGCCATTTCCAAACAACTCAGACAAACCATGCTCGGCTTCCACTTCACAGCCACGCGCACCCAAATCGCCGCCTACCTCTTCGGCGTCGCCCTCTTCAGCATCTCCTTCCTCGTCTTCCTCAACAGCAGCGTGTCCTTTGTCATCACGCAGCGCATAGGGGAGTCGCGCCATGTAGGTGATGCCGTGGGCACGCTGGGCTTTGTGGACGAGCTGGTCGCGCTGGTGGCGTGTCCGGCGTGGGGATTGTTGAGTGATCGCGTGGGCGTGCGGAGTGTGGCGGTCATGGGGTATGCTATTGTGGGAGTGGCTCTGTGGGTGTTTGTGCAGGCGCGCAATGTCTATCCGGAGTTGGTGTTGGCGAGGGTGCTATTCAGTCTGGGGGGGAGTGCGACGTAAGTGAACAAGTGCACTTTTGTCGCATGGCGCATTGCGCGTGCGGTGTGAAGCGGAATTGGGATGCATGCTGATGTTTGGATCAGCGCGACTATGGTCACAGCGATTCTGCCTAGTATGACGCATGTTGATCATGTCAAACCGGATCCGAGATCGCCTACGAGACGGAATGGCAGGTCACATGCTGTTGCGCCCTCCATTTCGTCGGAACTGACGATTACACCTGCGCGGTTTCGATCGAGCTCAAGGGATGCAATGGTGGATGCGCCAGCTAGGAAGGACACGGGGGCTTCAACATCCCAACTGGCAGGCTTGGTGGGTGTCTTCACGGGCTGTGGTGCTCTGGTAGCGCTTCTGGTCTTTCTACCACTTCCCACACGATTCCAACAGGCTGGTGAGAGTCCAGCTACGGCCGTTGCAAGTGCTTTCTATGTGGTTGGCTCCATTGCATTGCTCGTAGCACTAGGATGTTTCTTCGGCCTGCGCCAACTCCCCGGCGAAGAAGACAAAGGCTGGAAACGCCTTACATCAAACGACGACACCAAAGTCCCAGACCACCACTCAACCCGGCATGTCGTCCTCTCCTACCCGCGCCTCTTCCTCGAGAGCGTCAGTCTAGGCTTCCGATCCCCAAACATTGGCCTCGCGTACATAGGCGGCTTCGTTGCCCGCGCCTCCTCGGTCGCAATCTCACTGTTCATCCCCCTCTTCACTAACCACTACTTTCTCCAAATCGGCCAATGCACCGTCGACCCCAACAACCCATCAGACATTAAAAGCGCCTGTCCGCAAGCATACAAACTCGCCGCCATGCTCACCGGAATTAGTCAACTCATTGCACTCATGTGCGCCCCCCTGTTCGGTTACCTTTCCGGCCGCTACCCAGAACACAATATCCCATTGCTCGTCGCCGCGATTGCCGGTATAGCAGGCTACTCGGCCTTTGGCTCCCTCGAAAGCCCAGACTACAAATCCGAAGATGGAACTGGTGCCATCTTCCTCATCGTAGCCTTACTCGGCATCAGTCAAATCGGCGCAATCGTATGCTCCCTCGCCCTCCTCGGCAGGGGCATCAACAACGAAGAATGCACTGCTACGACCACCGCAGAATTCTCCCACTCCTCCACCGAAAACTCCACAGACCCCCTCTCCCACCCCTCCGCAGGCGCCACACCCTCCACCAGCGCCCCCATCTCCCCCGTCCGTGAACACCCAAGCCAAGACCAAGAACACGCGCCTCTCCTCCCGCACACCCGCAGCTCAACACGGCAAATATCCCGAGCAAACGCCCACTCCACCTCGCTCAACCACATCAAAGGCTCCATAGCGGGCACGTACAGTTTGCTCGGCGGCTTTGGCATATTGCTGCTTACCAAGGCTGGAGGCGCGCTTTTCGATGCCACGGCGCCCGGGGCCCCTTTTTTCATGATGGCGGGGTTTAATGCCGTGTTATTTGCTGTTACGCTCGGGGTAGGAGTATGGCGGGGTGGGAGTGAGAGGCGGGGGAGGAGGGAGTTGAGGTGATGGGTGTTTGGGATGGAGATGAGTGGGATAGATAAAGGTTATATCTTTTGAAGTAATGAATCCATGATGATAATATCCGAGTTGAATTGGAAGAGATAAATACATGATCAACGTGTAGAATCAGAATTTCGCATCCGAATTTCTGAAGCCACGAGAAACAAAATAAAGTCAGTGAACCTTATCCATGCACTTCTTACTTGCACACAAACATGCAACACACGATTCACAACAAAAATCAAACTTCCCCTTGCAAACTTCCAAAAGAGTGACTTTTCATTAATTCCCCAACTATTTCCATGTCTACCAGAAGAGCAGAAAGAGAAAAAGGAGCGACTACAACTACAGATTAGGTCATTATTCCCTTCCACCCTTTCTCCACCCAGCATTACAACCACGCTGCCCTTATTCCCCTCCTCGTCCCTCAACTATCAAAAACCAACGTAGAAAAAGTCCTCATCCTTTTTCACCCTGGTCAGAAGATTAGAAATTAAAACACACGGCACAACGCCCTCTCCATCCACAGCATCTAAAGCCAGCACAACGGGAAAAGCAAACGTTCGCCTTCTCCTCTCTCTCCACACAGGCTCTTTTCAGCTCCTACATTACCCCGGGAGCACAGGAAACGTAAACGCAACTGGACCGTGCCCGGGATGGAAAATCAACTCCTGAGCAAATTGCTACTGAACGTGTTTACAATGCACCCATGCTCTTAGCCGCATAGCCGTCTTGACTCTTTTGCGTGCTGGAGGCTGGGGCGCTGGAGACGGGTGTGGATGATGAGGATGCGACTGCATACTTGGAAGAAGATGACGCATGAGTAGGTTTAGTGTAGGATGACTCATGAGTAGGCTTAGTGTAGGACGACACAACAACAGGCGTGCTAGAAGATGACAGACTAGCCGATGGAGGCGAAACTGCAATCTTAGTGGAAGACGACGCCTCAACCGAAGACGAAGACGAAGACGAAGCCACAACATGCGTGCTAGTAGACGGTACCACCACAATCTTCGTCGACGACGATCCCGGGCTCGAAGCATGGCTCATAATCGTGCTGGAAGAGGATAGGTTGAGCGGCTTGGTGTATGACCATACGATGCTTGGATACTCCATGGCTGGCTTGCTGGACGACTTGGCGATGGGCGTGGTGGATGGGGAAGCGTAGCTTGATGCGTAATGGTGGGTTTTGCTGGAGGATGACTTGGAGGTAGAGTGGGCGGGGGATGAAGCTTTCATGGAGGAGGATGTGGCGACAGAGTAGGCGTGGGACGACTTGGAGGCAACGTGGGCGTAGGATGAAGCTTTGCTGGATGCCTTGGTTGAGGAAGGCTTGACGACAGGTGGGGTGGGGGCTGAATGCTTGCTCATGCTGTGACTGTGAACCTTGCTGGAATACTCGCTCATGGTCTTGCTGTGAGCGTTGCTAGAATGCTCGCTCATACTCTTGCTGTGAACTTTGCTCAAAGCTTTGCTCGAGGACGGCTTCACGACAGAATATACATGCGAGGTCACAACCACGGGCTTGGTGTACGAAGCCTTGCCCAAGGACGACATGACAGCCGACGAGGCAACGAGAGGCACGCTAGCGGTTCCGCAGACCGAAGTGGTGCCAGTCATGATAGCGGTGGAGAGGATATGGGTAGAGAGTGTGTAGACGGCAGTGGAAGCACTGGAGGTTGCGATTGTGACTTCACTTGAGCCGGTAACAGTGGATGAGACGATGGAGCTATGGGATATAAGTTTGATGCAAGGAAATTAGGGGAAATGAGGCTGAACGTACGTGTGGACGGTGGTTTTTACGTATGTCTTAGTCTTGGTCTTGATCTTGGTCTAGGGTAATTGTCAGGTCATTCTGTCATGTTGACGAATTGGGACAAAGGAGACTTACCGAAGTGCTATAACCGATGCTGGTGACTGGGGATTTGTGCACATGTGTGGTTGGCTTGTAGACCACAGTGTTGTAGGGAACGACAACAGTCTTTGTGGAAAGAATGATGGACGCTCCTGTAGAGACCTTGGTCCAAGTATAGATTTCTGGAGGCTGTTAGTCTGAGATATCATGTTAAGATGTTCATCCACTTACTTGGTGTGCAAATTGTCACTGCAGCAGAAGATGACAAGATGTGAGGGACATAGCGTGAAGATGAGGTACCAGGCGCAGGCTGAGGAGTCGAAGAAGCAACGGGCGCAGGATGAGAGGAAGAACCACCATATGCAGGGACCGACTCCGATGCCATCTTCTTCTTCAACGTAGAGGAACAAGGCGAGGAAACAGCAGGACGCGGCGTAGAAGAGGAGCAAGGCGTAGAAACAGCCACGGCAACCGGGGGCGTAAGAGTACAAGGAGTTGATACACCGGCAGGAGGGCCGAAAGGAGCAGCAGGCCACCCATGATGGTGATCACCTTGTTCCCAATAGGGACCCTCGTGTCCTCCAGGACGGGCAACGGTGAGGGTGGCGGTAGCTGCGAGGGCTACGAGGGAGGTTTGGAATCGCATTGTGGGTGGTTTTTGGGAGGAAAGCGTGTGGGGAGGCTTTTTGGTGGTGGAGCTACAACGAGAGACAGATCAGAGGGAGGGGTTATTGATTGATGGCTTTCAGAACTGCACGTAGGTGCTTTTATATGTACTTGATTTATACCTACTTATTTGGGAACCTAGAGAATGCGCTTCGGCGAGTCGGCTTCATCTCGTAGTGTGCTAGCCAAGTTTTTTACAATCATAGCAAGGGAAGTGACGTGTAGAGTAACAAGTCTACCCTAAAGTTGATGTCCATCTATGGACAGTAGATTAGGGAGTGAGCCAAGGTACTGGAGATCGTCGCCTCATGTTGGGCCACTTGTGTACCAGTGTGGAGATGTGGAGCTCCTCAGCCTAGACATAGTGAAGGTGGACAATGATTTGCTGTTTTACTTGGTTGTAGAGTAGGATCCGATCTTCCCATAGCTCGTATCAAAGATGTTGAGGCACGGTATGGCCATGTTCGGCAGATGCTGTCAGCCTCAACGTTCACTTGGATGGACATGCCGAAACACTGTCAGGACCATTGTACTCGATTGACAAGTGTGTTTTCTTTTTCCCAGCTATAGGTATTCGACCTTTTTCCAATTGATGGGGCAGGCACTGTGCTCTAGATGCGAACTGTCGCCACGACTCCTGACTCGAGTCAACCCCTAACACACAGATTGACGATCCCTGTGACTTTGCATACTGTTCGTTGAAGTCCTACCATTATCCAGACCTCAAAATCCGCTATAACGTCAGAACTGTATCTCCGATCAGCCATTGTATGCGAAATCCTGTCGTCACCTACACCTGTAAACACCAAGGATGTGAAAGAAAACAACGGAAATCTAACAAATGTTTCCTACAAATACTTGATAGATAGCCGTTGGCGTATGCCTAGTATGTGTGATCGACAGTTAGCCTCAACGCGGATGCCTTTTGTCAGATGTTATGCACGTAAACTGTGGTTCACGCCTACGGCAGGCAATGGAGTGTACATTAGTGTGATCGCCACGGGGGCGCTAGGACAGTAAACAAAAGCCACTCCGGAACTGAGTGTAATTCTGGTGGCTGGGAAAACCAGGGCAACTGGGTATTGAATGCTATTAGTGAAGATATGAGAGAAGTTTGGAGGTTGGAAGTGGTCCAAGAGTTGATGTACAAGTGACGTCCCCTCACGGTCTCCACATGCAGTCATCGGGCCGAAGTTCTGGCCGACTTTCCCATCTCGACTTTTTTTGCAATGCAGCCTCGGCCGCCGTGCGCATATCAAGACGCCATTGCGACACGACTTCATGACCTGCAGGCGCATGAAATATTTGAAAAGAACCGTCACTGGCTGAAATCTACCAGCCAACCAATTACAACCCCCTACAATACGCCTTCGTCATTACAGCTGCGCTCGGGGGTCCGCAAATTCAACACCACCGGCATGGGAAGCTAAGCCTACGCCTACCAGTAACCGTGAATAACGCAAACCCACCTCACCCAGCTTCATGGAAGTGCTCCCGAAGCCCTCGAATCGCCCAACATGAATTCCCCAGCCCCCTCTCCACCTCACGGATCCCCACGACAACCGCCATCATCTCCACAACCGCCGTCACCATCACCGCCCCAGCGCGACCCCGTCACCTACGAAGGTACACCCATAACCTCGCCCCGATCCCTCCGCCAACTCTCCGTCTTCCTCTTTGGTAGCGCCTGCCTCCTTGCCTCCACCGCTATAACACGCAAAGCCATCTGGCGTCGCCAACTCCGCCAGACGCCCAAGTACTTCGATGCCAACACAAATCCCCACGAGTATTTTTCCCCCTTTCAAGACGCGTGCCAGGCTTTGAATCTGGCGACGCTGAATTGTGCGAGTGTGGGGATTATGGCGCTTGGGGGCGCCATGTGGACGTTTGATATTGCGGGATTGGCGGAGGCGAGGAGCGTGTTGAGGCGGAGGTTGGGGTATGACCGGATTTATAGAAGTGAGGCAGATGTGCCGAATAGTGTTAGTGAGATGATTAGGCAGAGTGGCGAGATGAGGGTTAGAGAGGAGGAGAGGGATGAGGGGCAGGGGGGTGAGTTGAGCGGGGATGGGGAGGACAACAAGCAATAATGATGGTGTGATGTGTATGTGTACGAGTGTATGAATACTGTGTATATGGGTAGTCATGATAGAGGTGTCCTGATGAGACATATTATGTCTATATGTAATGATATCATGGCCGGTAACACGACGCAACAGCCCAAGCATCTCTCTACTTCCCCTCCTGACTCAAATTCCCCTCATCTACACCAAAACATTAGCACAAAATACCCTACGCAATCAACCCCTTACTCACCAACCCTAACCCCAACCGCCCCATCCCTATTCGCCCTCCACACACCCTCCCCTCCCTCAAACCTTTCCAACTTCCAAATCTCCGCCCTCTTCTTCGTCTCCTCGAGCGCCTCCTCACCCGCTCTCCACGCCGCCTGCCGATGCGGCGCACTAACTGCAATCACCACGCTTTCCTCTGCTACCGGGCATTCGCCCAAGCGATGCACGATGGTGATCTTCGTGCACTGGTGCTTGGCCAGAATGGTGGATGCGATTTTAAATAGGGTGGAGAGTGCGAGCGGGGTGTAGGATGTGTAGGCGAGGGAGGCGACGGGGAGCTCGTTGAAGGTGTTGCGCGTGGTGCCGATGAAGAGCACGGTGGCGCCGGCGGAGGGGGACCGCACGAAGGCTGTGGCTGAGGTGGTGGAGAGGGGATGTGGAGTTAGTTCGACGTGGATGGTGGGTGTGGTTTTTGTTACGGGTTCGGTGGGGATGGAGGGGGTGTAGGTGGAGGGTTCTGTTGTTGACATTTTTGGATGTTGGAGAAGGAGGGGTTTGGTGTTGTGGCTGCAGGCGAGAGGTTTCAAGGTGTGGTTTTTTTTCGATGTTGATTGGATTGGATTCGGGGTGGCTTTTGTCTTCGAGGGAAAAGTTTTTGTATGGATCGAGGCTGTATATTTTTCAAAGCACAAGATTGACGACTTTGATCAAATGATTATCTGTGGTGTTGATTAGAGCGAATTCATCCACATCTCGTTATATTGTGGCGAGCAATCTGAAGCAAGCTTAAATGATATATACCTTCATAAATAAACAGTGACCTGCCGGCAGAAAAGATTGTGTACGAATGTTGAAAGAGAATTAGGAGACTCACTAAAGATAAATTATCAGAGAGAAGGGTACGATGACAGTGACGAGAAAGATACACATCTGGAATAAACTGGACATGCAATGCAACCACTGTATAACTTACATTTGATTCGAGATCTGACACGAAATTTTAAGTTGTCGAATATTGGGGTGATTAGACGGTTGACATGTACTGACATGCAGTCATAGAAGATGTCAAACTAACGTCTGGTTGCCCGCATTCTGCCCCACCGTGATCGCATATGATTGGATAGACCATCACCAGTGGGCAGAAGTCACTTTGACAGTGTTCGAGACGTCACAGGGCAACATTGATGATATTCGTAATCTAATAATGGAGTAGCCAATAGACTCGTACTCAATCGCCACCATATCATCACAACGTACATCCAACGACATCCAAACCGTTTACGAAAAAATCACTCCTTCTTGCTGCAACAAGCTTCTCGTAGATCTAGTATCTTTGCCTGTGATTGGGAACCGCAGGTCGCGACATCATAGCTAAACGAGCAGGATTCATTCCAAATGCCTCGGGCTCAGATTGCTTGGGTTCAGCTTCAGCCTCAGCATTCTCCTTCTTCCCGTCCTTGTCACGAGCTGCCTTCTTCTCCTTGCGCTCGCCCTGCTTCATCTCAATTTCAGCACGCTTTTCACGATCACGCGCACGCTCATCGTGGAGCTTGTCGTTCTTTGCTACAATTTTGGATTTGCGGGCCTCGCTGTTGCCACCGCCGCCGGCACTGAAAGCATGTTAGAGACGCACTGGTGTATCCATGGACAAGGATGACCTTACCTCAACTCGACGTTGATCTTGCGTCCCTCGCTACCCTTCTTGCCGTCTGGGAAGAGCGAGTGGTGGAACTTCTTCAGGCACAACTCCATACGATCGTAGCGGTCGAACTCGACAAAACATGTACCCATGAACTTGTTATTGTTCTTGTATGTACGTAGACGGATCTCGGTGGGCTTGCACTTGGCAAAGTGCTCTTCGATTTGCTCTTTGGTTGCACTGTAGGGTAGGTTGCCTGGTGGTGATTGTTAAGACTTGAACAAAACACTAGTGATCGTGGGAACATACCAACAAAGACAATGAAGCGACCCTTTTTGGCCTCTTGGGTCTCATCGACATCCTCTGCACCCTCTTCGGTGTCCTTCTCTTCTGTCGAAGCGTCACCGTTGGCCTCAGCAGCAGACCCATCTTCAGCAGAGGCTTCTCCATTGGTCTCAGACTTGACCTTCTTCTTATCCTTTTTCTCCTTTTTGGAAGCCTTCTCCTCCTTGTCCTTTTTGGACTCCTTCTTCTCTTTTTTTGCTTCCTTGGAGTCGCCATTGACACCGTTCGTCTCAACGTCGACATTATCTGACACACCATTGCTCTCCTCTGCACCAACAACAGCATCGTCAGTGGCGTCTTTGGACTTCTTGGATTTCTTGGACTCCTTGTCCTTCTTAGACTTCTTCTTCTCTTTCTTCGAGGGTGCTTCGTCAGAAGCTTCAGGCGCGTCAGGCATTGGCTCGTCGTCGTTCAACGAGGTGAAGTTTTCAGAGGCCTTCATCTCATCGATCAGCTCCGCTTCATTGACTGGGGAAGCCTCGGTAGCGTCGACATCCTTGGTTTTTTTAATTTTTTTCGACTTTTTGTCCTTTTTGTCCTTCTTTACTTCAGTCGCAGCGTCTTCTACTGAAGCCTCAGGTTCAGCGACTTCTTTAGCCTTCTTCTCTTTCTTTTCCTTTTTGGCCTTCTTCTCCTTCTTCTCAGCCTTCGCCTCTACTACAGGCTCCTCTGGCGCTGGCGCATCTTGAGGAATTTCAAACTTCTTCGACTTTTTGGACTTTTTCGGTGCGTCCTCTGCAACCTCATTGTCGCGCTTGCGCTTCTTTTCTGCTTTCTCGTCTTTTGATCGCGACATGGTGGTTGGTCAGAAATGGTTGAGGAAATGTCGAAGGAATGTCGAGAACACGAAGAGGAATCCCGAACTTTTTCTGAGTACTGCCGCGGGCGGTGAATGCAGGCGATGCTTGGCGCGGCGCGACTAACAGAACAACCACCCTCGACCAAGCACCAACTCCAGCTGCGAGTGAAAATGCAGACCTGTACTCGTCGGATACGGCTTCCCCAAAGTGCGCTCAAGGCACCGAGTAAATGCGCCAGTGAACGCCCTTCTCCACGCCAATTCTCGTACAAGCACCCCCGCCAGATTCTAATCGCACACAAGGGCTCGCCTCGGCCACAGCTTCCTTTTCTCTACCCCTCAGGCCAACACTTTTCCAATGGCCAATTGCTGCGACTGTTCTCGATCAGTGCAAGTCACAAGAAGTTCATCAAGGAGACGGCGAAATTAAGCGTGCGCTATACTGTCGTAATCTTTCTCATCACATCGTGCTTCAGTATCGCCAGTCTCGGCATACTGAGCGAGCAGCAAGAGCGGGCATTTCCCTCGCCGCATGAGTGGAGCTTGATCACCAGATTCAGATGGAGGAGGGGCAAATGGTGGATGGTGCCAGAGAACAATGAGGAAGAGGGCTTCCCCAACTGGGCACGTGTGTACTCTGAGCTCCAATATGCGCTGAACAGATTGGAGGACCCAAACAAAGATGGTGCAGGTATTCAAGAGCAGGAGGAGGGAGGCATATTGGTTCCCGGGCTAGGCAAGGCAGGATTCGATGTCTCTGCTAAGAGCGAAGAATGGCGGCAGGGCTACTACGAGGTACTCATGGGCATGGCAAGCGCAGCGGAGCGCTTGGACGGCTGGGTTACCACGAAGTCACGGAGAAACGTATGGGCACCCGAGTTTGTTCCATCGGCCACGAATGCGCGCCCAAAAGCAGTCCTGCCTGGCATGCCTGAAATCCCTGACGAAGAGCATCGTGTACCTGCTGCCGACGTCCCTGAATCATTTTATCTCAAGATCATCACGTCAAAGGGATTCACAACATATCAGCGACTCTCCGCTGCTCTTGGCTATGCTGATTGGCTGAAATTCAAAGAATTACCAGACTCGGCGGAAGACATGTATCGCTGGGCACTCGATATTGCAGTCTCAGGCTTGCCAACGTCCGAGCCTGACGCAGTCATCAATAGCGAGACTGGCATCCTTTCAGCTACAGCACCAAAAGAGGCCATCACGCCCAACATTGTGTATGCGGCGACCAATCTGGCTATCTTCCTAGCAGAGCAGCGCAGGATTGCGTCTGCTCTTCCCATCTTCATCTCTGTTCTTCGTGCGCGACTCGATGCCAAAGAGGCTCGTGTGGAAACCATTGAGCCCAAGAAAGACTCCACCTTGTTCGGAACCCTTTTGAGTCTCCTGAAAGAGCCAGACTATCCCCCAGTCCCCCCATCTGGTGACGAGCCATTGCTTCGCAAAGAGGCTGACCGCTGCGAAGAAGCAGCTTTGCGAAACTACATTGGCGAAATCCTCTTTGCCAGCGCTGGCGCATCTGCGTCGCAGCGGCAACAAGGGCTTTCGTGGGTCCGCGATGGTGTGTCTACCTCCAAGATTGCACAAAGCCTTGACATTGTACGTGCGCAAGACGAAATACGAAAGAAATGCGAGAAATGCGAGGAAGTCGGTCTCGAGTCATGGGGTAAGATCATGACCTACCTCGCTGCCGAAGCTCGTGAGAAACTTGATGCGGCAACAAGCGGAGGGCTTATAGGTCTGCTGTGGAAGATTCGAGGCACAAAAGCTCTCGAAGAAGCGGTTGAGAATCTCGAGGGTGAAGAGGAAGGAGTCACGATGAGGCTGAACAAGCTGAGAAGCAGAATGTTGAAGGAAGAATACGCCGAGCTGGATCGCAAGTATGCAAGGACATTTGTGTTTTAGATGGTCCGTTACCAAAGACACGATATACATATAGTACAGTCCCATCCTCATGCCCCTTGATATCTCACATGAGTCAGCAATTGCACTGACCCTATATGTGTTAGTATACACAGTATGTATATGTATACACAGTATGTATATGTATACACAGCCACTGCCACATACATATACTCGAGTTGCCAACCCTTGATACCCCCTCCTCCCCCCCCCCCCCCCCCAGCCAACAATCCAACATCGTATACCCAAACTCGAGCAAATCTCGGCTCAGCCGCCAAGCGCCCGATCTGACAATGCGGAGTTGCGCGGCCTCTCTCCCCGCCCATTGGCTCGGCAGCATCCGGTTGCGCCGCATTCAATCTTTCGGCCTGGGCACACTTGGCTCTTCCCAACTTCCTCCTCGACTGCACACGGCCTTGGCGGGGGGCTCTTGGGGGGGAAACGCGACTCGGACTTGCGACTAGAGTGGAGTCCGCTTCAGCGCTTGGTTCCGTTTCCAACGCCGCCAATGCTTGTTAAACGTGCCCTACGACGGATGAGGAGGAGGGGGGGAAATGGGAGGTTCCCAGGGGTTGGGGGGTGGGTGGGCTTGCTTTGTTCTTGGTGATGTGGACGACGTCAAGTGCTTGTTGGCTGCTGCGCCTTCTTGTGAGACTTTCATTCCAAGGTTGGTCGTTGTTTGCGATTGTTTGCTGCTTTTTTCCTTTTTCCTTGATAGAATCTCTCCTCACGGCTTTTCCAAGCGTATTTCCCTACTTGTCTGATTCTCTACTGTCTGTTCGTTGTGCGTTCCAGTCCATCTGTGACATTCGCCCATGGAGTCTCAATAATCATTCCTCTGTCTCTCTGTCCCTTCCTACCCTCCAACAATGGACAAGAAACCTATCTTGACCTCTACATTTCTCTCTCGCCGCCGCCGCTCCTCCCACACCCTCCGCCGTCTCCGCCGCACCCCCGCCCTACGCCTCCTCCTCCTTCTCCTCCTAATCTGGGACTCCCTCCACTGCATAACCCTCTACCTCGCCCAAAGCGCCGCACTCAACGCATCCCCACCCCCCGCAAACCGAAAGCACATCTACATCGCCGCCCAGCACTGGAACAATGCGCGACTGCTGCGCCAGCACTGGAACGATGCGCTCATAGCCCTCGTCCAGGAACTAGGAACATCAAATGTCTTCGTATCCATTTATGAAAGCGGGAGCTACGACGATACCAAAGATGCGCTGCGCGAACTCGACGCTGTGCTCGAGGGCCTAGGCGTGCAGAAAAGTATAATGCTCTCCGACATTTCGCACGCCGATGAAATCGCCCAACAGCGGGGTCAGGACGGGTGGATTAAGACTGCAGACGGACAGTCTTATCTCCGTCGAATCCCCTTCCTCGCAACCATAAGGAACCATGTGTTTGAGCCGCTGGAACGGCTGACGGGCGAGGGCAACCACTTTGACAGCATCTTGTTCCTCAACGATGTCGTCTTTACGCCCAGGGATGTGCTGATGCTGCTGGATACGAATGGAGGCCAGTATGCAGCAGCCTGCTCGATGGACTACCAGAAGCCGCCATACTTTTACGATACCTTTGCACTGCGCGATATCGAGGGCGATGAGACCATTATGCAGACTTGGCCGTTTTTCCGCGCGCGCAAGAGTCGGTGGGCTGCGGAGCGGTATTTGCCTGTTCCGGTGAAGAGTTGTTGGAATGGCATGGGTGAGTTGGTTCCCTTGTTTCTCAATCCTCAACACTCCCACAATGTCTCCAAAACACATCATCTCGCCAAATGCCATCAACCCAGCTAACCAAAAACCCCGCCACAGTCGCCATGCCAATCTCCCCCTTCATCGCCACACCTCCCCTCCGCTTCCGCGCCATCCCCGACGCCCTCGCATCCACCCACCTCGAAGCCTCAGAATGCTGCCTCATCCACGCCGACAACCCCCTATCCTCTTCCTCTTCCTCACCCTCCTCCCAAGGATCCCCCCCACCCCTCCAAATCTACCTCAACCCCACCGTAAAAGTCGGCTACAACGGTTCCTCCTACAACGCTATCAACGCGCCCTCAGCCGCCCTCTCCCCCTTGCGCATATTCCTCGCCGTATGGGAGAACCGCGTACTGCGCTGGGCGACTACGCCGTTGGTGAAGCGGTGGGTGGTGGGGCGACGTGTGGCAGCGTGGATAGGCGGTGCGGTAGGAGGAGCGGAAGGAGGAGGGAAGGAACGTACGGAAAAAGGAGGGTTTTGCTTGGTAGACGAGATGCAGATTCTCTATGAGAGGGGATGGAAACATATTTAGCATTGCCTTCAGGCCGGAATAAAACAACAAGATTGAATCATGGCTTCTCGAGGCGGAGAGTATATTCATGGGTGATGTGATGTCTCTACCCCCATTTACATCTACGCCCCCTATATCATGATACCCTTGCCCCCCTCGTCTAACCCAGCATCCATGATTTTTCGCATGGTGGCTGAGCGGGGAGTGCATGGCCTCGAGGGACCCGAGTCCATTACTCATCTCTGTTTTGAACATTGTGAAGGCGTCTTGAAAACATCGCCTCTCAGGCAGTATCACTCGAGAGACCAATATTCTCAAAGAAACTTCGCCTCGAGCAATACCCCTGACTCCTCCATAACCCGCCGCGATCAAGATACGAGGTACCGAGTACTTTAGAGCAGACTCGAAAACTCTGTACAAGTGACTCCTCGCTGGAAATCACTCCAAATCACAGGCTGCGTAGAAATACCGGTAGTGAGGCCACGGACGGTACGTCAAACATGCCCATTAGGGGACGCGATATGGCATAAGTTTTTGTGGTTTTTGAACTGCCTTTTGGTTGCAGTCATGTAAGAAACCCGGCTGGAGATTTACGGGAGGAGATGAAGGAGTAGGTATGTAGGAGGGCGGGTTGGATATCCTCATAATCTCATATCACACCAGCTCTGCTCATTGGAAGATAGCCAAGTACTTGCTACGGCTAGATTATGCGCAAAGCATATTAGCATAGATGTGACTGTGACTGCTATCTGCTGTACATGCCACGCTTAAAACAGTGCTATTGCGCGCCTAAATTTGCATGCCATGTATACCACATAAGTCGGTTGTGTCGCGCTGATCTGCGAGCTGTGTAGCCCATATCGACCTGTAATGGAGCGGAGCGGCCTCGCTATTGCAGGAATCTTTGAGTACAGCGTTCAAAGCAAACCACGAACTAACTATAGCGCTGTGGCAGTTTGGTCTAACGTATAACTCCAAGGATATGATTGCCGTTACTAGAGTTGCGATTACTCTCCAGAAGGAGGTTGTAAAGGCCGAAGACCTAAGCTCAGCGTCCGTCGACGCAAACCGCTTGCCAAAGGTCAAGGATAATACAGTTTGCTACTCAAAAACCAACCAAGAGGCCTTGATATCTTTCAATATGCATACAAGCTGAACCTAACTCGCCGCAACCTACTCTAGAAGCTCTACGACTCAGAATAAAGCGTATCTCGCGTAAGAGTGTTGTGTGAGACGCGGCAAGCAATTTAGAGTTATAGGGGGGCAACAATCACTTGTATAGGCATATAGATAGGTAAAAGAGCCCTTTATACCCACCGTAATTCCAAAGACATGCAAAATTTTGCCATCTCTTCGTAGACCTTAATAGGACCTCCGTCATTTTAACAAGGCCCACATGTCCCGCTCCTGGTGCTTCTCTAACTTGAGTCAGCTCTGTCACCTTAGTGATGGTTGGGCGGCTGCTGCCACAGTCAAATAAAAAAGTGCAAAAAGATCCAGCAAAAAAAGAGGATCGAATGGGTTTTGAACCCACGACTTTGTCTGAAAAATTTCCAAGTACCTTGCAGTGTACTTGAACATGTAGTCCGAGACTCGGCTAGAAAGCAAATCCTAACTGGACCACACAATGTACACAAGGAAACGTTGTGACGCACCTGTACCAACCGGGCCTTTTCACCACCACACCCGGCGAAAGATAACTCCAATAGCAGAGATCATATAGTTGAGTATGGTGGTGGGGGCTATGGCCTAGACCCTGACTGGAGGAGGCGTTTGTACATGGCGACGGCAAGGCTAACGTTTGTAACGTGGCTGGCGAGCTCCTGACTTCACATGCAAAGATTTGTGGACCCTCCTTTGGCGTTATGGCAACAGGAAGCATCTGATATCATCCTCCAAGGGCTTATCCAAGTCTAGCAGACCTTCCCCTGGACACTGTCAACCACATACATGTACAAGGAATCTTGTGCACATTCATGGGCACCAGGATTGACCAGTGTAGCCTTACAGTTCTCTTGAAAGCCAGAATATGTGCAAACGGTATCGGGTAACTGGTTTACTCGTGGAGTATCCAGTCGCAGCCAACGCGGTAGATTTAGAGTGGACGGCAGCAGCCAACTGACTGCCTATGCAGCATTTGCAGCACTGCGGCAACAATAAAGTCTTTGGCAGATCAACTGTGACTTGCCCAGAATTTGGGTGTTAAATGGGCCCACATCATCTGGCCGCTACAAGTACCTGCATACTTGTCGAGTCTCATCGTGCCTGACATGCGTCACCCAACGTGCATCTCTTCTTTTAGTCTTGCGAGTTGCGATGGCCGGGGCGGCGGTGAGCCTCGCGGACTTACGCTACGCGCCTTCACAACCTTAGCCCCGCTCCGATTCTCTCTCAACGCCGCCTTTGCACAAAGCCACCTCGCTGCACTCATGCCCGCTGTGCCTCTCGATGAGTTACTACTCGTGAAGGTAGAGCAAGATCGAGTTGTCATGCCCTGTTGGAGAAACCGTACACGCAGACCCGCGACAGTGTCGTCGGGCCCCGATGAGCCAGTTCAACTTGCTGACGCCCCTGGGCAGGGCATAGCACAGTACACAGCGAGAGACCTCACTCTTGAAGCGCAGGGACCAGTGCCACCAGCGAGCCATGTAGGTGCGAGAGCATTGCGACAGCTCCTTTTTTGGTACCGCCTCTGGTAATCCATCGCCGTGCTGCGCCATGAGCACACCACATCAAGCCACACTCCGGCACCACTACTCCGGCACCACTACTCCGGCACCACTACTCCGGCAGACCGGGTGAGATGATCGATACACAATGGCAGAGGTACACCAGGCGATAACTAGGATGAAGCGTGTTGTTTCGTGCAAATAAACCAACATCAGTATATTGCGAATGGGCACTACGCCAGCTCCTAGATACCAAGACTCGACGAGGCCATGTGCAGAGCATTCCACCTTCGGGACTTTCGAAATCTTGGCCAGGATATAAGGGACTGATCTTGCAGTCTCAGGCCATGATGCTGAGTAGGGATTTGGTAGCTTCGAATGCGTACATCGAGGCGAACCCCAGCACCCTCTAGGCCGAGCCTGTGACTCCCTCGAGATTCGAAAGACGAACGCGCCGAATTGCAAGAGCTAGGGAGATGGCACATGGAGTACAACACGCATGCTTGTTGGATGGCTGATGTCAGGGCACCCCAGCATAGCTGACGAGAAGCGTGACGACGGGAGACTAAAGATCCAACATTCTCTCAGAATGGTGCGATGGCTGAAGTTATGCTGAAACACCAAACACGTACTCAGGAGCTCATGATGTTAATGGCGCGCTGTCTGGAAAATTTCCAGGGGCCTCCACGCTAGGAAAGGCACAGCTGGGGTGGCATGACACCTGCCGCATCATCTGGAGCCTGATGGATGTGATGCTTTGTTTGCAATGTCTTGAGCAATTTCAGATGGAGCGGAACACTTAAAGAAAGTGCCGATGTCTCGAATCCGAAATTTGAGGGCATGCCACATCCAGTCCTTGTTATGACTTTGCGACACAAGACTCTTGGAACGACCACATGCAAAAATCCTGAGCCATTAAATGTGTTTAGAAGCTTCCCATGCTCTTGTATAGCCTTCTTTTGGGAATGCGGCGCGAGACTTCAAGCAGGATGTAACATCTGGGCGATCTACGCCTTCGGCTTTCCTTAAAATGCACTTGAATTGGAACTCCCTGGACGAGAGGTCGTACCAATCCTCAAGATTGATGCGTCATAAGGCTGTTCACACCGAATAGATCCAAAGAGGTGTCGCCATTCCATGGATAATGCTGGTCTTGGAGACCATCAAGTTCGGAAATAGTCGAATCGTCGATTGCTGAGACGATATTTCCTGACACTTTTGTCCACGCCCAACCTCATCGGTTCGCAACGAGGAAGTTGCCGCTGTCGCCATTCACAGAATGCGCCAAAATCATAGGATGATATTGTGCATACAACAGAGGCTCCCATTCTCACGCTTCCTTCCGTTCGACAGTCGGACGTGCATGAGAATGGCGTTCTCTGCTGCAACGAATCTTAATGCCAAACCCCAGGGCCAAAGACGCCGGGATACGGCGGTGGCAGCAAGTGAAGATTACAGGCTTTTCGCTGTGACGACGACATTAGTCTGGCAATGGTGCATAACCAGCGTAGGCAGTCCTTCAAGGTTTCCAGCAATACGAAAGGTCGTGGACACTCAGCCTTTCTGACTGTCGAGCAATATTCTGTTGGGCTGAGCTTCACAGAAAAGACTTGTGTGTTTCTGACATAAACTTCTTGGAGAAGAGCGGTGGCCAGCCCCAGTGTTGAACCTCATGTATATTCAATGCCCCGAGTTTCGGAGTGCAATAGCTGGTGCTCGATTACCAAACTCGACATTATGAAATGAATCGATCCTGTATCCCCATACAATATGGCTGCAGTTGATCTGGAGTGTCACCTGGATGTTGGCTGATCGTGAAGACAATAGCGCGAGGTCGCGGTGCTAATGCTCTACTGGCCCAGCAATACGCCAAGGTGCGAGTGGTACAAGCAATGTGCAGACCGAGTGTCGCCACAACGTGAGCGCAGAGTAAGCATTTCAGCTGCATCCCGTCGACCTAATTGGGAGTATGGATGGATCATGAGCCTCCCTGGTGTGGAGCAAAGCTGCTCATACAGATCGCCCTATTCTCAGGCTCCCAGGGTGTGTGTGTCTGACCGCAGCACCGCCTATTCTTGGTAGATCACAAGTGTACATCCCACCGTTGCGCCATGTTTCCGAGATGTTGCAAGACTCTTAGAGCTTGGTGTTCTTGGTGGTGAGGGAGTCGTCGTTCCCCAATGGTTCGCACGGCTGCGGGGGTGTCGGAGGTTTCGGTTGGCGGTAGCTGAACGACCTTTGATGCTGTGAACGACAGCAACGGTTTGCGAGAGAGCTGATACTGTATGTGAAGATCATGCCAGCTGTGCCTATATCATTGGTATCAGTGTGGATAGTTCGCATTTGCTCGTTGGCTGAGGCAGAAGCTCCGGCTATGGGAGCCGTGGAACAGCATGAGCGTCAGCCGCCACCCACCCCCTGCGTTGGCACCATCAAGCGACGCCCAGGCCGATGAAGTGAGTTGAAGGCTCATGACACAAGCCTCGAGACTACTGTCTCTCTCACAGAGGCGTCATAGTGGTGTTGCGGGGAAGAAAGAGGGTGTAGAAGTCCCTGCCACGGCAGCTCCCTTGTGCCCAAGCCATCGCAGCAGGCGAGGGGAAGGCCGAATGAGGCACATCCGAGTGAATACGGCTCTTGAAAAAGAGATGAGTCTGAAGCAGCTGCTCAGGTTTTGCTGTGCTCGTCGTGGCCGTGCATGTAGAAAATGCGATTTTGCGAGTCAAGTTGGTGGCGAAGGGGTGACCGGCGATGAAAAAGGTGCCACCAAAGCCATACACTCCAGATCGGAGAACTACTACATCCTATGATCTCTGCAGAACAGACCCACGAATGCACAGAGACATGCTGGATATGGAGTAGCATAGTGCTCATGCTATACTCATGCGGCCAATCTGCTGTAGCCATATTGGCACCAGGGGGGGGTCCTAGTAGACATGGAGGCGCAATAGAGCTGGAAGTAATGATATACGCTTAATACAGCTTCCGTACTGGTGAAGAGAATGCTGTAACGATGTCACGAGGTGGGCAGAACGGGATCACACAGAAGAGCACAAGAGATGTTGAAGTTTGACGTTAGTTCGCAACTTCCTCTGTGCGGCGTGTGCAGAACCATCTCGGGCCGAATACCGGTACCGGGGCGTTGTGAACTTCACGACATGTCTCCTTTCCTATGGTCCACTACACCACTACTAACCATTATGGGAATATTGTGCATACAAGAGGGAACAAGGGCTTGCTCTTATCATTTTGGTTTATCACTGCTACTAAACTTTTGTCGCTTTCGAAGCCGCAAGTCCACCTTCCCTCCCCATCCACAGTACGGAGGTGACTTTCAAAAGTTCTTGCTAACAGGGGTGTCTATATTACCGCCGTGATACCACTAAAGCTTAGACTACTTAGTCGCGCCGCCCCTCCTTATACTTATTACTACCTTTAAGTCTAATAATCTCCTAAATATAATACTGTATACGCTCTATCTAAGCCTAGATTTAGTATTAAGGTAGCTTATCCTAAGCTTTTAACTATACTTTTATCCCCTTTACTCTACTCTTAAGAGCGCCCTTCTTAGTAGTTCTCTACTTAAGCTATAGCTAGGCTACTTTAATAGTATTAAGGTTAAGTAAATTACTATACTAGAGAAGCTTCTCTACTCCCTCTCTTTAATATACTAGTTATTAGGTATAGTAGGTATATAAAGGAGCTTTATCCTCTTAAACTATAGTATATAGTCTCTCTTTCTTATACTTCTTAGTAAAGGGGATAAGCTTAGTGTAAAGGGCTTAGGCTTATGCCTAAGCCTAGGTCTAACACAAGATAGACTAAGTCTAACACTACTACTAAGTAAACACACTAGATACCTATAAAAAGGTATAGAGGGCTTACCTCTCCTTTAAGATACTAAATACTATTATTAACGCTTATTATATTCTCCCTTAAGGCTAGTCTATAATATTTTAGTATCTTCTTCTAAATATACTATAATAGTAATAAGAGATAGACACACTAGATATTTAGAATAACTAGGTGCAACCTAATATAGTAGAAAGGCTAATATAATAGGTCTATAGATTAATAGAATAATAGGCTTAAGACTCTACTATAATAGCTATACTATATTAATAGAATAAGGAAATATATAATTAGATTCTATCCTAACCCTCCTCTTGTAACAAGGTAGGCGCCCTGCCTATAAAATGAATACTACGTCATCTCCCCTGTCTGTACCAATTTGGCCATGGTCCAAAAGGTACGCACAAGAATACTTAAGCTAAGTAATCCTCGCATAGTATAATATATATATCTTAACAGATAATAGTGCTAGACCCTAGTGCTAACCTATAAACCTTGTTCAAGTCTAGCCTAGGCATCTAGTAAGCGCTAGCTATTTTAGCCTAGCCTTGTTACACTACCTCCCTCCTTAAATGTCTTAGTCCCTAAGACAAGTAAGCTACGAGCTCTTTTTAGCTAAGGGCAATATATATCCGCTCTACCCCAATTAGGCTTAGCAAGCCCTAGCACTAACCCTAGAAATCTAGTCTAGCCTAGTCCTAAATAGGCCCTAGCACTAACCCTAGCAAATCTAGTCTAGCCTAGTCTCCTAAGCATAATTTAAGCTAGAGACAAATTCACGCTGCACGTGGATTCGAACCCTTAACCTTTAGATTTGCTTAAGTATTATGTAACAAGGTAGGCGCCCTGCCTATAAAATAAATACTACGTCATCTCCCCTGTCTGTACCAATTTGGCCATGGTCCAAAAGGTACGCACAAGAATACTTAAGCTAAGTAATCCTCGCATAGTATAATATATATATCTTAACAGATAATAGTGCTCAGACCCTAGTGCCAACCCATGAACCTTGTTCAAGTCTAGCCTAGGCATCTAGTAAGCGCTAGCTATTTTAGCCTAGCCTTGTTACACCTCTAAGCCTGCTAGGTTTAATAATATACTACCTCTACCCTCCCCTACCTTATACTATAAACCTTTCCTAGTTAGCTTACTATATAATAGCACTAAGGTAAACTTCTCCTCCTAGTAAATAACTATAGAGTTTAAACTACGTGTAGATAAGGTCTTTATTAGGGATAAGGAGGCAAGGTTTATATATATTTAGTCCTAGTTATTACCTATAGTCTAGTGCGCTATAGCACTATACTTTAAGGATAGTATACGTAAATATTAGGATATAAGTAGGTTTCTTAACTACCTAGTATTCTATTATAGTAACTATTATAGGTAGGAGCGCGCCTAAGTTATATTAGAATACTTATATTAGGGCTAAAATTAGCCTTTTATAAAGTTCTTTATAAATTTTATATAGCTCCTTATATAATTAAGAGGTTTATACTAGGATAATAAATAAAAGCTTTTATAACTTTAGTAATCTCTTAATAGTTATATATACTTAGTTTCCCTTAATAGAGGAGTCTCTAGGATAAACTATAATATAGCTATAAAGGAATATAAGATAATTATAGTAGATATTAAAATAGCCTCTCTAGAACTAGGCTTTCTTTAGGCTAGTAAGTCTAAGGAACCCTAGTAGAAGTCTAACTTAAATTAGGATAGTAATATAAATATAGTAGAAGTAGCAGCCTTATTAAGTATACTTACTAAACTACTAGTATTACGTCCTAACTAGATCCTATAGGACCTATTTAATATATAGAAACTAGCAAAGGTCTACACCTAGTATAGATAGGGCAGCTATTTTATATATATATACCCTAATACCCTATTACTATAACTAGTAGGTGTTAAGATAGTTATAGTATTAGTAAGTAGCCCTAATTTAGGAAACTAGCTACCCCTAACTTTAGGCTAAGTTAGGGGTATAAGAAGGATACTATAATAGAGGAATTATTAATAGTAGAGGCTATTAAGTATCCCCTAGATATTAAGGCTAGGCTAAATAATCCTCCTTTCTTTATTCCCCTCCTCCTAGGTAGAGTAGAGAATATACAAGTAATAGTTAATTTAGGGTGCTAGTGTTTTAGTATAGTTAAGGAAAAGTTAGTAAGATAGATTAGTAGGAACTTTATTAATATTCTCCCGCAACCCTTATAATATACCTAGGGAATTACTAAGGGTATAAGAATTTTATAGTTAGTAGTATTAGACTATAATTTAGATAGTTAGTAGTCTTAGCTTTTAGCTTATATAGTACCTAGTCTCTCCTATTAACTAATACTAGGCAGACTATAGCTATATAGAGAGGGCGTTATTATAAATATTCTATAAGGTAAATTAATAATTAGGAAGGCAGGAAATATAGTAGTATAGGAGAGTAGGAGACGCCTATATCCTACCTATATCTCTACTATCTTAGGTTTAGTTATAGTAGGGTTACTAAATTAAGGATCCTAATAGGAAGATATATAGGTATAAATTTTTATAATAAATATACTAGATATTTTATAGGTAATATATAACTTATACCTAATAAAATATCTAGGAAGTATTAATAAGGGAGGTCCTAATAATATATATACTATCTATATTACTAGTAATATAGTTCCCTATAAACCTAAGTATAAAACTAGAAAGATAAAGTTACTACTAGAACTATAAGAGTTTAAGGACCTATTTAATAAAGAGTTAGTAAGTAGTTTGCTGCCTTATTAAGGTAGTATAGATTACTATATTTAGTTAATAACTCTCCTAGATAGAACCTAGCCTAACCCCCTATAGGGTCCCCTATACCCTATATTGCGTAACTAATTACTAGAACTAAGAATATAACTTACTAGATTAATAGATAAGGGCTAGATCTAAGCAAGCTCTTCTATAGCTAGAGCTCTAGTATTACTAGTAAAGAAGCTATTAGGCAGTTAGCGCCTTTATATAGATTACTAGATACTTAATAGTATAATAATATTAGACTAATACCTACTACTACTTATTAAGGAAACTTTATACACACTATCTAGTATAAGTTAGTTTATAAAAGTAGATATTTACGCTACCTTTTATAAAGTTAGAATAGTAGAAGGTTATAAGTCCTTAATAGCTTTCTACACCTAGTTTAGGTTATATAAATAGTTAGTATATCTATTTAGTCTTAGTAGTGCGCTATCTACTTTCTAATAATATATTAATACTATACTTATAGAGTTACTGTGCCGTGGTGAGGGATGTATAGGAGGAAAACAAGGCTTAGCCTAAAAGGTTAGGCGGATTGAATGGTATAAAGGCATAAAGGATCAGAGGATAGGACAATAATAACTCCTAGGGACTTCACTTTAACTCTACAATATCATCTTTTTACTTATGTTTCTGCATTGAACCTATATCCTCTACTATAGGATCACTACTATTAAACCTTGCCCCTCCTACTTCTCCTTATTTAAATAGGTTACTCTCCCTGTTAGTTTAAATGGCGAAGCCTAAGGGGAACTTATCTTATCTTAGTAAAGGGGAGGGCCTAGCAGCATATAACCAAGAGGACGTTCCTCTAAGTATAAGGAGGGCAGAGAAAAATTAAAAAATAGGTGGTGTTAATAATTAACATTGTTAAGGCTAAAATAGTGGGCCTATATTAGGACGTGGCTAACGCGCGTTAGTAGGGATAGAGTAACAACACTAAGAGGCTAACTAGAAAATATTAGAAACACTAGAACAACTAGAACAACTAGAACTAGAACAACTAGAACTAGAATTAGAAATAGAATAACCAGAACAACTAGAATAACTAGAATGACTAGAACCAGAATAACTAGAACGACCAGAATAACTAGGACTAGAACAACTAGAATGACTAGAACTAGAACGACTAGAATAACTAGAACTAGAACAACTAGAATAACTAGAACGACTAGAATAACTAGAACTAGAACAACTAGAATAACTAGAACCAGAACAACTAGAATAACTAGAACTAGAACGACCAGAATAACTAGAACTAG